TAACACCTGGTGCTTGTGGAGATCGCCGGGTTTGTTGACGCAATGAAGAACCCGTCGACGAAGGCTCGTTCGTTATTTGCACCAAGTTGGATTGACCGAGTTCCTAGCTCTGTATGCGGTCACTCAAATTGTGTTCAGCGTCCCGACTTCCCAAGCAGCGGCGGAAAAGGTGTCGAGTATTTACGACTTCATTCTCACCAAGCGGCGACCGACTGAGACCCGACACGTGTCAATGCTGTCCAAATATACATGAAGGACGATACAGGGAACTACGGTATCCAAGGACACATTTGACTTCGAGTATAACATGTGTATCGCCTTGTGAGTGGCTTCCTTACTTCGAAGTACGTTTATCCTTTCATCCTTCTTGTTGCCTTTGTAGCTTGGGTAGTTTATAGCACTTTCCAGCCATTTTGGTTGTTGAGATATTGCGCGGCAAAACTTCGGGGTCATGGTCAGCTATTATAAAATGACCCGCCAGAACTTCATTACACAATTTATTGGCTACGCAACACTTCCTGCACACACCTATCGCCACTACATGCCTCCTCGTTCACCGCGGAGAACCGCTGATGCTTCTGTCGCAGTCCAGGACCTCGCGGACGTGTGCAAGCACTTGAGCTTCGCCCATCGCCGCACGGCCTACGAAACGCTGCTTAGCGTCGCCGTTGATGGTGTGCTGCCACGTGGGGCTCTCACCGAGCTTGCACAGAAGTTTCGCTGTCATCCGCGAACGATATCACGTCTGTGGACGCAAGCGCGTCTCTCGCTCCACGACGTCCACCATGCCGCCGATGTCGCCTCAAAAACCAAAGGTAATTCTCTCAAACCAGATATTTTTATAAGTTTATGCAATTATTTTAAGGTTGTACTTTTCTAGGGAACTCTGGACGCCATGCGCTCCGAACAAGCGACGAAATTGAAGCTGCCATCCGAAATGTGCCACAAATGCAACGACAGACCTTCCGCTCTCTGTCGGCCGCGTGTGGAATCCCCATGACGACGATCTTTAGCCACATGAAGAAGAATCCTCGCTTCAAGGCGAGGTCAAACTACGTCAAACCCCATCTCACCCCTGCGAACGTCGAAGAACGGCTCAAGTTTGCCATGTCCTTCGTTTGGCCTTTGCCAGGTGGACGCCATCTTTTCAACGACATGCACGACTATGTGCATGTTGACGATAACTGGTTCTACTTGACGAAGGTTGAACGTAGGTACTATGTGTACGACGACGAAGAGGTCACGGCTCAGGCGGTCAAGTCCTAGGCTCTTTATCACCAAGGTGATGTTCCTTGCCGCTGTGGCCAGGCCGCGATATGACCCACACGGCAAGAAGGAATGGGACGGCAAGGTTGGTGTTTGGTCCTTCGTTCAAGTGGCGCCAGCGCAGCGTGGAAGCACGAACAGGCCGAAGGGCGCCATGGTCACCACCCCACAAACCGTCGACGGACCACTTTATTTTAATACAATATTAAATAAGGTTGTCCCCGCCATCCAGGAAAAGTTTCCTAGATGTGGCAGACGGGGTAATGTGCTGATCCAACAAGACAATGCAAGCCCGCTCATAAATGTAACGACAGAAAAGCTTTGTGCACATGGAGTTTGTGGCATTGGAGTGACTAACCAACCCCTGAACAGCCCCAATTTCAACGTGTTAGATTTAGGATTCTTTAATTCTATTCAGAGCCTACAGTACCAAAAGTGCACTCGAACCATCGAGGAGCTTATTGTTGCTGTAGAAAATGCGTTCTATGAGTTGCCGACTGACACGCTTGCAAAGACTTTCGTAACTCTTCAAAACGTTATGGAATTGTCCATTGAAATACATGGCAGCAACGAGTATAAGCTTCCTCACATGAAGAAGGACGCTCTCATTGCAGACTTTGCATCGTATAATGTCGAGTTTGACGCCTCGTCCTACGAGAGCGCTTTGGCTCATTTGAATAGCCGACTTGGTGAGGAGGTTCACCTCGCATGGTCAATTTTCTCGAATGAGACATTAAAAAAATACAATAAAATTTTTGGTGCGGGTTATGGTGTTTTGGAGTGACATACAAAAAGCAAGTCGTTTCAATTGCCCAGTGTATACTTTAATCAAGTAAAAATCTACCTGACAGTTTTTGTGGAACGGAGTAGTATGTGTTATTTACTAACGTTTACACTTGTGTTCACCATGTGTACAGACTCCATGTCCACCCACCCCCCGCCCAGAGTCCTTGCACCTGTCACATGTCTGCCCCGTGTCCAGCCATGTCGACTTCGTGTCCGCATTGTCCCACGTCTGCCGCATGCATACCCCATGTCCGCCAATCACTGCCATCACGTCCCTCCCTGCAGTGTCCACCATGTGCCCACGCATGTCTGCAGAGTAGGTGGCCTCTGTCCATGCCCCTTTACTACTCTTTGTCCAAGTTGCCAACCCCACTTTTAGCACATCCCATTTTGCGCAAACCCCGTGTCAACCACCGGTCCAGTCTCACCTTGGCCTGCTCGCCTTGTCAGATCGGAAAAGAATGTGACAGTCCAACTGCCAGAATGGACAAACCTCGGAAATTTAGATAACTTTTCAAAACAAAATTAGACAGGATATTACTGTTTAGAGATGATTTCACGTTTAACACAGTCAAATAGAACAGGTGGCAAAAACGAATATTGACAGGACATTTAATATAGAGGCTTACAAATTTGACAGCACATATCAATCAAAATGACCCGTTTACTATCCTGTCTGTCAAAAATCAATTGCTTCTCACGAAGTCCATTCATTTTTCAATTTCCCACTCGTGGACACGAAGTAGTACCTTCCGCGATTGTATTTTCTCTTCTTTTTCATTGATGTCTCGTCGATTTCGACTGTTACGGCGTCGCCACCAACCTACTCGCACGTTGGAGCCCTTGAACCACGACCCAAACCGCATTCCACGTTCAACGTTCCCCCCGCCTGCACACACCGCACGCCTGCAACGCCATTGCTTAGACTTCATCATGAAGGATATGGACAGGTCACACTTAGGGCATGTCGCGGCGTTCGGTAGGAGACCGACCTTCATGCACCACACAAAGCAGGTGTTTTCGTCCGCGGTGGCCTTTATAACAAAATGCCACGAAAATTCGCCTACGTCAGACATGTCGTAAGGCACGAAGCCCTCGGGTAAGTCGCTGTCTAGGTCAACTTGGTCCAGCGCAGGCCTATCGGCGTCAAGTACGACTTCCTTCCTTGAATACAGTTGCGTGTCAAATGTTTGAATGGGTTCAAGGCGCCAAATTCCAAGCGCTGGAATATATCCGGAAAATCCGGTTGTGAGTAGTGTATATAAATGTGAAATGACACTTCAGTATATAGATAGTCTATATATCCTATATAACCTATAAAGTTAGGTCATTTGTCAATTCAATCCCGTTGCTTGCTACATATAGACGAGACAATGTAGTTCACACTGTCAACACAACATATTTCGAAGACAAATACACTTCATTACTTCTTAGCTTTTTTAGCAGCCGGTCCTTACTTCGAGGGCTACCGCGTGCTCCGGTGGGTTGCTTGAATGTCCGCAGGCACTACAATAGTTTCTGTGGAAGGCACCTTCAGAGTTGAAAGATGAGTTTCCAGCTCTGGAATATCCTCACTAAGGCGACGGGCTACACGAAGCAGAATAAGAAAAGAGGCCTGTGCAACACAGCTGTGTTCCACAAGCAGTTGGGAGTCGGGCAATGTCCTAACACCAAGTGGGACGTCGGAAGGACGAGGAGGTTCTGGGGTCACAACGGGAGCGAGCGGCAGCGCATCAATTTTCAGCCCAAAAAGGATACGACCATGGCGCGGCCATTCCAAACCATGTACCGTTTGTACATGGGCCTTGAACCCGTCGTTCGAGTGGCGGAATGACTTGTCACGTGACGTGGCACGTCCATTTGCGCATGTAGTTTGAGCGCTGGGAGAGAGCAGCGGGATGTGACAAATTGCCTCATGAGGACAAGCCTCACGGTCTTATACGGACATTAATCGGAATTAATTCCGGATATAACAATTCGTGTCCGGAAACTCCAAACCTAAGTTCAAGTACGACTTCTTGATTCAGGACTTTTCTTTTCAACCGTTGGCCATGAGCGATGGTAAACGTAAGCGGGACTACAACAGAGGGACCCGGACTTGTATGCTCTGCGGAGAGCCGAATGTCAGCTTTCATAAAGATATCATCGTCACTTGATTAGGCACCGATCAGACGAACACGCCCAAAGTATTGAGTGGGACGGTGCAAAGAACCCATTACGACCCCGACAGTACTTCGATGCCTTGTTACTGTGATGAAAGGGCTAACCCTTCAGAAGACTCCACCAGTCACAACGGTATCCTCGTTTCATCAATCTATAACTGATGAGTAGTATTAGATCTTAGCGGCGATGACTTTGATTCGCATTTAGAGCGACTTGTTGCAATTCCAACTACTGTCCACTCCGAGATAATTATTCGAATACTTGGCAGTTTGTGTAAACAACTTGGCCTCCCACTTCCACCGATTCCAGTGCATCAGACTACTGAGATCGCAGCTGAATTACCATCGACGTCCAAAAAGCACCAGCAAAGCGACAAAGTGACGAAGATGTTGAGAAACTTAGGCCACGTGTAATGAAGTAGTTATATACTTGCGGTTGCTACATACTAGTATATCATAAATATTCTTCATTTACTTCGTCAAACCTCAGTGTACTCCAGCAAATTTCAGAAGTTTTCCAAAATCTATAGAAAACTTTGGAGAACTTCTGAAAACTGTTAAAACTTACGAAATTTGTAAAAACTATTGAAACTTCCTATAACTATTAAAAACTTCCGAAACCTTCCTAAAACTTTAGAAAACGTCAGAAAACTTCATGTCATGTAGCAAACTTACAGAAACCTACCGAAAAGAAACAGGAAGCAACTGAGGCTTCTACGCTACTCCATGTACTAAGCGCAGCAATCGTTTCATTACTTCTGAGTTATGCTGAATGCAGTATCTGCATTACTTGAGGTTTATCATTGGTGGCGTCAAGACCTTGGGCTGCTTTTCGCTGCCCTTGTTTGCGAGGCATAAAGCGAGAACTGTTGACATTAGAGTTATGGCTTGTTGTACGACACAGCTGTTGACGTCGTCTTTCGACTTCCTCTTGGCGGGTGGACGAGCTGGTACTGTATCAGGGGGCATAAATGCCCCCGAGTTGACGTCGTTGATGGGCAAGGTGAAACTGCGTAAACCGCCATCCGATGTTCCACTTTTGATTGCATTTTCAAATGCCGTCATGTTCAAGACAAACAAGCGATACAAATGCCCGTTGTTGGTAACTGCCTGCTCGACGCGAGTAAACATATTTCGCAGACGCAAAATACGAACACTTTCCTTGGTGTGGACTTGGATTGCTTGATACCTGCAAGCGATAGCGTCTGAGTTGATGCCGGTACATCCAGTTGAAATGTATGACAGCGCTCCACGGGTGTATCTTGTAAATTCAATCGCCCGAGTTCCGTAGTGTACAGCGGGCGCAAGTTTGATACGACAAACAGGGGTAACGATATACGACAATACGCCTACTCGAACAAAAATATCGATATTGGGGCTGTTTGATACCTGAGAAATTCCTGCACAAGGAAGATAACTAAACACGAACAGCTCGGCACGTCAGACATGGTAGCATCGTGCAGAACCACCGAGTGCACAGCACGTGGAGAAAGTCCTTCAACGTCCGAGACGCGCCACGTTGAATCATGGAGCACCACAGGCAAGTCATGGATGATGTTGAACTGGGCACGCCAATGCGATTCTACGTACTGCGACCAGAGATTTCTGCCTTGTATGGCTAATACAATTTCGTCCAATGCAATTGCCTCCTGCCTCTCGAAAACGCGCAACAGGTGCTGACAGCTGATGTAGGTTGAATCCTCGTAGTTCTGACTTCTTCGTTCCTATCACTTAAACTAAACTCAATATGAGTGTTTAATTTGTACCTCGAGTTTTCAGGACCAAATTCATGCTCTCCCCACACTACGTCGCCAGGCAACTGCAAGTAAATACATGCCCTGTTGTGCATGCATGAGAAGGTGCATGATACATGATATATAGGATATTTGTCGTACCAGCGAATGCTCTACAGACTTTTTCGCGATGTTTGAAAATACTTTTCAATGATTTATGCGCCGCGGCGGTAGCAAAGGTGCTCAGTGCTGCTGTATGTCGAGAGTAAAACTCGGATGGGAGCATAGAGGTGCAGATCATTGCGTTGCATTCTCTCCGAAATTCACTGGAGAGGGCGCCTAAGCCGGCAAATGACACAAACACTTCCTTCTCAAAGTGTTTGGCGCACAAAATGTGCACCATTTCGAGGTCTCAAGCAACTCATACTTCGAAGTATTATCTATAAAAAAAATTAATTTATCAATTTAAAAATATCCGTAAAAATATTTTGGTATCTGTATAAATTACTTGAAAATCCTACACTTAATATATTATTTAACAGCAAACCTATATTATTTTCAATTTTCATAGGCTGAAGAGTTTCTGATTTATAATTCTTAAAACTGTAAAGCAATAAGTCTTTCGGGGTTAGTCCAATCGAATAGCGGCAGCCCAAACGCAGACAATCGACTAGCCAATGAAATATCGTCAATCCCAAATCCCAACCAATGGTAGTCCGGCCCAAGGCTTTCGCCCATTTGTCCCAAATGAACTATTTATATTCAATTTTCGCATGGTATACGTTGTATGGTATACAATTCTGCTCTTCCCGGCATCGCTGATGTAACGTTGATGGCCATGCCGTTCGATAACACACTCACTTCCACCTTCATGCCGTGCAGTGCGTGCTTCTTGCTGAAGAAGACCCTCTTCTCTCCAAAGCTGACGACCGGTGCGTGCGTCTGTTGGAACGTCACGTCGACAGCATAGCGCGCGCTTGGGAAATGTTTGAAACGCTTTCCCGACTTCGTCAGGTACTCCATGGTGGGGTGGGGGGCATGGAGCGAAGCGAGCGAAAAATGAAAATGGCTTGTGTGAGTTTGGCGCCAATGCATGTACGCATTTTGGATGATACTTCATGCATTTTGTGTGCATGTATATAAGTTTTGAGAGATACAGTGTGTCCAGAAATTATAGACGCACCTAAATTTTCTTGGCGGCGACACTCATTTGTCACATTTAGCGATGCCACGCGGCAAAACCATCACTGCCGAGGAGCGAGGCCAGATAATGGCCTATTTGAAGCTTGGTAAGAAGCTACGGTGGATCGCCAGAGCTCTCCAACGCAGCGATAAGCTCGTTCGGACATGTGTGGCCAATTTCAGCCGAAAATTGCCACCCAAGTACCCTGGACGGCACTGCAAACTGGCCCACCGAGAAGTCCACCGAATCTTCCGACTCGCCACACGCAAAGAAAAGTCAACTAGACATATTTCCGCTGCTCTAGGTGGTAAAGTAAACCATTCTACTGTGTCCATTGTGCTTTACATGAGCAAGTTCGCGAAGTACATGAAACGCCGCTCGAGTCCCCGTCTGACAACAAAGCACAAGAGGCCAGGGTTGAGTTTGCGGCAAAATACTTCCACAAGCTCGATGCCATGAAGAATACTCTATTTACAGACGAGAAGAAGTTTAACTAAGACGGTCCAGACGGCTGCCAGTATTACTGGCACGACTTGCGCCACGAGGTGCAGACCTACTCGAAGCGTGTCTCTTGTGGGGGCTCAATATTTGTTTGGGGTGGCATCAGCTATCACAACAAGATTGATTTGGCCATCCTGGAAGGTCACCAAGACTCTGAGAAGTACAAGAACTCGCTTTGTGGGTACATGATCCCAGCAATACGCGAAATTGGCCGTGCGACAAGTGATGGTACTAGAATTTTCTAGCAAGACAAGGCCAGCATCCATACGTCGAAGGTGTCGAAGGCGTGGCTGGATGCCCTACCGTGGCCAACGATGCCGTGGCCTGCCAAGAGCCCCGATTTAAGCCCAATTGGGGTGCTCTGGAAAGAAAAGTCTATGCAAATGGGCGGCAGTTCGAGACCAAGGCGAGTCTGAAGGCCCAAACATTGGTCTCATGGAGCGAAATTGAGCAGGAGTACTTACAAGACTTGATTGAAGGCATGCCTACTCGCATGGCTCAAGTTCTTTTGCGTCGCGGTAACTGTATTGATAAATAGTTGACCCTTTGAAAATGCGTCTATAATTTCTGGACAGCTCGAAATGATAAATTTGGAGATTGCACGATCTAAACAGATCTGTTGGTGAAAACTCGCTTAGGGGATACTCTTACATACGCCTGTGATAGTAGGGCACCATGCAGATAGAGGGGAATGGGATGGCATCATGACGAACTCGAGAAAATTTAGGTGCGTCTATAATTTCTGGACACACTGTATTGCTTTTTGACAGACGAATACCGCCCAATTCGTTTTTGAGACACGTGTTTTGATTTGTTGGTCTTGTGTTTTCGGAAGTGACTGAGTGATTCTCTAATTCATTCAGTAAATAGTCAATGGCTGATGGTACGTCTCATCGCAATTTTGTGGTGAGTTATTAGCCTGTTCATCTGTTCCTTACCAAAAGCGAGGTGACTAACAAACGTTAATGACTCAAGTGCTTTGAATTGTGATGTGGTAAATTGGAACTTGGCACATATTTGGTTAAATACCAAGTCACTGGTATTGAGGTCTAACGTTAGTTTGTATTAATAACTGTAAACACCACGCAAAAGTACGCCCAATTAGAAATTGTACCTGACAACTATTTGGGAGCAGATTAATAGCTATTTTGACCGTACTGGATGCTGTGATTGGCCAGTAAGTACTCCGGATAATCCGGATAGGAGAAATCGTAGTGTTACCACTGCTGATGTTCATTCCCACGTAAACTGGAAAAGGCGCCGCGGCGGCCACCAACAAGGACTTGATGGGATACATATGTGTGGTACCACAGTTCGTGGAGAACAGTAAGAAGCTGACCTCGAATGAAGTGCTGAGCGACAAAGCCACCTTTGACACCATCACCAAGACGGAGAACTACCTACCGTGTTTCCATGACCCGGCGTTCGTCCAACAGCAGTTGTACGTGTCGTTCATCATCTGGGCTTCGTTTCTGTTTTTCTCGATCCTCTGGGTCGTCGCATCCAATCAACAGAACCGATCTCTCAAGAACGACGAAGTCGGTTTCTCGCTCGCGCTGCGGCAGTGGGCGCGAAAGGATCGCATCGCCATCATCATCGTACGACCGACTCACCCTCGTCCTCCACCACGTGACGCTTCGTTGTAGAATCGCCCAGTGCAACTTGTTGCGTCCCTCGGTATCTTCGTGATCCTCGTGAACCGATGCAACTACCTGTCCGTGGACGTCGCCGAGTACTACATCGGCCTCGCATTGTACCTCGCGGCGTTCGTCGACACCCTCGTGCGGTTCTGCGCCGCCAAGCAAAAGATCTCATACGCGTTTTCTCCGTACACAATCCTCGACATCTTCAGCTTGGCGTCGTACTTTTGCGTTGGGTTTGCGCCCAGTCTGCTCATCAACGGCACGGCGGCGCGCACGTGGCTCGACTTCAGCATCATGCGGTCTATCTTCATCTACCGGAGCTTCATGGAGATGGACTCGCACTTCGACACGTCCACGCGGGGCATCATGCTGTTCCGCCTAGCGGTCCGGTGCTTCCTTTTGCTCATGTGGGCCGCGTCCGTCATGTTCTTTGTCGAAATGACTGGCGAAATCAACGCGTTCGTCGACAACGGGTTTGCGCACTTGTATTCTTGTCCCAATGGTACCCCCATTGTTGGGAAAATTCCAAAAACTAATTGGATGTCGATAGGCACGATCTCGTCGGCATCGAGCGACGGCGCGTGCGGTTCCGAGACCTGGTCCATGATGTTTGCGCTGTACTTCACCGTGGTGGTACGTTCCCAGCGCCGTCGTCTTGTTTGAAGGATTTCCTCGTTAGACGCTGGGCACGGTCGGGTACGGGGACAACTCGGCGCACTACCTGCCGTCGCGGTTGCTCGTGATGGTGTTTATATTGGCGGGTATTATTTTGTTTTCGATGGAAATTCAAAATATGGTCAATCTGTACCAACTGCGCAAAATCGGCAACCCGCCGTATCGCCCCAAGTCGCGCACTACTCAGCACGTTGTGATTATGGGCAACCCCACGTATCCCCAGGTATATATATATATACCCCACATTGTCTGTCGTCACTGTATCGCATGTTTGTGTGTAGCTGTCGGCAACGTTGCGGGAACTGTTTCATCCAGACCATTTCCAAGGCATCGACCGCACGTTTCTGCATGTACGGATGATTTCTCCAAGTCTTGGATCTTGACTCACAACGTGTAGGCGGTAGTGCTTGGTGACTCGTCGTCCAAGTACGTCAAAGGGCTCATCCAGCGCCTGGAAAGCGAGCCCAAGTTTGCATCCACCGTGACGTTCGTCGCTGGAGATCCCACCGACGACGCCGACTTGGTAGTTTCCGTCGCATCACACTGATTTTGACACGAAATTATACCTGAATTAGGACCGGGTTCGACTGAAAGATGCCATTGGGGCGTTTTTTATTCCGGACAAGGTACTAACTACACAGTGTCGACTACTAGTCGTGACTATTTGTAGCTCGCGTCGGACGCTGTGAAAGAAGACGCACGGAACATCATGCACATCTTGTCGGCCAAGCAGTACGCAGGGTACGTACACTCTATCATGTGTCAGGAACCGCATCCTCTTGACTTATTTCGATGCTTTTTAGATATGACTTTCCATGCTGGGCCATTGCCCTCCGCAACGATAACATCCGCCACATGCTAGCCGCGGGCGTGGACCGAGACGGCATCGTGTGCGAGGAGACTATGAAGATGGGCGTCATGGCTCGCAGCTGCGCTTGTCCTGGCTACGCCACGTTCCTCTCCAACCTGGCGTCGTGCTTGTCGCTGGCCAAGCAACCCGACTCGCCGTTCGCCCTCCGATCGAAAGCGGCCCTCGGCGGCGACCTGAATGCCGCACCATGCGTCGCCGCCGCCGCCGCGCAGCCATGGATGAACCACTATTACGCTGGCGCGTCTCGCGAGTTTTACGTCGTATCGCTCAGCAAGGTACTGTACTCCCCACTTACAAAAGCGGTTTGTGTGTGATGATGACGGCGGCGGCTGGTAGGAGTTTGCCGACATGACATTTCGGGACGTAGCGGCCCAAATCTTTACGCGCTCCAAGGTCCTACACTACTACTACTACGATCTGAACGTGTTGTGTCTCCAAGAAGTGTTTCTAAATGAAATGGACAGGGGTCGGTGGTCCTGATCGCCGTGGAAGTGGTGGTAGACGACCCGAGCGAGAGCGACGCCATGGCCGCGCGCATCCATGGCGTCCGCGTGATGCTGAACCCAGGCCACGCCATGCGACTCAAGGAAGGCAGCTCTGTGTACGTCATCGCAGACGACCTCGCCAGCGTCCAGGCGTTCCACATCACAAACGACGACGTCGCAGATGACGAGGACGATGTCGTGCACAGCCCTCGTCCGTCCACAGGACGACAGTCGACCCTCCGCACGCCGCTCTTGCCGTCGTCCTCTTCGATGTTGCCCTCCACAACCCACCCAGCCAAAGCCCCCGTGCCTCCGCCCAGGCGCTTTCGTGTATCCTCCACCAGTCCTGCTGGTTTTTACTCCACTTCTCACTCTCTCTCTCTCTCTCTAGACTTTGCTCAGTGGCGAAAGCATGCACTTGGTACGATACATACCCCAAGTGTTGGTATTTGTTGTGAATGTGAGTTGTGGTGGTGTGTAGGATTCCACGTTGGATCGGGTGGTGTCGTCGATTCGATTGCCGACGCGACGCCCGGACCAGACCGTGGACCCTCGTCGGGCGTCGTTGATGGACGTGTTTTCATCCGGGTCGCCCGTCCACGAGCAGCCGCGGGAGCTGACGCCGCCGCCCATGTCCGTGTTGGAAGACCCGCGGCACATCGTCGTGTGCAGTTTCTTGGGGGACGAGTCGTTGGCGGCGCTCCAGTGGTTCATCTCGCCCCTTCGAGGGGTGTATTCGCTCAACATGCCGCCGATCACCATCTTGGACGCGTCGCCGCCGTCGGGGGACTGGGTGTCGGCCATCGCCAAGTTTTCCGATGTCGTACGTAGAATCTATCATCCTCTCTTGCGCCATGTTTACCTCCTCTTGTCATCCGTCGTAGTATTATGTATGCGGAAGTCCGTTGGTGTACCGAGAGCTGCAGCGTGCCGGCGCCAAGTCGGCGCATTCGGTGCTGGTGCTGGCCAAGAAGTCCAAGGCCACCAGTACCGACGGAGGGGCCGGACCGATGCAAACCAGCTTGATGGACGCCGACGCCATCTTCACGACCCTGCTGGTGGACCTCAAGATGAACCCGAGTCGCATGTTCACGCTCACGGAACTCACAGACGAATCCAATTCCAAACTCCTCAACAAGCGGTTCCTCGTCCAGCAACCTGGCGCACCCCACAACGATGGCTCGACGGATAAACTGCACTCGATGTGGGACATTGCGCTGAGCGCGTCCGCGGGTGTCCACAACGGCAGCACATCGTCGTCGTCCGCGCCGTCGATTTATTCGATGCCGTTGTACATGTCGGGGCGACTCATGCACCCGCAATTCTGTGAAAACCTCCTTGTCCAGGTCATCTCTCTCCATGTCCACCTCAAATACCCCAAAAAGTGAAATATATTGTAGTCGTACTACGACCCAAGCATCCATCGCATCTTGCGCCAGTTGGTCGGCGGACCGCGGTCCACTGGCATCATTTGTGCAGTGCCGCTGCCTCGAGCGTACCACGTACGGTTCCTCTTGTGTCATTTGAACTTATCGGTGATTGCAAATTGACTTTAGAACGGCAACGTCGAGTATGGACTACTCTTTCACGCGTATGCAGACCGCCACTTTCCCGGCATTCTCCTCGGGGTATATCGGAAACCCACCCCCGCCACCGACGCTTCTGCAGCATCGTCGATCCTTCCTGTCGTACTCACATGCCCGGCCACCTCCCTCACGGTGAATCACACATTTGTACATACTGTATCACATGGCGATGCTCTAGATGGCCGACGGCGACGTCTTGTACGTCTTGTACGGGTGGAACGTGCTCGAAGACGCCGCCAAAGCGATTCAAGTGGCGTTTCGGGCGTGGAAAGGCGTCCGCCCGTGGCTGTCGCACCCCCCGCGTTCCCTCATGCGCCGTCGAACGACCAAGTTGTAATTCTATAAACTGTATATACACTACTAGTAGTAGTAGTAGTGTTTAACTGTGACGTTTGGCCTTCTTGTTGCGTTTCGTGGGCTGCATGACGATCTTCTTGCCCTTCTTGTCGCCCCCCTTCTTCTTGTCCGCCGCCTTGGCATCACGTTTGCGCTTCTTGCCCTTGGTCTTCTCGAGCAGATCCGCGGGGAGTGTCACATGCTTCCGCCGCTTCCGCGCACGTTCCTTGGCTTCCACTTGCTTCTGGTTGGCCGGGCCCAAGAGCACGCGAAGGTCGCGCAGGAGCGCCGGACGCACGGGGTACAACGCGTCCGCGTGGCGCCACTTGGCCGCGTCCCAGCCCACAAACAGCTGGACGCCGTCCGTCTCGGTGCTGGCGGCGGGGATCGTGCCGGCACTACTGCCTTCCTTGTCTGTCGCTCGCACAAACACAAACGTTTCGCTGTCCCAAATGGGAAAGCTGCCCTTGGACAGCACCTTTTTGTTCGAGTACCCCGGGTACAAGCACCGATCAAACACAACCGACCCAGTGTGCCGCAGCCCGTTGGCTTCGGCGAGGGCCACCACGCCCCATTGTCCGAACGGCGGCTTGGTCTTGTGCGTGACGTGGACTTCGCCGTGGGGGGCCAGCACGCCCACTACGGCGGTGAAGAACCCTTGAAGGAGCTGCTTGTTGTCGTCCATTTCATTGTTTTGGCCGTCGGCGCCGTCGGGCATGCGCACACACGGAAAGTTCCAAATCACGCGGTCAAACTTGGTCGCGCCGGCCGCCGCCTTGAGCGACTTGGCGCTTGTGGCGTCGACTTCGTGCAAAACAGACGCACCGGCGGTGGTCAATGTGTCGAGAATGGCAGAGCTGTCGGGGTAGGTTTCCACGACGGTGTCTTTAGCTTCGTGGGAGGTGGCCGTAAGTTGGGACGCCTCGCCAAGGTACCCGAGCAGTGCGCGGGAGAAGGAGAAGTTGCCGTCGCCCAACGTCAGCACCTTGTGGGAGGGCTGAAGGAGGACATTTCGAGGGACAATCTCGAGTTCTGCTTCTTCTGCGTTGTCGCCGTCGTCCTCTCGGGCGGCGTACGGGTCGTTGAAGCGCGGGCATTGTTCTGGTCGCACATTCGGCATGACGTCCTTGCCGCCGTAGATGAACAGCTTGTAGCAGCATGGTCTGCAAAGATTGATGGCGCATTGAATCGTGTTGGCCTGCACGTACAACTTGTCCGTGGCGCGGTCCGTGGCTGTTGCCTCGCTCATCGTGGTTCAACGCAAATGTGGTGGTGTTGGTGCGTATGTGCACATTTGATTGGCTGCGAGCTACGTCATATTTCGTAAAAACTCAAGAAAACACCAATATTTTTCTATAAATATGTTATTAATAATACTACGTAGTACCGAGTAGTAGTACTAACAGTTACTTCGAAGAACTAACTAGTACTACAGAATGTATGTCGTGAAACCGACAACAGTTTAACCTTGACCCAGGCTTTCTGCTGCAGACATCTATGGCCATTCGTCCGTCATTCACATGCGCGAAAACATTTAACGACTTTAGCTTATATGTATGTACAATTGGATCACCTGATTCAGGGCAACCAAAACCTCTCGTCGGGGCTAGACGTGATTCTTCTCATGTAATACATCAATTCACTTGTCAAACTGGGTACTCGCAGCACCGTCACGTCAACCTTCTACTTGTGCTCCTTGATGAGACGGGTCATTTCCGCAATGCTTTCGCGCTGCTGCTTGGCATATCCCGACACTTGATCATGGAACGACGCGCCATACTCGTTGGCGATCATTTCAAAGTCATTCACGCTACGAGCCCACTTGTCCAAGACGCCGCGCATGTTGTCAACGCATTTACCTCCTTCGTGGCTCGCGCATTCCTTGAGCTACGCAGCGTCGTGTTCATGCACCGAAGATACAAACCCTCGTCCTACTTTGGCTTCAGCCTCGGACGCATGTTGCTGCGAGAGCGCAAAATACGCCTTCGCTCTCGCCTTGATCTCGTCATCGTGCTCTTCAAAGTGCATCTTGAGCTACGGCTGAATGAGTTCTACTGTAAGCGTCACATGAATGAGTGATCACGTGCCAGCTGAGCTTGGGCCGAGGACGTGTCAGGTGCCGCAAGGATGGCCGCCTTGGACTCGTGGAGCTTGGACATGTCGTCGTGCGAATGAGCCATCGAATTCAACTATGAACTCAACGTTGAAGAATTTGTGGTGAAATTACGCTCCAACTGCCGCAACTCGTTGGACTATGTGCTGCTAGTCGTTAAGTGTCTTGAAAGTCGATTATAGCAAGAAAGCCGCATCAAGTATCGTGTCATTTTACGCAAGAGTACTTTTTCTAGTTCCATTGCCACAAGAAGTACTTGTACGTAGTCATGCCCTTAACGTTAACCCACTATATATACTAGTAGGACGGAACACCTTGCTGCAAGAAGTTCAGCTACAGTACGTAGCCATGCCCTTAACTCACTACATATAGGACGGAACACCGTTGACGAGAAATACAGCGATATACAATGCAATATTCATGGATTACAATCAATACAGTAGCCGGTGTTCCGCCGCGTGCCTATTTGTCCGCCTCCTGCTTGGATTGTTCGTGGGCGCGGCGAGCCATCTCGTCGATGTGGTCGCGCTGCTTCTTGACGTAGTCGGACACTTCCTTGCGGTACGAGTCGCTGTAGTCCTTGCCTTGCGACTCGAGATCGTCCAAACTGCTGCGCCACTTGTCCATCGACTTCTTCATGCGGTCGTAGTAGTCCCCGCCCTTGTCCTTGGCGCCTTCGGCGCATTCCTTGAGCTACACACATGCCACCGTGTCAATCCTAGCTCACAAGCATATCACTCACCATGTCCTGGGCCTCAGTTGCGCTCGACTCGACAGAGTCAAAGTAACCAGATGCCTTTTCGCGGACATGCTTGCTTTCGTCTTCGATGCCGGACTTGAGCTGTTATCACGTCTCTATGAGACCTTCGCACGTCATGCATCGCTATCATACCTTTTGGAACTGATCCGACGTGGCTTTCCACCCTTCTTCAAGCTTTGATCTGAAGTCGCTGCCCATTTCGCTGCCTTTCTCCTTCGCCTGGCCAGCCTTCTCGCTTGCCTTCCCGGCCATCTCGCTGCCCTTGTCCTTCGCCTCACCGGACTTTTCGCTAGCTTTGTCCTTGGCCTCACCGGCCTTTTCGCTAGCTTTTTCCTTGGCCTCACCAGCCTTCTCGCTAGCCTTCTCGCCCATCTCGCTGCCCTTTTCCTTAGCGTCGCCGGCAGTCTCGCTCGCTTTCTCCTTGGCGTCACCGGCCTTGTCGCTAGCCTTCTCGCCCATCTCGCTGCCCTTCTCCTTAGCGTCGCCAGCCATCTCGCTAGCTTTTTCCTTGCCTTCATGGGCCTTCTCGCTAGCTTTGCCGGCCACCTCACTGGCTTTTTCTTTGCCTTCGTGAGCCTTCTCGCCGACTTTCTCTTTGGCCTCGCCGGCCTTTTCGCTGGCCTGTTCGGCGACGCTCTTGTCGCTCTTGTCCATGCCAGACAGCTTCTTCATCTTGTTCTTGGCGTAGTCGGTCATGTCGGCGATGTGCTGGCGCTGGTGCTTGACGTAGTCCGTCACTTGATCGCGGTACAACCCGGCGTGCTCGCTGGCCTTCGACTCGAGGTCATCCAGACTCTTGCGCCACTTGTCGATCGAGTCGTTCATACTCTCGTAGTACTCGTGGCCCTTGTCCTTGGTCCCGTACGCATACTCCTTGAACTACAACCAGCCACAGTAGCCCCTTTATTTTAGCCACCACAACCAGCCAGGTAGTACTCATCTATCAGACTTCGTACCATTTCCTGGGCCTTCGACGCGTGCTGGTGCAGCGAGTCGTAGCACGCTTTCGTCGTTTCGCGGACCTTTTCGTCCTGGGAGTCGTAAATGCCCTTGAGCTACACACCACCCCCCCACATTAGACGTCATATGTAGCAGCTTCATTAAACAGTCGCCTGCCTTGTGGAGCTGCTCGTTCGTGATGTCCAAGCCCTTGTGGAGCTTGTCAGTGAGCGCGTCCATCATGCTCTTGTCGCCTTTGTCGGAACTTGCCATCTTGTGTCAACCACGTGAATCGCAAAATGAGCTATGATGGCGGGGGCTCAATGCAAAAGGCAACCGCCACATGCCGGTGGACAATGCAGTCCCCCCAACGGGACTGTACGTCGCCCTTAAGTTTGAAGGTGGGACAAGCAACATGCTTGGGACATTTCAACGGTTGAACGACAAACGGTCGGATCCATGCCATACTAGACAGACGAACAAGTACTTCGTACTACCGTACTACGTACAGTAGTAGTGTTACTGCGCTTATAACAAGGTTACTAGTATGGTGGGATGGACTAGTCGACGGCGTCTTTCACAAGGGGGCTGGTGTTGCGAGGGGTGTAGTTGGGCCAGCTAATTCGATGGCGTCGTTCACTAGGGGGCTGTTGCCGTGGGGTCGGAACAGGGGGTAGATTGCCACGACCTTTGGATCTTTCTACGAAGTTGACGCATTGGAATGTTGTTTTATGCAGATATAGTAGACCAACGTACTTTAAACGTGGAGTCGATCGATGACGATGTTGGAGGCGTCTATCACAACTCAAATGTGTACTAATGTTATCGCGCCGTGGACAATGAGCTGGTGCTGTATTGCCTTACTCGCAGCGTCATGGTCACATGCATGCCTTCTAATAGGGCTGCGACGCGAGAGGAAAACGAAGACGACTTTTCAGTCAGCTATGCAATGAATGATGACACGAAGGGTTGGGGCCATCTAACGACTGACCTCAAAGTAGATGGTGGCTGAGCACCCCAGGAAGCTTTCAACAACTGCATGCAGAGATGTCTTGTCACGATCAAGGTTAAGTTTGCTCGAATAATGTACCTTCGTTGAAGAGGATCACAGTGAGCAAGGTGAGCCCGATTGAGCAGCGCAACTAGTGACGTCGTCATGGAGTACAAGACTGACAAGTGCATTGTGATGTGAATGTACCACGAGTTTGAAGCTAAAGGTTGCATTTCCAGAGTCGACGGGCCGACTGCATACATTGCACATGAACTTATCTACCAAAGCAGAGGCAGGGTGATGATGTAGGTATGCTGATGAAGGAGCAACGGACGTGGACGTTACTTGTTTCGTAGTTGCGGGTGTGGATGGCTCGACGGCACGTAGGGCATGCCACGAATCTACTAGGCGTGGTCAAGAAGGCTACCGCAATGCCATGCATGTGCACTCACAGCATCGAGTCCACGGACGCCTGCTCAATGATGGCATGCGGCACAAAGTTGCTCTTCACGGTTGCCATGATGGTGATTAGTTTAACTTCAATATATCACTTGCGAATTGTATGTGATTAATACCACAGAATCATTGCCGCCATTCGAATTGCAAGGGGCGTTTGATGGCCATTCGGCGGGCACTCCTCACGCGACGCAGTGCCGTGCTTGGGCACTGGAGTAACAGCGTCGCCAGCGTCGCGGTTCCTACGTCTCAGGCAGCTTTTTCATTCAGCAACGACCATCGCATCAAGCAGCAGCAACGTCATGCTGCAGCTGTCCATGGCCAGCGCAGGTTGTTGTCCACAGACGTCGACCTCGGGTACTTTGGTTCGTACAGTGAACGCACGGGCGAGTGGGAGCCAGACCAGAGCCATTTGGACGAAGTGGTACGGTCGGACTCGTTGGACGCACATCCTACCCTTCAAAGTCTCATCCGCGACGACATCGAAGAAGCAAGGCGGTTCTTCCGCAACGTGCTGCAAGTCCATTATCACAACGACATGGACATGTGGAACAAGTGGGCCACCATGGTACGCGACGTCCTTCCCGTCCACTTCTTCACCTGTATGACGGCCACGACCTCGTAGGAATGGAAAGATGGCAAGATCGTCCTCGCGCGCAAAATCTACGCGAAAGCGTCCAAGATTCGGTTCAGTCCGGTGCTGTACCAGTCGTGGGGGACGATGGAGTCGGAGCTCCAGAACTACATGGAGGCGCGGCGACTCTTCTCGGTGATCCTCGCCACCGACTCGAGCAACAGCCTCCAGGCGGCGATGGCGTCCTTGGGCCTCGCCCTGGTCGAAGATCGCTGTGGCAACACGGCAAAAGCGCGGTAAACACATGCCTCTCCTTCGCTGTCGTCGAAATCACTGGCACTTCCTTTCCCCTCTGAAAAATTCGTAGTCGCATGCTCCTCCAAGCCAAGAAACGGTTCCCCGACGATTTGCATGTGGCCGAGGTAAGCTCGTCCGTCCGTCCCCTCTGTCTTTGCACTTGTCGTCGTGGATGTAGGCGTATGCACTGTTTGAAGGGCGGCATGGCAATGTCAAGCTGGCGCGGCAGATGCTGTCGGCCATAGCGGAGCGAGGGGATTGCACACCCCAAGTGTTTCACGTACACCCCCCATCATCCAACGAGAACGTTGTCACATGTTTGTTTGCATTAGGCGTGGGCGTACTTGGAATTCCGACGAGGAAGTTACAACGAAACCCTGAGCATCATCGACCGGGGACTGGTGACCGACCCGTACGACAAGCCGCTGCTCATGCTGCGGGCGCTGGCGCTGGCCAAGTCGGGCGACAATGAAAGCGCCAGGGAAGCCTTTATCAAACGTACGAGAAGTGCGATCTCTGGTTGAAAGCAGTGCTCTTTTGCTTGTGTGTTTGGTTGTGGGCTCAGTTTACAATCTTGGTGTTGAAGGGGTTTGTGACCACTAGACACAAAGTTTGCCAAGGGAGACCCGAGAGCGTTCAACGCGTTTGCCCAATTCGAAGAAGAGAACGGCAACTTCGAAGAGGCCCAGCGCATCTATCACTCGATTCTGCAGCAGCAGCCCACGTCCGCGTCCAACATCACGGTACCCCTGGCTCACGAACTTGGTTTCGAATGAATGGGCTCATCAGTGCGTTTCTGGCAGGGCTTGGCGTACTTGCAAGTGAAGATGGACCCCGAAGGCGGCGTCGAGAGCGGTCGCGATGCGTTCGCCACCGGCGTCAACATTGCCGTCGACAACGCCGAGCTGTGGCATGTACGAACGATGCAAGTGATATATGCAAAATGATATGTGACATGGTTGTAGAATTGGGGGATTTTTGAAGAGCGTCACGGCACGCCCGAGCTGGCCAAGCGGCTATACACAGAGGTATAGTATGAACGATGTACTTTTTTGTCCTGACAGAAACGGGTAGGCCGTGGAGAAGGCGCCGTGGGCGGCAGATTACTGGTGCTCACTGGCGCGAGTCGAGTCAAAGCTCGGGGATACAAAGGCCATGCGCGTGACGTTAGACAAAGGTAGAGATGCCTCGTCTCCAAGGGTTGCTTTGACTGATGGTGTGTAGCCACCATGATGTGCACAAACAAGTTGCCTCTGCTTGTGGCACTGGCCAAGCTTGAGCTGAAGAACCGAAACTTTAAGCAAGCGCGGGAAGCCTGCGTCGCAGCGCTCAAAGTCGACAAGAACCGACCGTCTACGTGGAACTTACGGCAAGTGGAAGGATGGTAAGAGGAGGGTATAGATAACACTTTTTTGCTGTGCAGGGCCATGGTGGAGCTGGTCCACAACCCCGAGCGAGCCAAAGGCATTGTCGAAAGCGCGCTCAAGGTGAGGATAACAAGCTGGCCTTGATGGCCTCTGACGAGGGCTATGTAGATCATCCCTACGCATGACCACGTCAGTTGGGGCATCCTTCTCTGCACGTACGCTCGATGCTACGCGGCGATGGGAGACTACGACAACGCTGCCACGTCGTTCAGGGAAGCGATCCGCCTCGATGCGGGCAACTACCACACACACATGTACTTGGCCAACTTCATGGAGAAGATGGGCGAGCTGGAAGAAGCCAAGAAGCGGTACGAGACGGCGAGTCTTCTCTGTCCGAGCAACAAGGTCCACCTCATGGAGCGCCACATCGCCGACGTGATCGCGAAAGCTGAAAGCGAACGAGGTGTTTAGAGCTGAAAAGAGGTGCGTGCGGTAACAGTAGTAGTACTGACACCGCTACGTATTTTTACTAGTAATATAAAATAAGTACTAGTATGTGATAATTTAAAAAGAAAACATCGAAATATAGCAGAAGTTAACTTAACGTGAAGTTAGCATCAATGTTTGTCATAATTTATGACAATCTTAACTATCAAGTACATGACTTTGTCGTTGAATTGCTCAGCAACGGCATGTCTGGGCGTGATACATTTAAGATTAAAACTGAAGCCATGGGTGCGGGCTACTAAATAAGATGTGATGTGCGGCGATTGCACTTATTTAGCATGCGTGAAGTGCTATCAAACATGCAAAAAAACTGAAATATAGCTTACTTTGGGTGTGATTATATCCTGCAATAAGCATCGTAATTCAGTCCATAATACTTCATTACGTAGTATCGATGCTGCTGTACATGCTACCATGTTTTTGCATTGATCGGCGATCTCTGAGCCACGAAGCAGCACATTACAGTAAAGACAGCATTTTGGCCAAATATACTGTAGTGTGAAGGTTAGCGTGAAGGTTCAATTATTGTCACCTTGAGCTACTAACGTTAGTATAATTTATAACATACATTGATATGTTATGCTATACTATTATGTGAAGTATATTTTTAACATTTTAACTTCATATTTTTAAAAATTATGCAACCGTTTTGTGTGCAGGAACTCATCGCAATCGAAGATTATTTTAAACTCGAAGATTTTTACATTACTCGGTGGGGATTCTCTAAAAATAGAGACTTTTCCATTGAATTTTGACAAATCACATGCGAGCACTGCCAGGTCCAATCATCAACTGGTTTTGCTTTCACTTGTGGGTTTCAAAGTTGCACTGTTGTGCCATGTCCAACGACAAGAAGGCGAACAAGCAAGGCGGGTTCCAGTCGCTGGGCTTGAGCCCTCCGATCTTCAAGGCCGTCATGGCCATGGGGTACAAGGTCCCGACGCCCATTCAGCGCAAGTCGCTGCCGCATGTGCTCTCGGGCAAGGACGTCGTGGCCATGGCCCGTACCGGGTCGGGGAAGACCGCTGCGTTTCTCATTCCCATGTTGGAAAAGCTCAAGGAACACAGCAAGAAGGTCGGCGTGCGCGCGCTGGTCTTGTCGCCGACGCGTGAATTGGCTGTCCAAACGATCAAGTTCGCCAAGTCGCTGGCCAAGTACACGGACATCAAGTGCGGCCTCATCGTGGGTGGGGACTCAATGGAGCAGCAGTTCGAGCTTATCGCGTCCAACCCGGACGTGATCGTGGCGACTCCCGGTCGTCTCATGCATCTGCTGCAAGAAATCCCCGAATTCAACCTCCAGGCCATCGAGTATGTGTGTTTCGACGAAGCCGATCGCATCTTCGAGATGGGATTTGCCGAGCAGCTGCACGAGATTCTCACCAACATGCCCGCATCTCGGCAGACGCTGTTGTTTTCCGCCACGTTGCCGCGCGCCCTCGTGCAGTTTGCGCGCGCCGGGTTGACCGAGCCCGAACTCATCCGTCTCGACGTCGAAAACCAAATCTCCGACCAGCTCAAAGTGAGCTTCTTCACCATGCGCACCGAAGACAAGAACGCGGCGCTGGTGTACCTCCTTCGCGACATGATTCCGTCGACCGACCAGACGATCGTGTTTGCCGCCACGCGCCATCACGTCGAGTTTCTGCACGAGTTGCTCAAGACGGTGCATCTGGACTCGTCCTGTGTGTACGGGGACATGGACCAGACCAGTCGAAAGATCAACATTGGCATGTTCCGCGCCAAGAAGACGCCGATTCTGATCGTGACAGACGTGGCCGCCCGCGGGATCGACATCCCGTTGCTCAACAACGTCATCAACTACGCGTTCCCGGCCACGCCCAAGCTGTTTGTGCATCGCGTGGGGCGCGCCGCCCGCGCCGGACGGTCTGGCGTCGCCTTCAACTTTGTCGATCCGGACGAGATGCCGTTCATGGTGGACCTGCACTTGTATCTGGGCCGGCGGCTGGAGGACTCGACGCCCACCGACGTCCCGGGGTACTCGCTCACGTCGATGACGGTGGACCAGGTGCACTATGGCACGTTGCCCCAGAACATTCTGGACACGGAGAACGAAGGGCTGAGGGAAACCCTGAGCCGCCACTCGACCATCTCCCCGCTCGTGCACGTGTGCGCCAACGCGTACAAGATGTACTGCCGGTCCCGCGCCGAGCCATCCAAGCAGTCGATCAAGCGATCCAAGGAGCTGCCGATGAAGAAGGTGTGTATTATCGTTAGCATTGGTCGTGGTGTACATTGCCTCATGATCAAGTGTTGTAGGTGCATCCGCTGTTTCTGGACGCGATGGACGACACCCAAGTGAACAAGGAAGCGTACTTGGACAAGTTGAAGGGGTTTCGCCCTCCCGCGACCATCTTTGAGATTGCCGTGGGCACGCACTCGCTGAAAAAGACGTCCCCGGGGGTGATTATGATGAAAACCAAGCGAAGACTGCACAACCTGATCATTGACAAGAACCAAAAGACCAAGGCGGCGGCGGCGACGGCGGCCCGCGTCGAGCCGGAAGACGTGGCCGAAGAGCTGGACGAGGGCCAAGTGACCGAGTTCCGCGCCAAGTTGAAAGAGCAAGAGACGCTGTTGCAGGCGGAAGACCAAGCCATCGAGGCCGCCGTGGCGGGGCAGAAGCGGTACCTGTCGGCGGCAGACCGTCGCAAGGTCAAGAAGCTCAAGACGCAGGGTGAAACGGTCGACATTGACGAGCTGTGGAAGGAGAAGGAAGCGGCCAAGGCCATGACGGCGGCAGCGGCTGTCTCCAACGCAGAAGTCGACGAAGACAACCACAAGCAGTTCAAGGACGACGACAACTACATTGCGTACATGAAGGAACAGGATCTGGCGACGGAAGAGGCGCTCGGCCGCGGTGGCGAAGGCGGCCGAAGCAACGCGTTTGCGCAGGCGCGGCTGGAAGACGCCATGCTGGACGTCAACCCCGACGAAGCGGTAGCGCTCAACAACAAGCGGCGGCTGCTGCATTGGGACGTGCGCAAGAAGAAGTTTATCAAGACGACTGTGGGAGACCTCAAAAACGGCACGCTCAAGCGCCAGAACAACGCCGGAGGACCCCCCCGCAAGCAAAAGATTGGCGAAACGTACAAGAAATGGCAGCAAAAGCAGCACAAACGCGCCAACGTCGTGGGGGCGGACGAAGGGGAAGACAGCGCCCCCAAGGGCGACTACCGCAACGGGCGCAAACCGCCGCCGACCCAGCGCGTCAACAAATTCGCCAAGAGCGAGCTGCGGGAAGAAGGCGCGATCCGCAAGGAAGAGAAGCGGAAGGCGAGGTCCAGCGGTGACAAGTCCAAGTTTGCAAAGAAGAAGCCGCAGACGTCCCGCGGCAAGGGCAACGTCAAGGGCAAGACCCACGGAGCCCCCACAAAGAGCAAAATGTTCATTCGGCGTTAATAATAATAGAATTTTGTGTACTATTGTCGATTTGATACACATTTGGGGAAGGGGTGCAATCGAATCGCGCCGACCAAACCGATCCACAATCGATCTGATTGGTTGAATTTCATTGAGAAGGTTTTGATTGGCTAATAATTTTGAGCCCATATGAGGTAGCCAATCAAATCGATTTAAATTCCAACGAGATACCACGCCACCACACGAAAGTTCACTCGAAAGCACTATACTACTCGACCATTTTTATTTATCCCTCTCATATTAGTACTACGTAGTATAACGTAGTAGCTTATTGTTAGCCCTTGTAATAAATGATAATGTTAATAATATTGCTGATGACTTGGTATAGAGTAAATCTATTGTCAGGAGGTCTATTGTACTGTACTCATTTACCAACTTGAATGTCTATCGGTTTATTTGACCGAGGTCCTGACAGTGAATATTGGGCAGGGGAAAACTAATAATTGTACTAACGTTAGTAAGTTAACTGTAAATTAGTCGTTATTGTTCCTCTAAAATAATTGAGTACGACTTACTGGGATGGACAAACCAGGTTGGTGAATTGTTACGCCGAAAAGAAATAAATATTGAACACCCAAAATTGATTTCAATATACCTTCTTTTCCCCTGGCTCTGAATTTTCACTCGTCCAATTTGAATGTCATGGTGGTGCGAGTTTAGTTAGCCCTATGCTTTGCGTCGTCGTTCTTTGTAGATCTTATCAATAAATACTAGTATCGGACATTACAGGAACGGCATCCATCCAATGTACATTTGCGCCAAGTTTTCGTCGGACGTGGCTTCCGAGATGAGCCGGTCGACTTGGCCTTTGACACTCAAGGGCAGCGTTTCGTGCTGCTGCTTTTTGCCCAAGTTCCAAATACCCCTCAGCCGTTCGTCGATGGTTTTGAGCATGATCTTGGCTTCGCTGTTGACTTGCTCGTGGTTGGCGGGCACAGCTTTGAGCGTGGCGGCGCCAGTCGTGCTTTGCTTGCTCTTGCTGCGTCCCCACTCGACCAGCGGATCGTGCACAAACGACTCCAAGATGCTGCGCAGCGTCTCCCGGTTCTGCCGCAGCAGCGTCAGCGTCACTTCGCACGTGTGTCTGTACACGCCTTCGACGCCACTCAACCCGAACGCGTCGATCATGTTGGGCGTGAGTCGGAATGGGACGATCTCCGGGCGCGCCAGTTTGAGTCCCTTGTCGAAGAGGCAGTCAAAATCCACGTGGACGCACTCGCCTGTGGTGCAGTCGATCAAAATGTTCTCGCCGTGCCGGTCGCCCAGCCCGACAATGTGCCCCACCATTGACCATACCGCGGCCGACCGCACGAAAAGATCTCTAATAAGGGATGATCACCGTTACAATGACGAGGAGGATAATATATATATATTGATTGATTCAAGTGGATTCGAAATTTTCGAGTGTTTGGGTGCTTGCTCAATAGAATGAGCAGAATAACTAAATCGGCAGACAATATATCGATACACGCGACCAATCAAAACCCAGATCACGAATCAAGACAGCCAATCAAATTATCCACGCTTTGACCAATGAACATCGAATGAGGATGTGACGTCAATTAGTGTGACACGGGGCGATCTTTGCGTACAAACAAGGCAGTACAAACAATCGATATATCGATAGATTTGGCGAATATCAGCACACAAACGTCCAAATTTAAGGTAAAAGGACAATATATATATATATATCAAATCATGCCGTACCGTGCTTCGTACCAGGCTGTGGGATCGCTAAAGTTGTTGAGGAACCACTGGTGAAACCGAGGGGTAAAGGCGAGATGGGTCAGTATCTTGGTGCGGTACACCAGAGTCATGTGGGGAATGTCGTGCGCGTACTGCTTTTGCATGTTCAGAAAAGTGTCTTTGATGTCCGTGGTGAGGCGCACGGGCTGGAGGAAGCCCTGTTCGGTCTTGTAAATCTGCGATATCAAGTGCCGCATCGCGCGGGTGTTGGGTACCCACTCCATGAGCCCGCTTTCTTCGTTCAAGCAGATCACGGCGTACGTTCGAAGGCGGAGCTTTCGCTTGCGGCCATCCGTCTCTCGTTGAAGCAGCTTGTTCATGAGCGCATTGAACTCCATCATACGCGCATCTTTGCGCAAGTCGCCGTGCTTTTCGCGCTTACACAGGAACGAGTACGTCTTGCCGTCCGTGCCCTGGACCTGGATGCGCTTGGGCTTTTCTTTCGTCAGCATCACGTCGGCCTTGTCCCCAAATGACTTGATGTACACGTCGCTTTCGGGCAGGTCGCGTCTGTTGATGCTGCTTTGAATCGGGAGTAGCACCTTGGCCCGTACCCGCGAGAGTCGGACAGGCATCTTCTTTTGGTTCCCCGGGTCAAACTCGGCCAGTTTGATCAGCTCTTCCACGAGCCGCATGCCTTCGCTCAGCGCGTTGGCCATATCCACTTGGTTGGAGTTTGTGAGTTGCTTCTGGGCGACTTTGAGGATCTCAATTGCCCGCGTCTTGCGCTGCATATTGAGCGACTGCGCCAGCCCCAGCACGTACCACATGGCTCGCTGCGGGAACGCCATGAGCACCCGCACCATGATCGCTTTGACGCCGTCGACGACCGCCACGTTCGGATGGCAGATCCGCGACGTGACTTGAGGAAAGCACACGAGCCACATGCTTTCAGGCAAACTGTGCAGCGCGTCCAAGATGATCTTCGAAATGTCTTGCATCAACCCATAGTGGTGTTCGGATGACGATGGAATGTCGAGGCGGTAGCTGCGCTTGGTGGACTGGCTGGCTTGCAAGATCTCACCAAACTCGTACCACAACGTCAATAGCCGCGGCAACGACTGAAACAAATACTTGTCTGTGCCTTTCAACGACAACACGTAGTTGTGCAGGACGTGGGGCAGGTACGCGTACGGCTCCCCGCTCGCGTCTTCCCCTTCGCGGCGGTCGTTGGCTAGCAGCACTTCAAAGTACTTTGCCAGGCAAAAGTACCCCTTGGCGTAGTCCTTATCGAATGCAATCACGGCTTTGTACCGATCGATCACGTGCTGGCCTTGCTTTTGGCTCGACTGTTGCATGTAGTTTGTTGCCAGGAGCAGCATCTTGGCGTCAAAGTGATTGTCCGAGGACCGAGGGTCCATGATCGTACTCACGTCGATGGGAATCGGCTCCAGCACATGCAGCGCCTCGTACATGTTGCCGCGCTCGACGAGCAACTTGGCTTGTTCGATGATGGCGTGGCGGTTCCCCAACGCTTGTGCGTGCATCACGGCGCTCTCGGCGGTGCGAAGAAGCCCTTCCTTTCGCGCCATCTTTCCGTATTGCAACCAGTTGGCCGACACAATGCTCCGATCTAAGTGCAGATCTTCCATCATGACGCGGCGAAGGGCCAAGATGGGTTCCTGGAACTTTAACGCTGGCGCCATCATGGCATCCCGACGGTTCCAAGGACATTGGGCATTCCAAATGGCCGTCTTGTTGGCCGACGCTTTGGACACGAGATACCCTTGCTCCAGTTCATGCAAAAAGTGCAATTGGTGCAGCAGCGGGTACACGCGCTGGTACGATTCCTGCGACGCCGCGGCCAACGGCCCCATGATGGACGCCCGCGCCTCGCGCAAGTGCACGTGCATGTTGAGCTGGTTTTGGTGAAAGCACAAGATGGTTTTGGCAAACTTGATGCCCATCATGTCCTCGCTTTTGTCCAACTTGACCTTCATCGCGTCCGTCGTGAGCTCAGTCAAGAGATCCCATCGTGAGAGCCGCCACGCACACTCCAACGCGCACGGGTACACGGCCGGAATGACCTCGGGGTACTGGTTCACGATACCCCGGACGTGCTGCAGCGCGCCTTCGAGTCGCCCGAGTTGAATCATGCACTGAATGACCCCGGCGTACAGTTCGCTGCGGATTTCCACCTCAACGTCCGACCCGTGCATGTGATGGATGGCTTGTTCATAGCACGCCAGCGCGTCTTCCCATCGAGCCAAATGTTTGTGTTCGGCGATCAAATGCTGCAGCTCCTGGAACGACCCCGTGGGGTGGGGATGAAGCCACCGCCGTTGCGTTGCCAGCCCCAGCAACGCATCCGGCTCGTCGAGACTGCCGTACATTTTCTGCATCTTGGTGATATCCGTCGACGTCATCTGCACGTTGTTGCCTTGTTGGCGCAAGTGGCTCTCAAAGTACTGGATCGCTCGAGCATACGCCTTGATCTTGAATGCCGCGGACGACAGCAGCGACAACGGGATATCTTTGAGGAATTCCTCGACAACCTCCTTTTCCTGGTCGAACAGTTCGTCCATGTGTTTAGCCATGTGGGGCTGCTGGCTCAGCGCGATTTTCTTGCGCTGACTCGCCCATACCCAGTCGTTGAGCTCGTCCAGCATGGAAAACACTGTTTGCGCGCACTGGTGGTGATGGCTAGACACGGTGGACGCCTCGCTGTCGACGCTGCTGTCTTCCTGCAGCACACTCAGAATCTCCTGCTTGACGAGGTGGTACGACGCCGACTGCTTGAGCACGTTTTGCACCAGGTACGGCAGCAAGAACCGAGCTATTTCCAGCGAAATCGTCAGCGCGCGGCGACACGCAAGGAAGATGTGGCGCTCAGGAAACGTCGAGTGATCGATGAGAAACTTGCACCACGACACGAGCCACTGGTCAAATGCGACGGAACCGAGCGCTTCGTAGAACGTGGACGATGGCGGCATGGTCGTGGGCTTGAAATTCGGCGCCTGGTACTTGGTCGACCAGTACGGGGCGATGATCTTGTCGACGCCTTTGCTGTGGAACTGGCGCTGCATCCACTCGGGCATCGACGACGACGACGGGACAAACAACACCCCCGACGAACTGGCGGCGGTCGATGAACTGCTGCTGTCTGGCGCATTGAGCTGCGCGAGGAACTGAAGCAGCTGCTGGATGGACAGCGCGATCACGTCCGTGTTTTGAGGGGCGGCGCGTAGTTCGTTGACAAGGAGGGTTTGAATCAAATGGCACGCCAGGTTCTTGGTGCTCAATTCATTGGTTGTGATGGGGCGCAGTGCTTGGGGGGTGATCCGAGCCATGTCGATGGCCCCGAGCGCGCCGAGTGCTTGGGCAACCAAGATTTGCATGTTCTCTTGGGTTTCCAGTCGACTCAGGCGCAGCAGTTGCTTCAAAATGCCCATGATGCAAGTATGCACGACGCCTTCTTCGAGGGACAAGACCAAGTCGAGCACTTCGCGACTTCGACTGTTGAGGATGTGGATCAAATGCAGCAGCCCCACTTCCCGCACCGCTCCGTCCCAGTGCTGCAGGAGCGGAAGCACAAGAGCCAATACTTCGTGGATGGGCAAGTGTTTGATTGTTTGCACGGGGAAGTCGTTGGCCATGGGAGTCAGCGCCAGCACAAACGTCACCGACGGGTCGTCGTCGATCATTTCGCTGGTAAAGATCGAGCGCAGCACGTCCAGCGCCACTTGCTGCGCCTCTGAAAGCGGCGGCGTTCGTGTCATCTTGTTAGTGTGAATCGTGGTCTCTGGACCCTCCACCACATGCCGTTGAAATAGCTCGGTCAACGGACCAACGCACGGCAACAAGCTGACAACGATCGACAGCACGTTGGCTTTGATCGCGTCCGGGCTTAGCAGCCGCACAAACGTACGCCATGCCCGGCACGCGGCGAGAATCTTGTCGGCGTGGGCTTCCACAGACGCCAGTTTCAACGTTGCCATGATCTTGGGCACAAAGTTGTCGAGGGCGCCGACTGTGTCGAACAGAGACAGCAGCACTTCGGTGCACTGGATCGCTTGGATGCTGATGCGGACGTTCTTGGAGAGCAGCTTTTGGCCAAGGAATGTCATCACGGCCAGAAAGAACTGCTGGGAAATGTGAAACGTGTCCATGTGGTGGTCTTCGTCGTCGAGAAACTGCTTGCATACTTCTATGAACGACTTCTTGGCGACTTTGGGCCGGTCGCCGGCCAGTTCCCACGCCAGCGCGTAGATGATTGTGAGCGGTTTGTGCTGAATCACGTCGCGGATGCCCACGTCGTGCGGGATAAACCCAAAGAAAAACTCCCACTCGGCCACGTTGTTGAACGACGTGACTTTTTGCAGCAGCATTTCCTTGACGATGGCCAGGATGTGCTCGCCCACCAACGACGCCACCGTGGCCCCGCACGCCGCCGCCACGGTTTGCAACAGCGCCGAATTCTTGGTTACAATCAGATGGGGCAAAATGTGCGCCGCGTTCTCCTTCAAATACAAAGCCACGGTCACGTCCGGCCCGATAAACGCCGCTAGAAACGCTTGCAGCAGATGCGAGTTCGCGCCAGGCACGACCAGTGACTCGACCAGCGGCACGTGCACCCGATCCGGATACTGCACGCACAACTGCTTCCACGTCAAATGGGTCATGATCTGGTGGAGGCCCGCACTTGTCGTTGTCTTGGAGTCCTTCCACACACCCACCAGTCGAAAGACGAGGGCGAAGAAGAGGTCCAGCTCCCCCTTTGATTGCAAGTCGCAATGCCTGCCTAGGGTAGCCATGGCGCGGACTGCGGCGGCTGCCAGGCGCGGCGTGCTGCCGAGTTTGACGTCAAACAGACTCAGCAGCTGGCTACTCGACGGCACCAGCGGGGCTATGACGCCAATGTGGGTCTCCACCGCGCGTTGGCAGATTGGATCGGGGTGTCCGACGGCTTCGGCGAATCGCCACACGACCGACGGCGGGAGGTCCGTGGAGTGCTTGATCCATGCTGCCATGGTCAACAGAGTTTGATGGACAACAGTTGCATCCGTCGACGAAGACCCGATAAGGGATTCCAGAACGGCCGCTACGTCGTGAGTGCGCGGCAGCGGCGGGTTGAGTCGATTGGGTTTGCGACACAAACATTCGTACCGGTCGCCGCCTCCGACCCCCAATGCCACATACGACGACGACGACGGAATGGGCTCCTCGTCGCTTAACTGTGACAAGGTGCAACACAGATGCCCCAGCGTCGCAACGACGGCACACGCGATGGCCGGGCGGGCTGACGTGGCCATCGGAAGCAACAGGTCCGCAAGTGTGTTCCACATGTCAAGGGCGGTGGCCGCCCCCGCCCGCACCACGGACGACATCCAGATCGGGGCAAAACGAACGGCCGTGGGCTGCTGCTTTGCCACCAAGTCCACAAAGACACGGCCAGACAAGGACGTTCTCCATGGCGAGTCGCGCACTAAAGCGAGGGGGTCGTGGCGCGTGTACACCCAGCACAGCACCATCAAGAACTGGTCCAACGGGGGCGCCGTAGCCATCCACAGCTCGACGGCATGGTGGTCCGTCGTATCTGGGCAGGACCAACCGCGGGAAGGTACATTTGCGACGTCAGCATATTTTTGAACGTGGAGCAACGTCGACATGACGGGGAGGGCTGTCAATTCGTCGTCGGTGGCATATCGTAGCGCGAGACCAATCAGACGCACGGATGACGATGGATTGGTACTGCTGCTGCTGCTGCTTGGGGTTTGCTGCAGCAACGTGCGCAGGCGGTCGAGCAGCATCCGGCTGACGTCGCCTTCGTCCTGTGTCCGTGGGTGGCTTGGGGTGGTACGTCGAAGCGGAAGGAGGATCCCAAGGCCCGTGGCAGCTAGCGTGTTGTCGTACGCCATGGCCAGCACCAGCAGAACCAACGACTGAAAGGAATCCACGGGCGGCGTCGCCAGCATCACCTTTGCAATCTCTTCAAAGCTGATTGTGGATATCGACGACGCGTACTCGGCCACCACCTTTTGCCGCTTGTGTGTCGGGGGAACAGCGACGTACTCGGAGTGGAATTGCCCAATCGCGGCGCGCGCGTGCCGCCACATGTTGTTGATGTGGGCGTCCAATGCGCTTTGGATGGCCGTACCAACGGCTCGCTGCACATGTACGTGATGGAGGTCGCAATGAAGGACAAGGTCCAGCAACAGTGTCACACATCGATGCAAGTTGTTTTCGTGGTGTTTGAGAAACGTCCGTAACGTGTTGCAGATGACCCCACACAACGACACGTCTGTGCGCTTTGATGTAGCAAACGTTTGGAACGATGGCCACAACGCCGTTGACAGCGCGCGGGACCGTGAAACGGCGGTCGCTGCGATGCTTTCCAGCAAGTTGGACGTGGATTCTGTGGAATGGTGTGGTAGAGTTGCATAAGCGAAGAACGACGTGGACAGATGAATCAACGAGAAGTCTGTCAGAGCCACCTGCGTGAACAGAAGCTTCAAGAGCTCCAACACAGCACCGTCGACATCCGTCGCTGGCTTGGTGGCGGCGTCCAACAACGAGCCCACGAGTACGCAGAGCTGCGCCATGGTCGGGTGGTGGGAGAGGAACGTAGCCGCGTACCCAACGACCTTGTTGAGGAAGCGCCACATCCACACGCTGAAGAGGCGGACCGTGGCAGCGGCCGTGAAGGTCAATGGAGGCACGGTCTTCTTTCCCATGTCGAACACGAGTTGCGCATGATGCGGGTCCAACTCCTCGCGCTGGCAGCACAGACGCAGTCCGCTCTGCATGTGCGCGGTGTCTCGTCCAAGATGCGCCCCAGATACAAGGAAGCAGTGCACTGTGATCGCTTCGGATGGCCGCCACGACGTGTGCCTTTCCAACACCTGCAGGTCCTCGAGCAGGTCGACAAGGTCGCAATAGATGTGGACGTATCCGTTGAAGTCACTTTCGAGCAACAAGAGCGCCAGTGTCGTGCACACATCAAACACTTTCTGGTGGAGCGATGCGTACTCTGGCGTGGCGAGGAACCGCACCATGTAGAACAAGATCACGCCGGCGTTTGAGCTGAACACAGACGGGGAGAATGGACACACGTCGCTACTGAGGAACAGCGACAGCAGCGTACACAATGTGTCCAGCACCTTTGGATTCGGCACAGAGGACGAGATCTCCTTCATCACTTTGGGTAGCATTTTGCGCGCTTTCCGCAGCACGGTGAGGCATCTTGTCGGATCTTCGTCAATGTCGGGGCCCTTGGTTGGGGAGACGCTGGGTACTAACGCTTGCGCGGGATGGAACTGCTCTTGATGCACCAGCATCAGCCGCAGGACCTTCTCCAAGTCGTTCTCCATGTGGCGTCCGCGCCGAAATTTGCGGCGGTGTTCCTATATCGAATTCTGCGCTTCAATCATGCAAAATGCATATCCGGTGAAATCCGGATACCACTCATTGCCATTTGAAACTTCCCTCCAAAACAGCGTTGCTGTGATGGACAAGCGCAAGTCGGACGCGGCATCTGCAATTCAGCGCAAGAAGAAAGCCAAGGCCAACGAAGTTCATGGGCGTATTCCGATCACAGCGTTCTTTGAGAGGATACCTCCTCGTCCAAGGCCTGAAGGCACACCTCCTGCTGCACACGACCATGTAAGGCCAGCCACAGAAGCCTTGTCGGCCTTAGGGTGATCATTGCTTGTAGATTGAAGAGATCGACGAGGATGTCATTTCCACTGAAAGGACGACGAATACAGCGCCATCAACGTCGCATATGGTTCAAGAAACTCTCAAGTTCGAACAGAACGAGAAAACAGTTCCAAAGCGAACGTTCACCAGATTTCACATGCTCCGAGGACGAGAATTACGAGGCGGGTTGCCGCTACGCCACAGACAGCACGTACTCCGCAGCGTGGTCAAGTCGTACGCGCCGCTGGGCGTGGCGCCCTTGCCGGACATTCAACCGAGCCAATGGATCAGTTGCATGCAATTCGACACGGACGGCGTGCTCTTGGCCACAGGATCATCCGACGGAACAATCGCATTGTACGATTTTGACGAGTATTTCCACCGCATGCTTATGTTTTGCAACCAAAGAACCAACATGGAAGCTCCAACCACCACCGACAATATATCTATCTCACTATCCTCGGCATGTCCTAACGTCGGCGTTCCTTGCTGCATCAAACCTGTACGCCATGCTGTATCGACCATCACATCATAATCAAGTTAACAAACTGTATGCCATGTAGATCCATGTACTACACACACGCCGTGAGCTCAAGCGCATTCGGTGGAACCCTATGGACCAAGTACGTTGTTGATTCTACCTATGTATATCCCATACTAGTATATACTAGTCATTCTTTTTACTAGGACATGCTCGCGTGTTCATTTACATCCCGCAACGAGATCTTTCTGTTCAATTTGAAGAAGTTTCCGGCCGAGCCGTATCGCATCTTGAAAGCGCCGACGCGGCCGTCGACGGGGTACTATGACTTTTTGTTTACGACGTCGAGTACGTACTACTACTACTACTAGCACTACTACTAGTAGACTGTCCATCGACATTGTGCTCATGTTGGTGTGCATGCATATATGGTAGAATCAACCAACGCGCCGTGTCTTATTGGCGGCGACGTGGACGGATCCGTTCGGATGTGGGACCTGCATGTGCCCTCGAAGCCTCTGTGGACCGTGGCCCACAACCCTCGCGAAGTCGGGTGCATCAACTCCATGTGCCTCTGTGCCCGTCGCCAGCACCTCGTCTGCGCCACCGACCAAGCTTGGATCGTGGTATGTCAAATAGCTTTTCATGTGTAATGAGTACATATATTTACAGTTAATAGTACATTTACCTGTATTGCCGGATTGGGCGAAATCAGTAGTTTTGGATTGGTAGAAATTCGGCAGAATGTGATTTGATTGGCTTAGACGTGTTTTTAATATCTATTTTCAAAAGGCATTCGATGCTCCAGTTTCGAATCATATAGAATACTGTAACGTTGGTTTGACTGTGAATTGATTGGGGGGTAGGTTTACGACACGTGGCAACTTGTCGTGCCAGCCTTTGGCCAACGACCAGGGCCGAAACGCGTGGCCATGTTTGACTTGCTCGTGCATCTTCAAGGTCCACCACAGTACCTCCAGTACTAAACCAAGTAGGTTCAACTAACTGCGATGATGTTAGGAACCCCTGCGACAAGGCACGTCAGTGTATCCTTGGGGGGCGGCATTGTAAGCGTGCAACTCGTGCCCCACACCACCGCCACCGTCGTGTGTCAGCTCCTCAACGACTGGGTCGTCGTCGTCGATGTATTGCGCCCCCAAGTGCTGCAACTGCACACCGTTTTACGAGGCGACCCTCGCCTGAACACGAACGTGCCACGCTTCCATGCCGATCCCACCATGTACTCCAACGGTACCTACCCATCCACCCGTCGCAGTTTCCTAACAAGGACAAAATGGCAGGCGAAGAGGGACCGTGGACGTCGTCGCATGTGCTATCTGCGCGGACAGAGGCGTCGTACTTGAAACTGCACCGGTGCATGGGCTCTTTCGTGTTTGATGGCGCCGTCTTCGCCACGGGGTTCGCCAGTGACAACGGTCTGTATGCGATAGGTACTGTACGCAAACGACGACGACGAGTTCTATCATAACACCGTGGACTCGGTAGACATGCAATCCCCACCTTCAGCCCACCCCGCCGCCAAGGACAAGGACAAAACGGAACCGCCGACGTTTCACATGCTGCGCCGCCTTCGCATCCCCATGGACCAGATGGTCACGGCCGTGGCGGCGCATCCAGTGTCCCATGTGATTGTGTGCGGGATGCAGACGAATGCATTGGCCGTTCTTGGGCCCGTCGCTTCGGATGAATCTACTACCATGACGTGATTGATCGTAATAAGTCCATTGTGTAACGAACGTACGAACGACGTATTGTATTAGTGGGTTAATTAGATGGTAGGATTTATGGTTGTGGTGGTGGTCTTTTGGTCTTATTCGTGGAACAATTGCCGGAGGGATTCCGCGACCGTGAGTGTAATCATCACATGCGGCGCAATGCGGATGTAGTACGTACCGAACCCGCGGTAAAAGGTTGCGGGGCCTTCCTTCTTGATCACTTGGACCACGCAGTCGGACAACCCAGTGTACGTGGACGTGCTCTGCAGCCGCGTCTTAATAAAGTCAAACGGGAGCGAGAACGCGCTGGCGAAGAAGCCGGCGGTGGCGCTCGACATGAACACGGTGGCCGTGCCAGGACCGTACAGCGGCGTCAGGACGTCCTTGGCTTGGTCGTACATGGCCAGCATGCCCATGTTCAGCGCCATGGCGCGCAGCACGGTCGGAAAAGATCCTTTCCACAGACTCACGACGCCGTCGTCTGCGACAATGCGCCGGAACGCGTCGCCGACGCCGCGGTAGTTCTTCTGTTGGTCCACGGGCAAGTGCGCGTCCGTCTGCATGCGAACGAGGACTAGATCGCATGGGTTGCCGACGATGGAGCCGAGGCCCCCTGCCACGAGGCCCGCGATCGCTCGTTTGTAAAACGGAAGCTTGGCTTCGTCGGACGACTTCAAGCGTCTGGACAGGACGTCGAAGATGCCGAGGCGCGCGGTGGTGTACGTCGCTTGGCGGAGAAGGCCAGCACCAAGGCCCGTGTACAGCGCCGTCACTCCCTGGGAGCCCACCAACTCGCGCACGATCGCAAACGGAGACGCGACGGCCGTCCGGGACTGGATCTGGACCTTGACCATGTCGATGGGCTGGACGCACGCCGTGGCGACCATGCCGGACGTGCCTCCAATGAAGAACGGCAGCGCCGCGTAGTATAACGACGAGGGGTCGGCCATGTTGAAGACGTGGCCGGAAGGGAAATGCAGCTGGGGGAGTTAGTTCCAACAATCGAACCAACCAGAACTACAGCGAAGTTACTTCAGGTCACATTCAAGTTGAAGGGCCGTAGTTTATACTCACGTTTGATGACGTCATCGTTGATGTGGTTGCACCCAATCAAGATTCGACATTCCCTCGAGGTGGCGCCCCTGGCATCGGCCGAGGCAGCGGGCACATCTTAACTGGGTGTTCTCCTTGGGGTAGGGGCCGCGGCACGCCACCATGAGCATGGAAGAAGGCGGCATGACCACTGGAAGAATTAACCTGGACATTTCACATCAAAGTGCAGTTGTAGTGACCGACGGTTGATTGGTTTTTTAAATAGAACCTAATAAAAAAACCTATTAAAAATACGTCGTGCCCCCTTGAATGCACCAACGTGACAGTCGCATATCATGGGTGCGACAATCTGTTACAGCCAATCAAAACCGTGGAATCCCTACATGTCATGTTTTGATTGGCTAAATGATTGCGTCACCACATCGGCGGTGCCAGCGTCGTATCCGGACACATTCGGATGTCACGTGTGTGTGTGGTCGCAACATTGCATTATTCGTGAAGATTTCACTCCAATTTTACGAAAACAAGTGGATATGAAATACTTGGATTTGATTAGCTGTAATTCTGGCGATAAACCAATCACACGAGCTTTAGATCGAATCATTTCAGCAAACGAGGCGAAGTTTCGACAGTTTTATGGGCAATGGTTGAACTGAGACCCCGGTTGACGAAACGAGCTCTATAAGAGGCATTTTCCAAAACTTCCTCGTCGACACACATGAGTCCGCACCCCAAGTCGGCCAAGAACGTCGGCTTCCGCGACCTCGTCAACGGCGGGGTCTTGCAGTGCCTGGAAGCTGCCACGCTCGGCATGCCGTTTGAAGTGTGGAAGACGCGCATGGGAAGCTACCGCACCGAAACAACGTTGCAAGCGTTCGGCAACATCTACAAGCAAGGCGGCGCGTCTGCGTTTTGGGCAGGGACTGGGGCCAAGATGGTGGAATCTGCGTCCAAGGGGGCCATTCTGCTGTTCTCGAAGGAAGCCATCTCCGACTCGTTGCTTGCGAGCGGAGTCAGCGAGACCGTCACGGGATTTGCTGCCGGTGCTGGTGGTGGGGTGTGCCAAGTCGTTGTGATGGGTCCTTGTACGTTCCTGGTCACTGCCGCTGTCAACGGCGACAAGAGCATCTCGACCACCCAGCGCATCAAGAGCGTGTACGCGGCGAAAGGGGTCAAGGGGTTCTACCCCGGCGGGAGTGCGATTGCCTTCCGCCAAGCGACCAACTGGGCGTCCCGACAAGGGTTCACTGAAATCGTCCGCGGGCAGTTCAAGGTCATCTTCCACGGCGACGAACACGCCAAGCTGACCGTGGCCCAAGAAGCCGGCTCAGGTATCATCGGCGGGGCGTTGGCGTGCTGGAACCATCCATTTGAAGTGGCGCGCATTCAAATGCAAACGGCCGCCGAGCGTGGCGAGCCCAAGCAAAGCATGATCCAAGTGTTCAAGACTGTGTCCAAGGAGAACGGCATTGGCGGCCTCTTCAAGGGCATCATCCCGCGCATCGGGCTTGGCATCTGGCAGACGCTGTTCATGGTCACGGGGGCCAAGTTGGTCAAGCAAGCATTGGACGGCAACAAGCACTAGTAGGCCTAGCTCGTTAGAAAAGAAGTAAGAAATATACAAACATGCGCTCAACCTTCGTCTCATTGAGGCCCAGCACGGCGATGCTGCAATCCTATTTAAGCAAGTCCAAATGTCCTGGGAGGCCATGTGATGGCTGGAAGGAAAATATGATGAAGTATGGATGTTTGTACATGTGATATTGAAATACTATATATTCTGGGCCATTTGATATTTATTGGCAGCAGCCGCGGGAGATCAAGTCAATGTACTTGGGGAACGATCCGTCCTTGGTTTTGACGCTAAGGCGATTGCAGAGGTTCACCACGGGGCACGAGTGATTGACCAAGATGGTCACGCGGTCACCCACTTGGGGGGACGTCGCCGGACCCGCCGGGGCGTGCGCCACCCATCCGTGCTCTTCCGACAGCTTCTTCACTTCGAAGCACACGCTGCGGTCGCCAGACGGAAGCGTCCACTCGAAGTCGGTGGGCTCTGTCGTCACCTCGTCAAACTCATGCTCGCGAAACACGAGGCCGTAGCAATTGCTGCCAAAGTCCCCGCTTCCCCGCGCGCTGCAGGCATCAATGTAACAAATGGTAGGTGGAATTCAAAAATTATAACAATTGTTATATATGTGTTATATGTTACAACGTACGTGTCGGCAGAGAGCACCTTGGAGCCGGCGTCGATGATAAAGTAGTAGGCGTTGGTGCTCACCACCGTGGCCACGACCGTCAATGATACGTTTTGCACCGTGGACACGCCAGCTCGCACGGGCGTTCGGTCTTGAAAGACGTAATTCCCAGGACGCAACTAATGTTATAACACCTTGTTGAATTATAACAATCCGATGAACATCCGACGAACAGTACCTCGGTGATGCCTTCGTAGTTTGTGCGACACAGTTCGGTGGGGGTGCTGCCGACGGACACGACAGAGATGGGAGACCCCAACTACTCGCATGTGAAATGGCATGTGGCAGGGGCATCAGCGCTACCTTTTCAATCGTGGCCTTGACGCGCAACATGATTTGGCGCTCGACTTCACCGATTTCTTCGCACTGTTCACGCGACTTGGCGCCATAGGAATGCCCTACACTCGCGGGAGAGTAAGGATTCGACGTATATTCCCCCTTGATGCACTACCAGCATGCGAAAGGATGCCAATTAGCTTCAACGATGGGGATCCTTGAATGAGCGCCACGAGCTCCGCAAGTCGGGGGTCGTTTTCCTACGTTTGTTGGGATGTTATGGAGACAACGACGGCGTGGAATAGCACTACTTCGACGCCAACGCGATGGTATCCGACATCCACATGGATCAACACGTTCAGGACGTAATCGTTCTTCGCAGCGCTCGACGCAGCCACCTTAACGCCCACCACGCTCTCGACTGTGAGGTTGAAGGTTGTGCCGTACTCTTTGGCAGCACGGATCGTAAGGTTCAATTTCTCTTCCACAACAACGGGGTATGCGAGGGTGATGTCACGAAAGCCAGCTTCGATGAACTTTCGGGCTTCGAGAGGCTTGGACACGGTCACACCCACAGCACCTGCAGCGAGGACCATCTTGGCGATGTCAATGCTCTTGTGCGTCTTCGCATGAGGGCGGAGGTTGACGTTGTGCTTTGAAGCACGCTCTTGCATGAGAACGATGTTCCGTTGCAAGCGAGCTTCGTCCACTACGACGGCCGGGGTATCCACCCAAGATGTGCTCATGATGCCCCAATCTTGAATTGTTGTAAAACAGCCTTTTTCTCGTACGAATACTTCGAAGTTCAGTAATCGAAGTACTGACTAGTAGTACTATATAGAGAGAGTAGTAGTGTCACTCTCATCACAGATAGAGGGGTCAGAGTACTAGTAGTAGTATTAAAATTTGCTAGCCTACTAAATCCAGAGGTCTTGACACATATTTGACACATCGAAGAAGCAACGGATGATTGCATGCGTGGCAATCGTAGGAGCGAATGTCCGTTGTATCGTTGGTGCATGTGCTAGGTGTTGATGATGCATGTGTATGTAGAACAACCCTTTGTTTGTACGCGCGTATGCCGAAGACGACGACCTGTCCTTTCATTACGTCGCTCACATCGCGTTGGACATTGTCGAGGAACGAGGTAGACGCCACCATCTATCTACATGCATCGCTTGATTGTGCGTGTAGTCAAGCAGTCCAAAGACGACATGTACTTGGGTTTCTTGGGACCTGTCGAAGATTTCCGAGTGTACGTGCGTTGACATATCTGCGATGTTCACGTCGTTTCGTTGTTGCAGGTACGGCTACGTGACAAACACGTTGGTGAAGCTGCTAGCGATTGTACAAGACACCCCCATGAAGGAGTCCGACATGCGAGCGGTACATTCCTCATGCGACTGATGGCTTCTTCATTATCACCTAGTTTTTCTCCGTCATGCACAACTTGTACGTGAACGCCATGTCGAATCCATTTGCCGTCCTCGGCGAGCGCATCGCGTCTGCAAAGTTCGACAGGCAGGTCACCAGTCTGGTCTTGCAGCACAATCAGACCCAGGAAGCGCGTTAACGATTCAATCAATCATTCGATTTCTAGTCAACGTAAATAGACGTGGACAGCAACTTCTTGGCTTTTCGGGGCTGGGGCATGCCGCACCCTTCGCACGAGTCGGCCTCCAGTGGATTGTGCATGGTGCAACGGTTGCACGCCCAGATCACTTCTTCCTTGGTCTCTTCTTCATCGTCGTCAGCGTAACATTCTTGTCCAAGCATGGACTGCAACTCCAAAATGCTCGCCGCCGCCGCTTCCATGCTTGGCTCTTCTTGATGGGCGTCATCGTCGTCAGTGCCAGACAACACATCCATGTGGGTAGATGGTTGCTGATGCTGGCGGCGCGGGGCCGCTTGGAACTCGACGTCGCTCAAGTCGGACACTTTTGGTCGCTTCAGAGTCGGCTTTTCATACAAGTACGCGTCGTGGTCACTCTCAGACTCTTCAACTTCGTCGTCTGAGCTGTCCAACGCCTTGTGGGGCGATCGTTTGATTCGTCCGCTTGGGGCTGGGGGCGTTGGACGGCGCTTGGACGGACGAACACGCGGCAGTTCAACCTCCTCTTCCTCGTCAGACACACCACTCTCGTCCTCCTCCTCTTCGTCGTTGTCGGCATTGCGACGTGTGGCGGCTTTTAGCAAATTCTCTTGGTCGACGGCAAGTTGGTCCTGGCGCTCCTTTTCCGCTCGGACTTGGAACAGCTCCCAATCCACACGGCAGCTAAACACAAAACTGACCTACGCATGTCATGTTTCGGCATGTGGTGACCAGATACTGAGTACCAACGACTGGTTGGCTTGTGCTTCTTGCATGATTTCATCGTCCACTGTAGCGTACGAGTAATGATGGCTCCAGTTGTTCAAGTCTTCTTCCGCAGGCATGCTACAGAATCACCTTAGACAACGCAATAAATAAATAAATATATATATATATATATATATATATATTAAGACGAGATCCACTGCACAAATTTATACACATATGCGATACAATTGCACAAATATATATATATACCCAAGTTGGGGCTGCATGCACCACCATAGAATGATCGTCGCAGCTTTCGTTTAATATATATATATATTAAGACGAGATCCACTGCATAAATATATACACATATGCGATACAATTGCACAAATATATATATATATGGGGCTGCACCACCATAGAATGATCGTCGTAGCTTTCGTTGAAATAAATATATATATATATATATATATTAAGACGAGATCCACTGCATAAATATATACGCATATGCGATACAATTGCCCAAATATATATATATATATATATATACCCAAGTTGGGGCTGCACCACCATAGAATGATCGTCGCAGCTTTCGTTTGAAATGTTGCAGCGAAGGCACTTCAACTGATCGTGCGTGTCCGACGGCGTGCCCTCCATAAACACAAACAGTCTCTACAGTAGAGGTCCCTGTTTTAGCCACAAATACATGGCTAAATTAACGATATTCACCTTTAAATCCTTGGTGGAGAGCGAGTTCACTTCTTCCTTGTCGTCCACGATACTTTGCAGCCCTTCTTTGGACAACTGGCGCTGGAATATCTTTTCCTCGAGGGTACCTACCACACATAAACGTTAACCAATGCAACCACATTTCTATGCAGTGAATGTTGATTCTAAATCATCTTTGGTAGGTACGTATTAAGCAGCACCTGTCGCAACGAATCGGTAGATAAAGCACTGCTTCTTCTGCCCTTCTCGCCAAATGCGCGCCGCCGCCTGTTTGTCCGTGGCGGGGTTCCAGTCGGGATCGAACAGAACCAGCCGGTTGGCGCCGATCAAGTTGATGCCGCACCCGCCGGCTTTACTCGACAGCAGAAACGCAAACGAATTCGACTTGGGGTCGTTGAAGACGTCCACGAGATTCTTCCGCTTCTTGGCAGACGTTGACCCGTCCAAGCTATTCCATGGCATTGTAGTGATACTTCAATGGCAGATATATGTTTGACGGATACCGAACAGCGGGGAAATTGCGCTCCCGACACAGGGCTGACACGACATCAAGAGTCTACTACAATAGTTAGAAATTTTTGAGGTAAACTGCAGTATATATCAAGCGTACCTGAGTGTAATTGGACACGATCACAATTCGGTCGTCTGTCTTTCGCCGCATCACTTGCATGAGCCGGTCCAATACTTGAAACTACGAATAATACAAGATATATATATACAGATATTTATTTATTTTACCTTGCCCGACCATTCAGGATGACACGAGCGTTGGCGATGTCTACAGAAGGTTGTGTAAACAGCAAAAAACAACGACATAGTCTAGTTGAAATATATATACCCTTGTTCAGGAAGGTACGCCATGCAATCTTCAAAGCCAGCAGCGATTTTAGTTTGCCCGTTGGCTGACTGCTCAAAGATCAAGCTCGGATGGTTGCACAACTTCTTGAGGGCTACAGATAAGAGACGGTTGAATGGAAATGGATTTTGTCCATACATCAACTAATATTATCAAGTCGATATATTCGAAATATTGGAGTGTTTGGGTGCTCAATCGAATGAGCAGCACCAAATATCGGCACACAATCGATATACGACCAATCAAAACCCACGACACGAATCAAGTAGCCAATCAAATGATCCATTCGACCAATTCAACATTGAATTAGTGTGTGACTGAATAATTCGTGTGATACTGTGTTTCCATACAAAAGTCAGGAGAAACAATCGATCATCGATAGATTTGGCACAGTATTAGCCCAAAAGTCAGCCAAAGGAGCAAGACAATAATACCAGTAATCGACGACAGGACATGCGTGCTGTTCTTCTTCATCATGTTTCGATACGCGTTGGAGTGCAAAAAATGCGAATAAATCTGCTGCTGGATGTACGACAAGTTGCAACAGACTACTTGCGTCAACTTGGGCGGCAAGAACTTGGCATTCAAGGCGTTCGTTCGCCGCAAGATGAACTGGTTGACAACTTCACACATCTCACCCGAGCATCTACATGAAACCAATGAACGAAAGAAAACCCATAGTAACACCTACCTCTGGGCGTGTTTTCTGTCATGATCGGAACAGTCGGGCTCTCGGCCGACCAGAATCGGACCCAAGTACCGCCGCCGGAACTCCCGCGTGTCCCCCAAGATATTGGGGTTTGTAAAATCCACCATGGCATAAAATTCCTCCAAGTCGTTTTGCATGGGGGTGCCCGAGAGCAAAATCCGCCGCTTGCACGGCAGGGCTGCACGTTGGACGCATCAGACCTCGTGCGGTGTCGTCCAGAACATACCTGCGAGGGCTTGGTTGATTTGAGACTGGGCGTTCTTTAACCGATGCGCTTCGTCGCAAATCAACAACTCACACGCCTGGGGTTCGTTGACGAACTTGGCGGCATGCATGCGAAAAGTCTAGGAGTCCCATCATGTCCATGAACTCCAATGTCTTTTCCGATGACGTCATCTACCTCGTACGAAATGATGAGCACTTTCGGCGCCGTGCTGTTGTTGGTCCGCTTGCTGCCGTTGATAAAGCTCATGATGCCGCTCACGACGTTTTCTCGGCCAGACTCTACAACCATATCAAAAATAACGATGACTAACTACTACTGTAGTATCAGGAGTGATGGTAGTATCAGGAGTGATGGTAGTAGGTTGCATAAACACGCAGGCAGTACCAAACAGGGCGATGGTCTTGACTTTGCCTTTGAGCCACTTGATGATTTCGTCGTCCCAATTCTTGACCAACGACGTGGGGCACACCACGACCGCGCGATTCAAAGTCGGCTTGTCCGGGTGTTCCATGCTCGTGCAGAGCAACGTGTACATGATGGCAATGCTCTACACAAGAATTCACCATTGATTACATACGTACATGCATACGATGTCACCTGCAGAGTCTTCCCAAGCCCCATGTCGTCGGCCAAGATGCACCCGTTTCCTGCAAACCCACGGTTTCCACTGACTACGAACGACATAAGCATATGATGTTTTGGTGTTGACCCATACCGCAGTCAAACACAAACTGGACGCCCTCCCGCTGATGGGGACGTAGGAACTTGCCGATCACCTCGGGGACAACCACCTCAACATCCTTGCCATCAACCACTCCGCTCCATAAGACGAGCGGCTCGGCAACGGGTTCGTCGTCCTTCTTCTTTTCTTCCACTTTGTCTTCTTGGGGTACGACTTCGGGAACATAGTCCATGACAACGTCCACCGCAGGCTGAACTTGGGTCATGGACGTTGGAACGTTTCCCCATCGTCGTCGAGACCCAAGCGTCTTGACGCTCAGCAACCGCACGCTTTCCTGCGTCCTCAAGCTTTCACATGGTGACTTGAATGGTTTGAACAAGCATTCCAGGTCCCGCAGCGGATTCAAGAACGATAGAAAGGGCAAGTTCTTGATCACCATGTCGCCCGACGTGTAGTTGTCCGAGCGCCGACTGGATGATGATGGTGGTGCTCCATTCGGCGACACAAACTGCTTGTTCCTGTCGCTTGGGAATGCCTTTGGGCGCATTCGGAGCAGGCTCATCTTCGTCGGATGCTGTCCTTGTGCGCCTTTTTCAAATCGCGTTTCCTTTCGCGGGAAAGCAATATCCGGATAAGGATGCACATATCCGGATGACAGTGGTTCGACAACATGCGGCGTCGTCACGCTGGACATCGCTGGGATGGACAAGAACATCACACCAGCCTTCATTTCAACACATCGAAGTATCTCAGGCTGATGCCTTTCAGTTGGTTGAGTTATCGTCCGTCAAGTGCTGCTCCATTATTAGCGCACTCAGCCGACATTGGACTTGGAGAACGGACCGATCGAAGTATAAAGCAAAACGACGATACAGTATCCACCTGGAAGTTGCACGTCGACACCGCCCATGAATTCGAATCATTTAAGGGGACGCAAGGCACACATCTGTTTACATTCCAAAGGGCTCTGCATTGCCGATGGGAGGACGATCCGAGCGAACGACCAACACATCGGCATCCACAGTCGACGTCATGAGGCAATGTGCGGTTTTGCGAAGCAGCACCGAAGGGTTGTCAGCCCTTGGCTCGTATTCATAGATCGCACCTTGCTTGAACTCGGATGCGAGATCCAGTACAGTTTGTCGGGTGTTGTACGCTTCCTGGGGCGGACAAGCAATCACAAACCCAGGCTCACGCCATTCCTTGGAGAATCCAAACGAGTGTCGAACCCAGCAGGTATCCGGAAACACCACCGACTTCATCCGCGCCTTCAGTTTGTCATGCGCCGCATTGTTGTGTTCTCGAGAGCAAAGCTCGCCCATGGGGTTCCACGCGCCAAACGCAAACAGATGCGAGTGCAGGACCGAGGGGGGGTATGCCGGATGGCGATCAGCATCTTGACTTTCTCCATCCAGCAATGGTCGGGAATACAGAACACCATCCACTCCAGGGACATTGATCCAGCCATCATAGGATGCAGCCCACAGGTCCTTCAGGGTTTCTTCCATCTTGCGCGTGGTGCTAAACGAGCAGAGTCGATGCAGCATTCATGCATGAATCAATCCAATGTTCGTTATCCGGATGTGACCCTGATCATTCAAATTTGTCATAGAGGATTATCCGAACAGCCTATGTGTGGTGTTTGCTTCGCAAAACGAACAATTCCTCGCGGCGCAAGGGACCCGACGGCCAGTAGCCATGAGTGTCCTCGATCCATCCAAGGACAAGTTAGCATACTTCAAGGACAACATTCAGACAGCAGAAGACCAGGTACGACGTCCCTCCACTGGACGACGTACAGGAAGTCAAGCTCTGTTCAATCTTGCCATGGATAATCCACTTGTGATGCGATTGTAATGAGGATACTCATTCGTAGGAGGACTTTGATGCGAGTCAGTACTACTACAATCGACAGGAAGGGTTCTTCAAGGCAGCGCAATCGGGTCTAGCAGGTTGGCACCCTAGTGCATCCATCATGACTTCGAGGCCGTAGGCAACGACGGTCTTTCGCCCGGAGCAGGATTGACCATGCCTTCGATGCCACCTGGTGCGTTTGGAAGCTTTGGAAGTTCAGGCAGTAGTTCGCAGTCCAGCATGAATTCGGTACGGCCCGACGAAACACCATCGTCGACCGACTTGACAAAATTTAGTTTCTTGCGGCGACCACGACGGGGTTGGGGATGGGAAGCATTGGCATGTCAAGCATGGGCATGGGAGGTGGTGTTGGCATGGGGATGGGCATGGCAACTAGCAACACCGCGAGCAACATCAACGTCCTTCGGCCGACACCGGCTGCGCCGACCAGTGCACTTCCTGCGCACGAGATGAACTACATGGCGCGTACATTGAGCACGGAAGCCATCCCTACCGCGCCGAAAGCACCGCGCCAGATCTTTTCGGACAAAGGCCCCGACATGTCCGAGTTCCCCGCGCTCACGTCTCGGTAGTGCCACGCCGACGTGACCAAACTTGGTGACATGGTGTGTAGCTCGCTATCGCTGGACGTCGACACGGGCGCCTCGTACCGCCAAAACTCGGAATTTGTGATTCAAAAGGAGGACTTTCCCGCCTTGTCGGCGTTTGGGTCGCAGCCCTTGACCAGCAACGAGAAGGCCATGTCCACGACCAACGACGCCATGCTGCAGCGCCACCAGCCCACGACCACCAACAACAATGCGTCGATCGGGTCTCGGTCTTCTGGGGGCAGCCTGACCAACTTCTCCCAAGGCAATTTTCAAGCCAACAACTTGAACTCGTTTCCCACGCTCTCGGAGGCCAAACAGGTGCGTGCGTGTGACGTCGTCGGGTTGTTGTATGTGACACCGTACGTGGCTAGGGCAACGGCGCGTCTGACAGACAAGACGAACACCCCAAGTTTGGCTTGATTGGCATGCTGCAGTTCATGCGACCCAACGACTCGGAGCGGACGCTCGTGCACGGCTACGACTTGACATCGCTCGGGATGAACCTAAACTCGTCCGAGTGCGTTGCTTTGCTGCTTCTTGTATATGATTGTCCTTTTACTTTGACGCTTGTATTCACACTAATTTCATTCTCACACACTAATTCGTGTTTTCTGGAATCCGATGGGCTCGATTCTTCTGCCGATGCTAGTGTACTGTACATCACATTTGTCGTGATCGATCCTCCTGTTTGTATCAAATATCGACAATATATACAATGTCCACCGACGAATGAACTTGTGTGGCTGTAGATCGCTGCATCAGACGTTTGCGTCGCCGTGGGCAGACGGCCCGAGCACAAAGGAGCCGCAGTTCAACCTGCCCGCGTGCTACTACAACCAGCCGCCCGTGCTCAAGACGACGCACTTGAGCAAGTTCCAGCTAGAAACGCTCTTCTTTGTCTTTTACGCCATGCCCAAGGACGTGGTCCAAGCCTATGCGGCGCAGGAGCTGTACATCCGCGAGTGGCGCTACCACGTCGAGCTCAAGCTCTGGTTCAAGCGGCAGCCAAACGAAGGCAGCGGCGTGGCGCAGTTCATTTACTTTGACATCAACACGTGGGAGCGACGGTTGTTTGGTGGCAACACATCCGGAGTTAGTGCAGGGTTCATGGGCGAAGACGACATCCGAGTCAAGTTTAGCAACAGCGCATAAAATATACTAACTAGTCGTTGGATTTGGGAATACTAGTGTAGTACATAGCACTAGTCAAGTGTGGTTGGTGGCGCGCCACGTCGACCGTCCGTTTTCGTAGGCAGTTTGCATCAGCTACAGCAGCAGCAGCATTATGCCACGTGTCCAACATGATACATTCCACGTGGTACCTTGTTTTCAAACTTGAGGTCGGCCACTTGGGTTGAGAGGGACGATAGCTCCATCTACCAACAAGCAGCTGTGAGAACCTACCGACCAAATTGGAGAGGGCTGTACGTCAAAGTGGGTTTGAGCACTTTTCACCGTGGCGGTGGCGTCGGCCAGTTGCTTTTTCAAGTGACTGATTTGGCGCTACAGTTTCGAGGGCTGTTACAATACACATGTATGTTGTTGTGTTTTGCTTTGAAACCTCCTTGGACGACAACTTGAACGCGTGGTCTGCGGCGAGCTGCTTCTCCCGCTTCGCACTCGTTGCTTTCGACAGGGCTAGCGCAGCCCGCAAGTCCCTATGAACCAATGAGCCCAAGGTGTTGGGGGGTGGGGGGGTAGGTTGACGGAATTTGCCCACTCATTCTGTCGCTGCAGACGGCTGATGGTCAATTGCATTTGGGCTCGCATGCGTGTCAAGCGCAGTTTCATGCGTTGATCTTCGTGCGTTCGATTGTAGGGGGTCACACTTTCGGACCAAGCAGACATACACGGACGACGGGTGGACGACTCCTGGGGGGAATCTCGCTTACTCAGTACAACGAGCATTTCTTTGTGTACCTGGTTGTTGGCGTCGTCTTCGTCGTCGCGTTCATCTGGAAGGACTTGGTTTAAAATGGATTTCATGTGAAATGCCTGGGACGACGACGACGTTGGCAACGGGGATTGATTAGAACTGCTAAACGATCCACGGAGATTCGTCAATGTCAATTGCTCGAGCACGTTCAAATCGAACGGACTTGTACACATCTCCGTGTCGCCCTGTGTTGTAGGAAGTACATGAAAACCCATCCCCACACCCCCCCCCCATGAAAGTTGTGAGATCTCACCTCTGTCGACGCAGTTTCACTCATCGCGCCATCATCGCCTCCAAGCATGTCCGACTGAAGGTTCAAGATGGACCGAGTTGAAAGCCGCCTTGCATTCGGCGGACGGACGGAGCTTGGCGGCGGGGGAATATCGCCCGCTCGAGCCTTCTGTGGCGTTCGCAGAGTGTATTTGGACGTCGGAATGGGCTCGTCAATCAAGTTTAACGCGTACGCTTCGTTGTTAGCATACGACACGAGGTCGTCGAGGGTGGGCTCTTCATTTTCACTCGCCCAGCGACTACTCATTGCCAAATGCTACGTACAGTTTCACATGTGTAACCCCCACCACGGTCACTTTACGTCAATCGCAAAACGACGTCTCCCCAAGCGCACTACTGTACTAGTTCGTATGTGTGTGCAGTTCCTCGAATGCATGTGCTTACTTTAAGCCCTGTACTGAAAACGGTCTGTTTTGCACTACACCAAGTGGCGGCGTACAACGGTCAGGTAAAGCTGGCTACAGGCAGAGATCTAATCATATACTAGTATGTATGTCGAGTGTCTAGCAGCATGCAAGTCCTTGGGCTGCACACGAGCACAAGACGCTCGCACGAGTGGCAAACCAAGGTCTAGTATTGTTCTTTTCCAAGACTGAGGTAGGAAAGACAAAGTTATAGTCGACAAGATACTGTATTGCATTCAGACGCGGATGGAGTTGATGCCATAATGACCATCCATATATGTAGGCATCTCCGTGATGGATAGCCATGACATATTTGCGCTTGATCGTCGTGGCCATCGGTAGGTTGATCTGTACGAACCATTCCATACATGCCATTGGTCGGATTTGACCAGTAAGAAAACTTCAACCTCCAACTTCAAGTTGGAAATTCAATCAAGGTCCACATCATGGGGTTGTTAAAGGAGACATTTGACAAAAAAGGCATTAAATCATGTCGATGCTTCAGCTACAACACCCAAATAGAATAATTGTCTACTCTTCGTCGTCGTCCCCTTCTTCATCGTCGTCGTCGTGAACTTCTTCGTCTACTTCTTCGTCTTCTACTTCGTCTTCGTCGCCATCCTCCGCCCCCTCGTCGTCGTCGACAGCAACACCACCGTTCTTGTACGTCGCCAACGCTACTTGGTATTTGGCTTTTGCCTCCGCAGCGAGAGTGTGGTACTTTGCGCGCTTCTTTTCGGGGACCGCTCGCCATTGTTCCGACAACAGCGGGGCGATTTCTGTGATGGATTTGGTTGGGTTCTTTTCACGAATCGCCGGGCGAATTTCCTGGCAAAAGAAAAAGTACGCGGACAGTGGCCTCTTGGGGGCATTCGGGTCCTTGGTTTTGCCACGCGCACCTTTGCCTTTGCCAGAGTTTTCGTACTCTGGGTCCGGGATGTACTGTTCTTTCTCGTCCAGGTATCGGTCCTTGTCCGATTGCGACAGCTTCTCGTACTTCTTCTTGCCTTGCTCATCGATTTGTGCCCAGCGACGGCCGATTTCCGACGACACTTCCAAGAAGCCCAACTTGGGCATTTCAACTTTGAGAATCTCCCGGCATTCCTTGCCGAAAAACATGAACGGAGTCAACGCACGCTTGGGCGCATTTGGGTCCTTCTTCTTGCGCGGCTTGCGGGTCTGCTTGCCGGCGGCAGCGGCACTGGCAGCACCACGCTTGCTGGAGGTCGTTTCTTTCTTCGCTTTTGCCGGTCCGCGCCCCATCGTCAAGTCTGTCGCCTTGCTTTGGATTTGAAAAGTGATCCACCCTTCCGCAACTCCACATACAAAGTCCAAAGTTAAATTCAAAATCGGAGTCGAAACCCTTCCCTCCACCTCAAATTCAACCTCAAGGCTTTGCCATACTGAATCTCATATATTTCTCAAGGGGCGACAATATATGGGAAACCTAAACATCGGGTAAGGTGGGGCTTCTTTCTGACCATTACAGCCAATCAAAACAGCGTCGTGGCATTTCTATGACATATGATTGGCGGAACGAAATACCATAAAAGCTGGCATTGTAACGACCCGCGTCGCCAGCATACAAAAATCAAGGTTATTTCAAGGGGTAGGTTGTATGGGAAGAATAACTGATCGAATGACAGAATAATATTTCATGTCGATTAATTTAAGTTTGTTAAATTCAGCCTTGTGAACTGTATGATACTGTGTATAATTTTATTCAAGTAACACTAGTAATAGAATGTGTAGAATGAGTGAGAGATTTGTGTCCAAAATTCACATGCACTCCAAGAACTCGCACACTCCAAGATTCATTTATTGATCTTTTACCCAAAATTTGGACTTTTGTGTTGATTCGCCAAATCCATCGATACTGCCTTTTGGATATAAAAATCGTCACACTAATTTAAGTCACACACTAATTCGTGATCTGGGTTTTGATTGGTCGATCGATTGTCTGCTGCTCATTCGATTGAGCACACTAGAATTGCCGTCCGACGTGTCGTGTTGCCGACTTCATTGTTGACTTTCCCATCGATTAACTATGCCGCGCCACCTCTTACCTCTTCTTCCATGACATAAAGTGTACCACAGATGCTGAAATTATAAGCTCAGCCATCTACCGGTAGAATCACAGCACTTCGTCGACCCGACGAAGCTCCATTGACACCCGGCATCTATCTCATTGTATCGATCATTCCCTATTGTCAATTCGCAAAGTTGCAGTTACACGTTCCACCGTTAGCTGTAAGATGCCTCAAACCAATGTTGTATGCATCGAAAACTATGTTATTTAAATATATATGTATAAAGCCAATGAAACTAAGTACCATTATGCTTTTTATTTTCGAATTCAATAGTCCACATATCGGGGTCCAATGTTGAGGCAGTTGGAAGTCGCCGCGGCGTCCGTATTCGATAGTTTGAAAATTGCTTTGCGCGAGCCATGGGCACCGTGTTCGGTCGAATCCATGAAGAAACCCCGAAGTACGAGAAGCTCGGGTGCGTTGGGCCAAATGACAATATTGAGATCCGTCGCTACGATCCGGTGTACGTAGCGTCGGTGTCTTCCAAAGATATTCCTGGGGTCACCACGAACGTTCAGTTTGCTCGAATGGCGTTTGGGGCCCTTGCACGCTATTTTGGCGTGTTCAGTGCACCAGAGAACAGGCCTCACTCGGGGGAAAGCGACCCTGGGGAGACCATCCCCATGACCGCCCCTGTAGTCGTGACCACGGCCGAGAATGCAGAGGCGGAAGGTGGTGAGCAGATTGCCATGACAGTGCCGGTGGTGATGTCGACGTCGAATGACAGCGTGGACATGTCGATGAGTTTCATCCTGCCATCAAAGTTCGAAAATCAAGTCCCTCCAACTCCATTGGATCCCAAGGTGCACGTCAAGAAACTCGAGTCTCGTCTTATGGCGGTGAAGAAGTTCTCGGGCGAGCTCACCAAGTCCACTGCCGAAGCCGTGGCCTCGGAAGTGATTGGTGTGTTGGAACTCGAAGGCAAATTCAAAATCAAGCGAAATGAGCATGGACGTCCGGCGTGGGAGTACATGGGGTACAACGCTCCGTACACCCTTCCTTGGTTCAAGACGAACGAGGTGGCTGTCCTTCTGGATGACGTGATTTTGACTTCCTCGAGCTCAAGCGCAGACGAATAGTCCTGCCCGCAGTTGTGATCTCAGTAACGTTACTGCACACCGGTATGTATGTACCTGTTATGCTTCGTGTCCAGTCATTTGATGTTAAGAGCACATGCACCAGGGCAGCAGCTACAATACTTGTCCCGGCACTTGAGCTACTAAGTTACGCCAACTTCGTCATTCGATCACCTTTTGGCCTTGGGAAGGCAACTGAAGATTGGAAAATGGGTTGTACGAGCTCAAATTTACAATATGTATGCATATTTAAGCCTGAATTTTGAGTACAATATTTATATATACGTATATTGGTGGCTTGGTTTTCGTAAGCCCGCATAAAATCGTCGGTGTCGAAACGAAATCTTTCCAATGCCATTGTCCATTTTCCGGAGGATTGCGAGGATGGGAGCAGTGTTTGGCAAGATCAGCGAGGAAACGCCTCATTTTGTGAGTCTGGGACGCATTGGCCCTAATGGAGACATCGAAATCCGCCGCTACGACCCTCTGTACACGGCGTCCGTGTCGTCTGAGGACATTCCTACTACTACGACGAGGGCAGAATTCACTCGAGCGGCGTTTGGAGCCCTTGCGCGATACATCGGCGTGTTCGCAGAGCCGCAAAACAAGCCTCGTTCGGGGGAAACTGGCCCTGGAGAAGCCATTTCCATGACCGCTCCGGTTATCTTAGCGTCAGCCGAGAATGCCGAGGCGGACGGAGGGGAGCCCATTGCCATGACCGCTCCTGTCGTGCTATCCGCTGACCGCGCGGACGACACCATGAGTTTCATCCTTCCGTCCAAGTTCATCAAGGAAGGTCACGAGCCGCCCATTCCGCTGGATTCGAAGGTGCGCATCGCGAAGCTCCCTTCGCGCGTGTTGGCCGTGAAGGTGTTTTCTGGTGAACTCACCAAGGACATTGCCCAAGTGGTGGCGTCCGAAGTGGTCGGCGCATTGGAACTCGAAGGCAAGTACACTATCAAGCGAAACAAACATGGCCTTCCAGCGTGGGAGTACATGGGGTACAATGCGCCGTTTACGTTGCCTTGGTGCCGGACGAATGAAGCTGCGGTGCTCTTGGACGACGTGGCTGAACTCCCAACTAACTAAGTAAAAGGGCCATACCATGTTGTAGTTCAAAGTAGCTAGGGTAATATCTTAAGGTTTTATTTGTTTTGCGTCACTACAACTACTAACGTATCTACGAGTCTTGGCGCATGGACTGGGTCAGTTTGCCCCAGTTCAAGAACCACAGCTCCTCTTCGCGCAGCAAAGTCGTGTACTTGCGACCCATCGCATCCATCGTCTCGTCTAGCCAGCCACAGTACGCTGCATGCGTTTCGTTGCGGCTTTTCACCGCCGCCCGATGCGCGTCTGTCAGGTACGCCACGCACACCGCCGTGTCAACGTCCGCCGGGTCTACCGGGGGCACCACACCGTCCGTCGTGTCTTGTTTGATGGATGCTGCGACGTCGAACGCGGGGACCGCCGGCAGTCCCGGCCACGCGCGCTTGGGAAATCGCTGGGTCTCGTTGGCTTCATCGAGGGCGTCTCGCTCATCTTCTGAGAGTTCCACCGCCAGTGGATCGCCTTGTTCGAGCTTTCGCAGCGCCTTGCGCAGTCGTTTCAGGGACTTGCGTTTGTGGGTAGGCTCGGTGTCTTCGTGGGAGTTGGACCCCTCGGCGCCCCCCGATGCAGCTGGGGGTTGAATGTCCGCCGTCATGGTGCATGTGTCGAGGATGGACATCATGGCGCGAAACACGGCCACCAGGCGCCGGTGAAACCCGCGGGCGTTGACGACGTACTCGACCAGCACCTGCCACCGAACCGCCCGAATCGCCTCCTGCACGGCCGCCGTCCTCGTGGCTTCTTTGACGCACAAGCCCTCGACGACGGCCACTTGGTTGGGGCTGCACAGGTCCGGCGTAAGCTTGGCCCGGTGCTGGTCTTTCAGCCCCTCCCACGCTAGAAACTGCTTCTGAAACGCCGCTTCCACCGCCCCCACGCGGCTCTGCACGGCGGATTTGGCCCGGCGGACGATGTCCTCCATCGCCACGCGCGGCGCCGTCGCGAGGGCCGCTTCGAACGCGTGGACTTGAGCGCGATACGCCGCCACTTGATGCCGAACGTACGCGACCGACTTTTCATGCTGTTCGTGCAAGTACGCTTGGAGAGTGTCTGGGATGCTGTGGTCGTCCAGCGGTTTCCCTTCAGCCGCAAACAACGCGCGGGTGTCGGCCACGCATTGTACTTCGAATTGCTTGGTGATGTCAAGAAAAGATTTGGATACGGCGGCGCTGGCGGCGTCGACTGGCGCGTCCGCGTCGTACTTGGTAGACGCTTCCATGTCGTCTTTGACTGGTTGGGGGGCCAGCTGCATCTTGTTAGTCAGTACCCCCAAGTACAATCCCCGAGAGTACACCAAGTGGCGGAGTTCCAACACGACTTTGCGCACATGTCGCGCGACGTTGCTTGGGCCCTTTGGTCCTTTGGGTCCGCATGACAATAAAGATGATCATTAACGAAAGAATGTACATGGCTAGTGTTCAGAGGTAGATAAAGACTATAAGTGGGGGGAAACAGTACCTGATGGAACAGTGGCGGTGGTGGCGGCTTGGGTGAGCACGTGCAGGAGGTCGTCGATGGAGCTGGCCATGTTGTCGGACCGAGTCATCTCACTTCTCAGCCGCTCCTGGGCATTTCGTCGCGGCATGCCGTACTTTTGTCCCAGTCCTTCCTTCATGGACAAGTTTTGGAGGCAGCTGTGGTACCTCGTTTTGAACGTGGCCTGTGTTACATATTAGGTCAAACAGATTCAGAAATTTCTCGAGAAATGGGCCGCAACGCACCAGCAACGCGCCGACGCGCCCTTCTTGGCCCTCAAGCGCGTCTATCGTGGCTTTTCGAGCAGCCACGGCGGCCTGGATCTGCGTTTCCGCCTCGGTTACGAGCACTTGGACCAGTTTGACTTCGTCGGGGTGGTAGTCGCACCCGGAAATGACGTCGCAACTGACCAAATCGGGAAAGATCTGGTGGGCACATGTCGTCACGAGCTCTCGACAGGTCGCGATCAGTGCGAGGGGCTCGTCTGTGAGGTACACGGCCATCTTGACGCGCAAGAGGTCCCCCCACGCGGCTTTGAACTCGACGTGAACCTTCTTGGATCGACTCTCGAGACCCTGCAGCGCCGCCAAGCTTGTTTGCATGAGCAGTTGCGACTGCAGTCCCAGCTGGGCGTTCTCCTGGCCCCGCAGACAACCGAGTGCTTGGTCGTGAAGTTGGACAAACCTGGCTTCCTGCACCGCCAGTTTCTTGAGCACATTCTTTACATGCCGGCCGTGGCGCTGCCGGTGGCTCACGAGCTCCCCTGCGCGGGGCTGGTAGATCTGGACGTCCGTGCGGCCCTTGCGTGGCCAGTGCATCCGCAGACACTCCTCCAAAAGGAATGTGTACGCGTCCAACCGGGCGGTGGCTTCGGCGTTGGCCTCGTCCAAGTGGGCGGCACTCCGCGACTCGAACAGCGTCATGGTCGCATCGCGGAGGCGAAGCAACATGGAGAGGAGCGTCGACTTGGGAACGTCCAACACGGCAATGACCGACTCGAGGGGGATGTGAATCTCATCGACAGGTTCTGGTGGGGTCTCGACGGGGGATGCGGCGTCGGGAGAGGGGACGTCTGGGGAATGGTCCTGCAACACGGCGGCAGATGCACCACGGGGGGTGCCTTTGGTTGGTTTCGTCGTTGTTGGGGGCGGAGGCTCCACCGAATGGGGGGTTGGATCGGGCGACGGCGGTTCGGCGTCCTGTGGCGGGGTGTCGTCGTCGCTGGGCTCTTCGCCAGGAAGGAGGATCTTTCGCTGAAGAATGCGCCCGAGAATGCTGGTCACGGACTCGCACTCTTTGTATCGACAGCCGTTTTGACTGCAAAAGGCAGCGACGTCGACGTCACCCTCACCGGGCACTATAGTGGTCCTAGAATCGGGGCGAGAATGGGAGTGATCGAGCGCTGTGGCGGAAGCATGCGAGGCGTCTGTTGGCATCGCTGCTACGGTTGATGTGGACGGGGACGCCTTCATTGAAGTCGCGGGAGGATCGTGGGCAGTGTCGTAGGGGTCATGATGATGCAGTGACGTGGTCGAAGGAGGAGACGTCGGTGTCGACGGTGGAGGGGAATCGATAGCAGCTTCGATCCGTTCGGCACTGAGCAGGTCGTTGATCGCCGTGGACACGCCCAACGACGGCGACAAGAGCCCAAAGAACGCGCACAGCTCGTTCTGGAACGCATTGTTTTGCCTCGAGATGGCGATCGGGTGGTTGGTCGACGCCAGCGACACCTTCTTGTTGTACTTTCGGTACTCGTCCTCCAGCCCTTCAAGCAGTCCGAGGCACCCGGTGAACTCGCGCTCCAACGTCGCTTCGTCCGGCGCATGCCGCAGCGCCGACCGTTTGACTGCAAACTCGGCCTCGCATGCCGCCACGTTGCCGTCGTGCGTGTCTTTGAGCGTGTCCAGCAGGTCCATGACCGTCAAGTTGACGACGCGGGTCTTGTCCTCGTAGTTCTCGACGCACGCGACCAGCTGGTAGAAGAACCGCGCGATGCGGTCACATGTGACGTGGAGGGTCGTCGTGTGCGCCTCCAGCCCCGAGCCGACCACCGCCACGAGCGCGTCCATTTCCCGCTCGCGTTGGGCCATGAGGCTGTTGCATTCGAGCGCGACGATGGCGTCCACCACCGTGTTGGCGTGGGTCTGCACCTCCAACGCCTTCAGAATCACGTGCAGCAGCGCCTGGAACGGCGGCGGCAGGTCCGTCGTGTACACGAGTGTGCCGAGTCGCCGCTGCGCCTTGCGGATCCCTTGCATGTCGGCGATCTGGAACGCATCCAGCCCGATGCCTTTGCTCTTGACCGCCGCGGCGGCGCTCGACTGCGCTTCGTTGTCTTGAATCAGCGAGTCCAGTTTCCGACCAATGTCGTCCAGCTCGAGGCGAAGGGTGTCGTCGATGCCTTGAATGCCCGCGAGGATCGTAGTTTGTGCCAGCAACGTCGGGAGCAACGGCACGATCTCGTTCTTGGGCGCCTTGCGCAGCCGCTCCAGTGTCGCTTGGATCAGTTTGCGCTCGGAGGATTTGCCCTGGGCGTCCAAAATCGCCTCCATTGGCAGCGCGGCCACGAGCATGGCCACTCGAGGGACGAGTGCTGTCACGTTTTCCTGGTAAATCATGTCGGGCGACGCCAGTCGGTCTTCGATGGCCGCCAATTCGGCGCGTAGCCCGCCCGAAATCCGAAAGAATTCGTCCAGGTTCTTGTCGGCCAGAAGTGTCGTAAGCTGGGTGGCGATGGTCGCCAGCGCGCCTTCCTTGGCCTTCGCCCCCACGCGGTGACACGTCGCACGGAGCAACTCCCTCATCGCCGCCGCCTCGGCCACAATGTCGCGCTGGCACGTGAATAGCTGGTCAAAGTACGCTGCGTTGCGCTCTTCTTCTTTCTTGTACATGTCCGCCAGCGCCGACACCATGCGCTGGACCTTCTCCGTGGACAACCCTCCGGTCACAAGGCCATCCAGTTGACTAAGCAGCGCCAGCCGCTCGTTCGTGTGCACCGCCACTTGATCTGCGCGAAGTTTCTCCAGAATCGCATGCAATCTCGGCGGGTGCGTGTACAAATCGGACTCGAGCGTGGCCTTGAACATGTGGATCGCGTGGTCGTGGTTGAGAACACGCCAGTGCCGCTCGCAGTCCTCCCACGTCGTCCGGACGTTGACAAACTTGTGCACGTCTTCCTTGAGCATGCGGCTGACGAGGTGGCAGTGGCTCCGTCGGTTCGTGATCAGCACCACGTTCAACTCGTGCGCTTCGTCTTCGATGGCGCGCTCTACTTCTGGCGGGAGCACGTACGCCGCCGCCACGCATGTCTCTGTGAGCAGTTGCAATTCCGCCCCTGCCAGCGCTGACCGCGTCTGCTCGATGGCTTCGAGTCCGTCTCCAAAGTGGCGGATGGTGCAGGTCCTCCCGCTCCACAACTCGTTCAGATGGGTCCACTGGTCCACGACCATCGCGTGCGACGCTTGGATGAGCCACGGCTCATCGGTGAGGAGGGCGAAGTGGTTGGCGGTGGCGGCGGCAACCCCTGCGAGCTCTTCCTTGATGGCGTCGCTGATGCGTAGGATGTCCGTCTCTAGCTGGTCGCTGATGGCTTTGAGACGCAGTTGGTACTGCGATTGGGCGGCCGTGTGCCGGTCCCGTCGGCGCTTGGCGTTGGCCGCGATCTTGTCCACTTTGTTTGTTTGGTGGGTGGTTGTGGTGGTCGTGACTTTTTGGTGGTGCAGCTCCCGCACCTCCGTGACCGCCACCGAGTCCTGCGACCCGTCCGTGGTGGCGGCGTGCCGCTGACGATATGACAGCATGTCGGACGCGGAGATGTTGAGCTGCTTGATGACGCCTGCCTTGGCTTCCTTCTTGTGAAAGTCGCGCGGTTTCTTGAGGGCCGCAAGCAGCGCCTGCTCCGCCTCAAACTTGGCATCGAGTTTCGACGTGTTATTGTCTTCATGCGCTGGTGGCGCCGCCTCGTACGAGTCCTCCTCGACCTCCATCTCGTCGAGAGTTTGATGGGTTCTGGTGCGACGGTTGGGATCGTGTAACCGATAGCCGTTTCAACAATAGACACAAATTATCACGCAAGGTAGGTAGTTTGCATTGAGTGCACTGTTTAGACTTATTAGCGAAAGCTAGCCGCGGTCAAGTGACGAAGCTCCGAGTAGTCCTGTTGAGGCAGCAGCGACGCTTGAATCTCGACGATTTCCACGGGTTTGGGCCGAACGATGGCGATGTAGCCTTGCGTGAACGGCTTCGTCGTCAGCAGGGCCGGGGTCAGCAGTTCGTTGATCTCAATCAGCGCCCCTCGGATGCAGCTACGATCAACATGGTCATGGCCATAGTTCAGGCGTCATGTGTACGTACGTACCTGCGAAAGTTGAATGTTTCGCCGTTCGTGCAAGTCACGCGACACACGACCGTGTCTGGGTTGAGCCACACGCCGCCTTTCTTTTTCTTTCCCGTAACTTTGCTTTCGACCATGGACGGTTCAAAGTCCACCGCTTTCACAGTCAACCCGCGGGTGAAGATGCAGTGTCCTGGCGCAATCCCAACCTAAATGACGACGGGATGGGAGGATGACGTGGCAGAGCAGAGTGTACGCACGACGCAGAGGCGGTTCGAGTGCATATTGACGTATTGATCCTCCGATGGTTCGCCCATAATGTCGGCCGCGTACATCCGAGTGTAGTACCGGTCCACCTAGGTACCGAGTTAGCGCGTTGAAGTCGAGAAATGACGGCAGACGGACCATGGTGCCCGTGCGCGCCACGTAGTCCACGACTGTCGCGTCGTCCTTGTGCACAAACTTGTCCGCTTGCCGCTTCTCCCCTTGGTCGCGGATAAGCTTGCGCTGCGCCGTAACGGTAAAGGTGCCGCCGTCCGTCAGCTCATCGCTGTAAGAAGCTCATCATTAATGGAAGGGGTCGGATTGATACGACTAATCGAGTTCACGTACAGGCCGTGGGCATATACGCATTCTGGAAACGGGCATCCATCGGGTTTGTCGAAATGGCGGCACAGCTGGGTTTTCTTCAGCGCCAAGCGGCGTTCCCGGCGGCGCTTCTTGCCCAGTGGCTTCTCGAACACGTCCGTCTTCTCGATGGATTCATTCTGTTCGGCATGTCCGACTTCCTTTGCTTCATCTACCGACACCAGCGTCGGCGCCGTCGTGTCACTGCCGCTTACCTCCATTCAACTTACGATTGGCGCAATGAAAACTCAAACTCCGGATAATGTCGAAATCATTAGCCGGATAATACTTTGAGAGTAACATTTTGTGCGCCGTCGCGACGTTGGTGCATGGGCTTGAAGGCAGTTGGCGGCCTTCCTGCTCACAATTGTCCTCACGGCCTTGTCATCCTCATCAATTGCGCCACCTGTGTCCTCGCCGCAGCCTCTGTCGATGAACATTCTGATCGTGGAGGCGGATGCTTGGTTTGAAGGCCATCGCAGAGTCCGCGTGGCGAAAGGCGCATCACTCGACGACATCCACAGTGCGTTGTTCGATCAACTACGTCTTTCAAGCAACGTCATATCGCCAAACCAAGCAACTCATATTGACATGTCTATCTCCATGTTTAATCCCTCGACCCAGTGTATGGTGCCACTTCGTCACGGCGACCAAATCCAGTCGCACACCCGAGTCTTCGTCGCACCATCTCAATCCACACCGCCGCCCGTATTGGCCATAGCGAGTCGTTCGTTCGGATTGGCGTTTGAAAAGGGCGAGTTCCTCATCCATGGCACCCCGCTGTACATCGGCGAAGTCGGCAACACTGGCAAGGGCACGGGATTGACCATTTGGGACGGATCCGTAGTGCTTGCCAAGTACCTCGAACACGCTACCTCCTCGTTCGTTCAAAACGAAGACAGCGTTCGTGGCAAACGAGTTCTAGAACTGGGTGCTGGGACGGGTCTGGTGGGATTGGCCGCCGCCGTGTGCGGCGCGTCGCACGTGACGCTCACAGACCTGGCCTACACATTGGACAACCTGTCGGCAAATGTGCGTGCGAATGCTAGCTCGATCGCCGCGACTTCGGTGGACGTGGCCGAGTTGGATTGGTTCAAGGCGGCGCCTTTGTCCTTGACCGACAACGTCGACGTCGTCGTGGGGTCGGACATCGTCTGGGTTGAAAGTCTCATCGACGCATTGGTTGCGACCATCGCAAGTCTCTTGACATGCGATCATGTAGCTGGCAGAAAGAAATCCATGTTGCTGGCCCATCAGACGAGAAGCGCCGCGTCCGACACCCGTTTCTTCCGCCTCTTGGACGCGCACCACCTCGTCGTGACGATGATCCACCCGCCTGCATCGATCCTCCCACTTGACAAAGTGATTCGGCTGTTTCGGATTCAGCCCCCCCTCCCCCACGAACTCATAACGTTATAATGTAAACACGTTTATGTCGCTGCTAAGAGTGTTGCTGCGAAATGAACACAACCAACGCTCCCTACCTAGTCATGCGCGTGTCCGTAGCAAGACTTGGTAGCACTCATGTAATCGACGATGTCAAATTGATCGTGTACGTAATGAGTATTGCAATTGAAGTCTGAGCATGCTGTTGTACGTTTGTCATCGCAAAGTACTTATCCCACTTGAGTGATCATCGAGAAGGTCTTCCAAGTCGAGGAGGACGATGCTGTCACTAATGCTGTAACATAAGAGCGGAGCTACAATTGGCATGTTCCTTTGCCGGAAGAATGAACGTGCCAACATGGAAGCAAAGGATTGCTTCTACGACGAACGTACGATCGGTTGGGTTATGGTTGGGGATTATCTCTATTAAATCGAAGAAGGGGCGCGCCCGTCTTGGTCCTTTGACGCTGGGTTGTGTCCACCTATCGTGCGAAGGAAGGAGGTGACGCCCGTCCTACAGCTATGGGGTGTTGGAGACGTGCTGCTTATTCGAGCTCGCCGACGCCGCCCATCTCAGTGATCTTGGCCAGCAGTTCCTCGGCCTCAGCCTTCTTCAACTCCTTCTTCAACACCGCGGGGACGGATTCCACGAGTTCCTTCGCTTCCTTCAGACCCAAGCCCGTGATTGCTCGGACTTCCTTAATGACCTTGATCTTGTTCTTGGCGTCATAGCTCACGAGCTTGACGTCGAATGCAGTCTTTTCTTCCTTCTTCTCTTCTTCGACGGGGGCCGCGCCGCCGCCGCCGCCGCCCATGGCGAAGCCCATTTCGGGGATGTCAAACTTGACCTACACAAACGCACCATCAACACCTGCGCAGTGTGTTGCTTGAATCATGGAGGTGGGGCATACTTGGACAGCCGTGGACAATTCCGAGATTTCGATCAAGTTCAATTCGCAGATCAAGTCCAACACTTTTTGCACGCGAGGGGTCAAAGCGAGTTCGTTTTCAATGATCTTTTTCTGGGTTTCCGTGGCCTCCTTGACTTCCAAGAAGCGAGGCACGGAGGACGAGATGGCACGGCGGCCAGCCACACCGCGGGTGACGGAAGCTCGGACTACACGGGTCAACATGATGCAGCAACGGAAATGACACGCCCAACTATCGGCCTCAAACGACTGGTGAAAACGGACACTCCAGCAATTTATATTGAGAGAAACTCGTGGTTGTACGTACTATGTACCCTGAAATCCAATACAATTCATCGATTAAACGTACGTACCCTGTACGGCGAAGTAGAAAGTCTGTATTTTTATAGTACCTATTAAGTTGCGCAAGTTATTAGTTAAGACAGGTGTATCTTGACAAGTAGTACTACTAATATTAATAGTACCACATACTAGTACTACTACTACAGTATAAATAGTATTGGAAGGTATACAAACTTAATTGAATGGTCTTATTTGTATGGGGGTGTTCAAGAATGTATCGTTTCCATGACCATAGTGTCAATTTTGGATATCAAGCGCGATCCTAGTTCCCGACCAGCACGACGATGATGCATATCAAGCCCAAGAACGAGCATGACATTTGGGAAGAGCACTACCCGCTCCTGCAGCCCAACAGCACCAACAACACGCTGCCGATACACAACTTCTTCTCCCCAGAGGTCGTCAACGCGTACACGTACGGCGTGCATGCGTTCGTCGTGACCCTGGTGACGCTCTCCATCTTGTCGCTCACGGGACTCGTGTTGTGCCAGCTCTTCTCCCTCTCGAGTCTCTTCTGTGCCCTTTTCCGACTCTTGTGGCTCGTGTCCCCTGCGGTGGCAGCGCTGTCCCTTCGACACATCGCCGGCACGCATCTCAACTTCCGGTACAACGTCATGGCATTTCCCATGTGGGAGATCCCGCCGCTCGCCGACTTGTTCCGATGCTACCCCAAGTCCTCCCTCGCCCGCGTGCTGTCCATGAGCTTCTTCATCCCACTTCTCTGTCAGGTCGCCGCGTACACCCTCGTCGCCGCCACGCGCATGGTGAACCCCGTACGTGGTTGTTCTTGATGTTGCAAGTTTCCTCACTTGTTGTCCAGTTCAATCGGCCGTTTGTCGAGCGCGCCGAGTCCGTCTTCAGCTTCGACAACCAGGACGCCAAGGACGGCGGGCTCGTGTTCTACGTGTTCTACCTCGTGGTCGCGGGCATCGTGTGGGACCCCGTGCCGCCGCCGCGCTTCGACTTCGGCGTGGCGCTCAATAGCCGGCCCATCGGTGCGTTTCGACGCTTGCTTCGTTGAGTGTCATTAATGCAACAGGATGCAGTTGGCTGCTGCTAAGCTTGTTCCAGGAAATCGGGTGGAGCGGCGCCCTCTATCCGGGTACCCTCCATATATCCATATATCTCGCTTGATGGAATCCTCTGTAGCGCTCGACATCATCTTTGGCCACAGCGCGTTCATGGCGTCTGTGGTCACGGGCGTGATCTGGGCCGTGTGGCACTGGCCGTTCATCATTGCCGAGAAGTACAAGATCATCCCGCCCGGCTCGGGGTACTCGGTCGTGGACGTCGAAGACTTTCAAGTGCTGAGCGTGCTGAGCATCTTCACGATCCTCCTCGTCGGCTCCCGCATCATCATGTGTTGGATCCAAGGCAAGTCGAGCTACGTGATTTGGTCCAGCGTGCTCTACCACGCGTCCCACGGCTTGTACGTGCTGCTGATGTATAAATATTATGTTTATCAGATTAATTTCATTGGTCGGGTTTACTTTCAATATTATGTCATCGTAGGATATAATATATATATACATATAGGTATGTATGTGCCTACATTTGAGAACATATTAAAATAGAATCTTCCATACTTTTTTCCACTAGACTATATACTTGGAAGTACTAACTAGTATATATATGTATATACGCCTATATTTGATGAAAACAGTGGAAAAACCGAATAGAATGTTCAATTCGTTGTTTCCACTCGAATATATATATATATATATATATATATATATATATATATATATATATAGACGCCTACATTAGAGAGCATATGAAAACCGAATCTTCCCTACTTTTTTCCACTCGGATGTATATATTATATATATATATATATACAGTTGACAACAAGGTAACCAAGAGGGTGTGCTGTGTAGGTTCATCGTGAGCGTGTTCGGTCAGCTCACAGGCCCTTTGTATGAGAAAGCGGACGACTACCCGTACTTTTCCAGCGAAGGCAGCATCTGCCTCGTCGTCACGACGTGGTTCTCGACGTGCATCCTCTCCCAACTCTTTCGCGGCAACTACTTTAAGCTGTTTGCGCGTTGGCGGAAGCAGCGCTACTGATCCATCTATTAATAGCATAATACAACTACTAGTATGCAGTACTAGTATGTACTAGTGCAGTGTCTATCGTACTAGTATGTGTCCTTGGTTGATTTCGGGCATGTAGGCTTCTATGGATTATAACGACTTCACACTATATAACGTTGTCACACTATATATGTATGTGTGACTACTTGGGAATGTCGGGGTACGGAAGGTAATCCTTGTAGCACGTCTCAAATACCTTGTCCACGCACAGCGCTTCCTTGCCCATGCACATGGGATTGAACTGGAGCGAGAGCTCGGCGCGGCGGCGCACGCAAACCTAAGAAAGGATGACAGCATCATCGACATGTAGAGATGACGGAGCGACGTATGTACCTGGTGCTGCTTGGCGATGTTGAAGTGGCCTCGGAACACTTCGAGGTGCCAGTCGCAGTCCCCGCTGAGCGCCGCCGCGCGGATTTCGCTGCAGGCATGGGCCTCGCAGTCGGACTTCCAGTCGACCTGGGCGCGGCAGTGGTCATATGCGTGGATGAGCTCGTGTGCTAGCGTTCGGTCCATCCACTCTTGGTCCTTGATGTGGTTCTGACACAGCACAACACCAGGCTGTCCGTCTTCGTTGAGCTTGAACCCGCCGTTGATGTTGCCTTCGCAATGCTCGCTGGTAAAGAAGTCGGGAATGTTTCTCACCTTGCATCCCATCTTTTCCATGGCTTGGACGAGGAATGTCACCTTGGAACCTACGTCCATGGTCTCACCGATGAGCATTGAAGAAGAGGTATGACAAGGAGCTTTCTGCATGGCGACTTGCATTTGTTCATGGCGTGGTCGACCATGCTGTTGCAATTCTCATGCTGCGCCGCTGTGTCTGCGGTCGCAGGTCCCGCCGACGTCATGTCTTTGAGCACGTTTTCCATTGTGTCCACTGAGATGAGTCGCAATAGTCACGCCGTCGACTTTGAGGGTATATCCGGACTTGACCGGATACGACGAACGTTGAAGTGCAGAAAGCGTCGCAGTACATGCATCAAGATTCCAGTGATACGATCGATCCATGATGCGGGTCGACGCCGCCGCTGTGACCCAGGGCATAGCCATCGCCAGCTTCGCGCTTCTCCTTCCCGAGGCTATCCTTGGTCGCGTATGAGTGTCTTGGATGATTGACCCGTAGTTTCATGTGTGTTGTTGACGTAGCCTCCCACGCGCAGCTTCCGCCTCCAGCAGCTGTTCTTTGTTCTGCCTCAATTCGCATCCATTGTCCTCGTCATGATGCATTCTCGTTTGAAGTGGCAGCACTTCCGCCCCCAAACAAAGCACAACGTATCTACACTCCATACACATTTTGTGGTCTTAACGAACTCTCAACGATATAGTTGTTTGTCGTGCACATTGCCATACTCGTGTTTGCTTGCATCGCCATGGAACAGTCTGGGTTCCGCATGGGTCTGCGGTGGTGCTGTACCTTTCGATCGTCCTGGTTGGTATACTGTATGGCCCTCCCTACATGCCCCCTCACTGTTGAAATGCTACTCTAGTCCTCCGACGCCGTTGGTGCAGCCAGCCAGATGCACCGACGCATTCAGTTCCATAGGTCGGCTCGTGCTGGTGTCCATGCATTTCATCGGCACCGTGGGCTGTTTCGTCGCCCAAGGAGCGCTTCTCACGTCCAACTCGCTTCAAACGACGCTGCTAACGACCTAGTACCAACACGATGTCTATTCTTCTTTACAAATGCTAATTACGCAAACAATTCGCCTTGCTTGGGCGGCTGTTGCTTCCCCGTCGCTTGGTTGTTGTGTCCGTCCTTGGTCGCCGTCCCCGCCGGCAGCGGCGCCTGTTCCGGCTGCTGCAACTCGATCGTCGCGAGCTTGACGTCGTTTTCTGACACCTTTTGCACGTCGTCGGGCTTGAGTTCCTTGTCGCACATGGGGCAAATCGATTCCGCTTCCAAATGACTCACCAAATGCGAATACAGCGCTGGAAACTGGCAGTGCGGACATTGGCTCCAGTCGGTTTTAACCATGTGGTAGCCCTACACCACACATCGTCAGCCTTCTTAACTGTGGACACTACATCAACCCACCGTGACGGCGCAGTACGGAATCCAGTTCTTGCACTGGCCGCAGTCCAAGTCGACGTCGACGACTTCGTGGTCACAGAACGGGCACGGAGTCATCGTGTCCGGCGGCTGCTCCTTGTTGGGCCGCCGGACAATCGCTTCGATCTTGCGCTTGATCTCTTTGTCGATGCCGTTGCGGTGCTCGGGGCGCATCAGTTGCGTGGCAAAGTCGTAGCTGCTGCCTTTGAGCCCCGCGCGCTGGCACTCGATGACGGCCGAGATGAGGATATTGGACACATGCGTGGGGAACTTGGAGATGTTTTTGGCGACGCGCACGAGCATCTTGGCGGCGGACATGTGATCTCCCCTCTTGACGAGCTTCTTCACCACGACGTAGCTATGCAGCAGCGTGAGCGAGTTGCGCAGGTCCTGGTTCACATGGATCTTGTGTAGCTGCAACTGCCGATGGGTTTCAACCAGCACGTCGTGCGCGACCTTGTAGTTACCCAGCTCCTGCTCTTGCCGCGCAATGATGATGGCCGTCTTGGCCGCCTGCGCGTAGTTGCCCAGTGCCATGTAGAGGCGGAAGATGTAGTTTGGGTCCTTGGGAATCCCGTCTGTGTCGCCCATGAGGTAGTCGATCAGCGTGTGCGTGAGCATGTCATTGCGCGCCTTCCCGACCACATCGATGGCTCGGCCTAGCTCAGTCTCCCCACACTGCAGGAACAGCCGCAGTGCTTTGTGGAAGTTGCCGCACACCTGGTAAAACTCGCCCGCCCTTGCATGCGCTTGGGTTTGCTCGTAATGCTGCGCGATCTTGAGCGCTCGCTCCACCGAAATGCCATCGCCGATCGTTTTCGTGAATGCGTCGATCTCGTTGTGCGCTTGCGCGAGCTGGAAAGCGTCGTCTTCGCGGTTCGCCATGAGCAAGAAGTCAATCGCAGCTGCATAATTGGCGCTCTCGATGCAGTATTTGGCCACGGCGGACGCGCCTTCGGACGACTTGGTCTGTTTAACGATGGAGAATGCTTTCTCAGCGTTGTTCAAGTGCTCTAGCTGAATGCGCACAACGCTATCTAGGTCCATCGCGGCTTCATATGCATCCGAGGCGGCGGCAAACTCCCCCGCCGCCTCCTTAGCCTTGGCAAACTGCATGTGCACCTTAGGCATGTGCACTTTGGCCATGAGCGGCGCGGCCTTGTGAAGCTGCTTCATCTGGATGTAGATCTGCGCCGCTTTCTCATACACTTCGCCTCGTTCGTACAGCTGCGCCGCGTCTGACAGCTGCTTCATCCCTTCCAAGATGAGCCCACATTCTTTGCACAGACCGATGTCATTGAGTTCCGTCACGAGCCGGATGCCGCGGCGGAGGTCCCCCGTCCGGAGCGTGCAACGCGCGATGCCCGCCATGCTCTGCGTCTGCGTCTTCTCGGATGCGACCACGGGGTTTCCCAGCGGATCCACGGCGTTGCACGCATGTTCGTACATCTTCAACGCGCCTTCGACATCGCCTTTGAACTCGAGTTGCGCCGCATATGACGCGCTCAGCTCGGGCACGAGATGGACGGCCAGCGAGTCGGCCAGCAGCAGCGCCTGGTCCCACTGCAGCAAGTACCGCTGCATGGTCAGCGCCGCCATGGGTTCGGTCGAGTTCAAGTAGAGCTTTTGGGCTTGATCGTACTGACCAAACAGCATCGATACGTGGCCGGCGAGAAGGTTCTTGTCCTCGACGTGCTCGATGCGGTTGAGCCCCATGACCATCCCCGCGTCCCCCAGCTGCCGATACACCCGCTTCGACAGCGCAATATCAAGTGTGTGCATTGCCCGACCTGAGCAAGACAAAAATCAAATGTCAAGAGCGTCACACCAATTACATACATCATTTCTATTGATTGCATGCAACGTTTTGGTTTCAAGATGTAAAGATGTAGGCATATGTAGTCAGTAAGTAGATGATCCATGGGAAGTATAATCCAAGCAGCTTCAATATATATACATATATATATACAGGTGGAGCTGTCGTCATTGTACGTACCGGCAAGAGCTAGCCAATACTCCTTGGCATCGATCACCACCGCCTGCTTCCATGCAGCGTCCATGCGCAAAAGTCCCAAGCACTGCTTGAACACAACCTTGTCCGATTCAGGGCGCACGCTTTTCTACTCGGTTAGGTTTACTTGAAACCATCCATAGCACCAAACACGCCATAATAATCAATCAAAAGCAAATTATTCATCGAACGACAACCCATTGAAAACCATTTAAGGTCGTGTAACGAACGTACCTGGAGCGCTTCGTGGGTACACGAGACGATGGTGGTGAGGGTGCCGCCGGGCTGCTGGGTCGTGAGCACACCGTCGGCAAACAGCACGGCCGAATGCCCCGGCGGGATCTTGGTCGACTGCGGCGCAAACGAAAAGTCGCCGTTCAAGTCGATATCCATCGTGCCGAGCTGGGTCACTTCGGGGCCGTTGATCGTGAGCTCCGTGTACAAGAACGTGGTAAACTCGGTGGGCTCTACGGCCACGAACACGGTGGGGTCGGCCGTGTCCCACAGGATGGCGCTGGTCGAGTTGGGGACGCTCGGGATGTACAGCGCCTCGCGGTTGGTCGCGTTCAAAATGTACCCGCGGCGCCGCGAGTCGATCAGCACGACTTTGGTGCCGAGGTTGTTGGGCGCGATGTGCACGATGCCGACTCCGTCTTCGTGGCGGTAGCTGCACCCTTCAAGCATTTTCCACTCATGGAGGTAGAAGAAGTGCACGCCGCCGCCGCTCGTCGCGTAAATGAAAAAGTCCTTGGTGAGCGCAATGCTCGAGATTTCCCGGTCGTCGCGGCCTTGGGTATCGGGGAACGTCTTGGACTGCTCGTGGTTGGCACGTCCACCGTCTAGTATTGACAGCATAACACTGTGAAATAAATTCAGTTGAAAGCAATAGCTTTTTTCAGTGCTAAAGCATTTTGTAGGTTCGATGATGAACGCGACGTACGTTGCTGGGCCGATGGCGCTGGTTCAATCAAATGGACAAGGACCTTGCCATCGCTGAGCACGGCAGCGTAATCTAAAGTGCATACATAGCACGTCATACTATCATTTTTATGGAGAATATATATATATATATATCATTACCTCGATTCAACTTGACACAGGTGACGCGGCCCAAGTACTGCTGCTCATTAACAAGGGCGTCGCGGTTGCTGCCGTCGCACCGATAGAACCACACGCGGTTGTTCATTCCGACAGCGACATGGCGGGGGCCGAGGGCGATGAACGATGGCTCGATGGACACTTGGATGTGGATGGGCGCGTCGCGGCCGCCGGTGTCGACCACTGTGATCTCTCTGAGGGAGCTCAGGAACGCCACGTAGTTGCCGACGTGATCGAAGATGTTTGGCATTCTCGCAAGAAACGTTTGAATGATGCCGCCCTGCGTGGCCACCGTGAGGATCTGCCCGTCGTTCGTGTACGCCATCAGGTTGGCTTCGTTGTCCTACACGTATAGTCATGTTTTGGATATGAGGACAATATATATATATATATATATGACCTCGGCATCGGTGAGTTTGATGGCGTCGGCTTTGATTTCCGTGTAGTTGGACATGTCCACGACCTTGATGCCGCTCTCGCCGCTGATGGCGATGCGGTTCAGGATGGGCGAGTAGCACACTGCGTAGAGCCGCTCCGAGAAGAACCGCCCGGAAAACATTTCTTCGCCGATTTCCTAGTGTGGATCGATGGATGGATGGACGTTGTGGGTCCATGCACAACGTAGCAAAGGCGGGTACGTACGTCCATTTGGGTCGAGATGCAAATGACAAACCCTTCCGAGAACGAGATCATGAGGTACCCGCCATTGAACCACTCAAACACTTTGATCGTTCCGTAATGCTGCGGCCATGTCATACTGTTTGTTAGAAGTGAATGATTGATGTAGACTCATATTACAGCTTGAAACGTGAGCTCAATGGGGTTGTCTGGGTCGGTCGTGTCTAGGAGAATCAATGACTTGACCACGTTGATGGCTACGCACGTCTCGGGGCCTCTTGTCGAGTCGCCTTTGCGGTGGCCAAACTTGCAGTCTGTGGGCTACGATGATAAACCAAGCCATGACGATCTTGATGATATATATAAATATATGTTTGTTGGGAAGGGTGGTTGTTACCACGAGTTTGAGCTCGCGCTGCTGCAGCGTGTCGCCCCCGGCGTTGCTGACTGTGATCATGCGGTCGTCCGACCCGAGCACCAACTGGTCGGAATTGTTCCATGCGCCACACGTGATCTTCTTGGAGTGTTTGCCGAGCACGGGCACGATCTTGCGCGACGACTTGCTGTACAGCACCAGGTTTCCCTTGACCGTCCCAATCGCTACGACCATCAAGTCAGCAGTAGACATGGAGGAGTGAAAGGCTAGTACCGAGCTGGGTGCCCGAGTTGGACCAACGAATGAATGACGGGTCCTTCAAGTTGGTGTCCAAGTTTTGAGTCGTGCGGGCACTCAAGTCCCACAGCGGCACGATGCCGTTGCCGGTTTGCAAGATGGCGAGGGTGTTGCCATCGTGATCCCATTCGAGAGCCAGCACCGGAGTGCCCATGTCGAGCCCAATCTCGTCGTATTGTTCGCCTTGCCGGTCGAAGATGTGCACGAGACCTGCCGCCACCACGGTTTCGTCAACGAACATGCAGAGGATGGCATTATCCTCCTCCTTCTTTGTAACTTACCGTTCTTCCCGGCCGTGGCGAGGAAGTTCCCCGCTGGCTGCCATGCGAACGTGACAGGCCCCACGCCATGGTATGTGGACGCAAGCTTGAACAGCTTCTTCATCTTGGCGACCTTTGGAAATGGAATATATCTTGGACAGTGGGCGCCCCGGGCCGCCACCACAGATCTTTGAGGCCTTTGAGAATGCATAACGCATCGAAACATACAGGTTTGATCTTTGCTCGGTGGTGTGGGGTCCAAAAAAGAAAGGGAGACGATGACCAAGGAAGCGGTCCAAGTGCAGGTGCCGTCAGAGGACCCGAAGAAGAAGGAGAGCCTGGAGCCCGTGCATGCGCCGCAAAAGGATAATGGCGCGGACACGAAGGAGCCAGAGGACTTGTCGGACGAAGACAAGCAACTCAAGGAAGATCTCGAATTGAGTGTCACGCGCATCGTCGACATCCATGAACAAATCGGCGTGAAGAAGCTCGCATTGGAAACGTTGCGCGAACTCATCCGCACGGCCACGTCCAGTATGACGTCGGTGCCGAAGCCACTCAAGTTTCTGCGTCCCCATTACAATGCACTCAAAGACGCGTTCACGACGCTGCAACCTGCCAACCAGACGGAACTCGCCGACATTCTGGCAGTGCTTGCCATGACGATGGCCCCTGAGGGCTCTCGTGAAAGCTTGCATTTCAAACTCAAGGGCAACTCGACGGAATTGGGATTGTGGGGCCACGAGTTTGTCCGGTCGTTGGCCGGGGAAGTCGGCGAGGTACCCACCCACTCGATGCTTTCTCCTCCATGAAGCATGTTCTCACCGCACGGATCGTAGGAATACACGGCGCGCGTCACGACCACCATTGATGCCAACGTGGACGACTTGCTCGCGATCGTGGATGCAATCGTGCCGTTCCATATGAAGCACAACGCCGAGCCGGAAGCGATCGACATCCTCATCGAAGTGCAAAAGCTCGACCGGCTTCTCGCCTCCCCCGAGATCGACGACAAGAACTACCAGCGCGTGTGTCTGTATCTGTTGGCGTGCGCCGACTTCATGAGCGACCCGGACGACCTCCAGACGCTGCTCAACACTGCGTACGCCATTTACATCCGCGTGGACAAGCTCCCCGACGCGTTGCGCGTAGCGTTGCGCTTGGACAGCGAGCCTCTGGTCGCCGACGTGTTCTCCAAGGCGAACGACCCGGCCGTGCGCAAGCAACTCGGGTACATTCTGGGCCGCCAGCGGTTTTGCTACGACGACGAGCACCCCGAGCACGCCGCCGTGGACCAGGTAGGGGTTCCCATCCATCTTCGTTGCTGAGCTAGTTGCTGCAAACAAGTGCCAAACCTACGAAACATCGTGACCATACATATATGGGTTGATATATGTTTGCTTTTTTTTTAAAATACTATTGGATTGATGTTTATACATGTTGTAAATCGTTATATTTTAAATAATTTTTTTTTTTGGGGTAGATCGGCAACTCGGAATTGAGCGACAAGTTTCTGGCGCTGGCTCGTGATTTGGATGTGCTCGAGCCCAAGACCCCCGAAGACATTTACAAGTCGCACTTGTCTGAGACGGGCAGCGTGACCCGCGGCCGCGACGGCGGCGCGCCCACCGACTCTGCCCGCGCCAACCTCGCGTCCACGTTTGTGAATGCGTTTGTGAATGCTGGCTACGGCACCGATAAGCTCATGACTGTGGAGGGAAACGGATGGCTGTATAAGAACAAGGAGCACGGCATGACGTCGGCGGCGGCGTCCCTCGGCCTGCTCATGCTGTGGAACGTCGAGGAAGGCATCACCGCGATCGACAAGTTTTTGTACTCGGGGGACCCGCACATCAAAGCCGGCGCGATCCTCGGCGTCGGCATCGTCAGCTCGGGCATCCGCAACGAATGTGATCCGGCGCTCGCCCTCCTCTCCGAGCATGTGGACTCGGGAAACTGCTCCATCCGGTGCGCATCCGTGCTCGGACTTGGCATCGCGTATGCCGGCTCGTCGCGCGACGACGTGAGTGAGCTGCTGATCCCCGTCGTCTCCCATGCCGACGAGAACGCCGACATCCAAGAGGTGAGCTACGCGGCGCTGGCCCTCGGCATGGTTGAAGTCGGCACGTGCGACGAGGAGGCGGGCAGCGTACTCATGCAGCGTCTCATGGAGTCGACCGACGCCGAGCTCGACTCTTCTTGCGCACGGTTCCTCTGCCTCGGGCTCGGGTTGCTCTACCTCGGGTAAACAAGCGTGTCTATATATATATGTTTGGGTGTGTGGACATTTGAGAGTTGTGTATTGCACTGATCATTGATGCATATGGTGTATGTGTTTCGTATCTCACGTCTTCATTCACCTGTGGTGCTTATAAATCCAGTTGATATTTTTTTGATTTGATTCGTGTGGAATAATATTATATATATATATATATGCTTTTCATTAAAAAAAAATGGACGGGAGTATTTCTTACCAACCTATTTGATACCCATTTTGACATATAAGCTTTAAGCTTGTACAAAGTATACAACGATTCGTAGAGTAGATGTTTAGATGTTGCCCAATAATACCGAGGGTCGAATCAAAATTATTTAGAAAATTGGCAGAAAATCGACAAAATGTGAAATATTGGCAGAAAATCGACAAAATATGAAATATTGGCTTGGGCACATGTCTTGCATTCTCTCGCTTAATACATATTCCATGGTCCTGAGGGCTGCGAATACTCGATTTGGCAATAGAGATCTAACAAATATCTCTTCGTGTTGTTCCTAGCCGCCAAGAACGCGTGGACGCGATGCTTGAAGCCGCCAAGACCATCCAACATCGCATCTCAAAGTACTTGGCCATCACGCTGGAAACATGTGCGTATGCTGGCACGGGCAACGTGCTCAAGGTGCAGTCGTTGCTGCGGGTGTGCGCCACCCATGTCGTGGACGACCCTAACGAAGGCGCGCACCAACTGGCGGCGGTGCTCGGGATCGCGCTCGTGACCGTCGGCGAAAGCGTCGGCAGCGAAATGGCCGTGCGCACCTTCGACCATCTTCTCCAGTACGGCGAAGTGAACGTCCGCCGCGCGGTGCCGCTGGCGCTGGCGCTGCAGAGCGTGTCCAACCCAGAGTACTCGCTCATTGACACGCTGTCGCGGCTCACGCATGACGCGGACGCGGGTGTCGCCCAGAGCGCCATCCTCGCGCTCGGCCTCGTGTCCGCCGGGACCAATAACTCGCGCGTCGCGGGGCTGCTTCGCCAGCTGTCCGAGTTTTACAGCCGCGAAGCCAACCACTTGTTTGTTGTGCGCATTGCTCAAGGGTTTCTTCACATGGGCAAGGTATGTATATATATATATATATATATATATCGATCATTGTCGTTTGGTTTATATATTGTGCATTGCACCCAAATTTGGACTTGTGACTACTCTATTTACGCCAATAGCATTGGAATCTATATTTGATCGTCTCATTGTATACGTTGCAAATATGAGTATATATATATATATGGTTTTGCTCAATTTGGAGGGTGACACGTTTGGATTGGCAGAAATTACGACATGACGTGATTTGATTGGCTTAGGCCGTTCTTTGATTCATTCTCTATCAAGACATTCGTTTCACCTCCAGTTTCGACTTTTGAAAAAACGGTCGAAATTTGGCATTTTGATGATATATATCGTCGTTTGATATTTATTTGTATTATATTTGTTGTGGGATATTGATTTGGAATCGTAGGGCCTTATCACGCTGCACCCGTTCCACTCGGACCGGCTGATTCTGTCGCGCGTGGCGCTGAGCGGGCTTCTGGCCGTGCTTCATGCGGCGCTGGACATGGAAAAGACTATCTTTGACAACTCGCACTACTTTTTATATTGCATCGTCACGGCCATGCAGCCGCGCATGCTCATCACGGTGGACGAGCAGGGCAACCCCCTACCCGTGTCTGTGCGCGTCGGCCAAGCGGTACGTCCATCTCTTTCGATATATATATATATATATATATATGATGCGATTGGTTGGGGGTAGGTGGAAGTGGTGGGGCAAGCCGGCCGACCCAAGTCGATCACGGGCTTCCAGACACACAACACGCCCGTGCTGCTCAATGTGAAGGACCGCGCTGAGCTGGCCACGGACGAGTACATTGCGCTCACCAACGTGTTAGAAGGCATTGTCATTTTACGCAAGAATCCCGACTTTCAACCCGATGCCTAAGCTACTAGGAGTGTGGTGATGTCCAGGGAAAAATATATTTCGTACCGCTTCACCACGAGTACAATACATATATAGATGCTATATATATATGCACAAAGCAAATGCGCTATACAGAGTAACTGGATGATTGTTTCGCACGATCAGCCGACAGTTTTGAAAGACTCTCGAATAATTGTTATATTTATACGGAGTACTATTATTAATTACTACCTCCGGCCGGAGGTATAGTATAAGTAACGTTAGTACTATTAATATTATAATACTACATACAGTATTAACAGTATTAACAGTAAAAAGGGCGATTTGGAGCTGACTGTGAGTACCCAATTTTGTCCAATCATCGTCGTTTGATAATTGTGATTGGCTGCCAACTGCGCATAAATTACATTGTGGGCGGAAATTACATTGATCACGTTACGAATAATTTTGGACGACTTCTCAAAACTGTAGCGCCAGTACCCTGAGCATTTAATGTTTGCATTCTTTGACAACTCATGTAATCTCATAATTACATTGACTTCTAAATTGACAGTGAATTCCTTGTACTTGACTTGTGAAGTACTTCGAAGTACTACAATTTTTGCAGATTACTATAAAGAGGTTCTGAGAATTTCGGTTGTCAAAGCTGTCATATATTATTCAAGTCAAACACCTGGGCGGAATTTACATTTACATAGGAAAATTACACAATTGAAAAATTCGTAGAGCAACGCGACAACGATGGGTCCTGCATAAACTACAGTAATAATGCTCGTCACGACCATGAGAATGCATCTTCACCACTCACACGGGCGATGAGGTACGAGACGACAAGCCGAGCGGAAATTGCGTGAAATACCTTATACTTATTACATTAAAAGTAAAATATAGTACGCGAGACTCCAGCACCCCACTCCCATCGTGTAGGCCGCTGCTGCCACTACTGGTTATCTCAAAAGGAATAACATTTTGAAACACTTGAAGGTCAAGTTGGCCCCGGAATGTCCTACGTGTGTAGCTATGGATTTTGGTTGACTACAGAACACAGACATGAGACATGTAGGAAGCATCGAACGTGAAGGTCCATCACATTTGACCGGCTGATTTTTGTAAAACTGGCTACAGTACAGCGATAAGCATTTTGAAGCCATTGCAGACCAAGTAGGCTTCGGAATGGCCAACGATGGTCACGTTGTGCATGACTACGAGCTAGCTACGGATGTAGGTTGACCTACAGTACATATTGTTTTAACGTTATTACAAACGTGCAGTACATCGTCTCATTTCAACCACATTTTAACCGGCAACTACAGCCAAATAAATTGTTTTCCAACGCAATTCAGTGCAAATCCTTCAAGAAGCAACCGGCGTGTGATGGTAGCGCAGGTATATATATAGTTAGGTATATACTAGGTAACTTGGTCTATATTTACAATTTTTGGCGAAGGCTGCTCATGCGTGGCAGTGCTTGATGTGAGAGTATGGTTGGTGATAGTTGGTGCTGGCGTCTTACGACAAGCTAACTCCAGACGCGACTGAAAGCGTCGGCGCCACCACTAACCACCATCATACTGCCACATCCAGCACTCTCTTGCCCGATTCGTCCTCGACAACGATAGACCCAACATAGACCAGTGCTTGGTAGTGTGGTACCTGGACACGAATCCTTTCAAGTGTGCAATTGCTAAGACATAACCCAAATATCTCCATGTGATGCAATTGAGAGTGAATGATAAACTCTGTCCGTAGCCACAATTGAGGATGATCAATCAGATTATTTAGGGTGAAATCGTTGTTCAGGCAATTGATGGATACCCGCACTACAAGTGAGAAGCAATCGAAGAAACAACGATGTCGATTCCTATCGTCTAATCTTGTACTACATGGTGGCAGTTTAAATCGAGTGCTCAATCATCGCCATTTTGCAGACGATGCCCGTCTCGGCGGTGGCATCATACTGCCAGTGATGTTCGCTGTGGCTGGCGGAATGGTGGTCGGTTTGATGTCAGCTGGAGGTTTCTTGAACAAAACGTCGGTGGCGTTATTGGCCGACAGTCCCTTGGGGGCGGCTGGGGGACGCGGCTGCTTGGTCGGTGGGGCTGAAGGCTGCTTCTTTTTGAATGGCTGGTTGTTGGTCGAGGGTTTGGGGGCGGTCGTCCTGTGGTTGGCCTGCGGAGCCGTTTTGGGGCGAACGGCAGCGGTCGCACCAGATGGAGGCGGGGGGGCAGCTTGGCGTACGTGTTTGGATGCCGTCGTGGGCAACCGCGTGGTCGACTCGCGACTGTCGGCAGGTTCTTTCTCCATCACAAACGACGACTTGGACACCCGTTTCGGTGGCACCCCGCGAGTGGCTGGCATGGGCACCGCCGCCGCCACATTGTTCGTAACTGGCATGACCACGGGTGGTTTGTCATCGACCACTGGCATCGCGTACCGGCCTTGCGCGGCTTTGATTGTCTTGGCGTTGCGAGACGACTTAGTGTGCTGGAGGTAGCGCGGGTGGTTGTTGTTGCTCAATTTGAATTCGTCTGTTTTATCCGTCGGACTGTGCTGGTTCTGGGACAAATCGCTCGGAAATGGCGGGTGGAGAGTCTGGGGCATGACAGTGCTGCCTTTAGAAGTGTGCGATGGTTTGATGTGCTGACTCGGAAACGAAGACCGGTGTTGCAACGGCGGGGGCTGAATATTCTGGGGGGGCTTTTGCTGCTGTGGTTGTGGCTGGACTTGGGGACGTTTATGACGTGTCTCTGGCTGCCGCGGGGGCCCTTGACGAGCGGTGACCCACGACGACAAGGGCCTGTCGAAGTCGGCGTCGTGGCTGAGTCCTGGGTCCGACGTTGACATGTCCCAGCTGTCTTCATCTTTTGTCACCCGTTCCTGCTCATCGTCTGAAAGAGACAAATCCACGTCGTGGACTGCCCGAGATTCCTAAGACGAAACGAGGTACGGTTCCGTCCACGCAACATGTGGCATACCATCACGACGACGCGCGACGCCGCGGGGGATGACGAAGGTCGATGGACGGTTGTGGACGCTTCCGTGTCCACCCATCCGTTGCCCTGGGGGCATACGAAGTTAGATGCAGCTGTCTTGTGAATGTAGAACATGTAGTTAAATAGACACGGACCGCCGAGAGCGAGCTGTACGAAGCACTAGGCGGACGTTCGAGTTTGGTAAAGTCGTAGTGCGGGTTGAGTTTTCGCTATGCATATTCCATTGAAAACGAACGAGTCTGGCCCGGATGCCGTACGTACCATGCGCGGACACAAGTCGATCCAAACTAGTTGTTTCTTTTTCAGTTTGCGCGGGGCAGAGTCATGGGGCAGCGCAATGCCGTTGGTCACGTTGAGAAATGTGTTGACAAGCACCAGTTCGTCCGTCTTAGGGTCTGTCGGTGATGCGTGAAGGACCAAGCGTTTAGCCAACGTATATATATATATATACTTACATACCTGTGTGAAGAGGATCCCATTCGTTGCGTTTCTTTTCCGACGCGCGATGATTCTTCTGCAGCTGTGCATCCAGCATGGCCAGTTGGTCCAAGTACGCATTATGTGGTGCGATGTCTGGTCGCTTCATTTTCACGAATTCGTACGCTTTGTCGAGACTCCTACACAATCATGAGAGTCATTTGACGGTAAAAGACTTACCATTGGTATTTGGACATCAAGTACGCCATCATCACGCATGGACTGCGGGACATGCCATCGAGGGAATGCACAAGCAGGCTCAAACTGGACTGCATTGCGTGGTCAATGAATGCAATCAGCTCCACATAGTCTTCGTTGCGCAGGTCAAACAAGATGCCTTCTGGTTGCTCGGCCATATCGCATGCAAAGTATCTAGGAATGTATGATGATGAAATAACGATCAGCATGATTCTCAATGAAAGTACCGAATGCCTTCGGGCTCAAACGCGTTGGGCACTTCACGAGGCACGCAGTTCACAATGAACTCGATGCCGTTCAAGCTCAAGAACTCTGCGTCTTGAGCGGCGTCGATGTCTCCCATGAAAAGTCCATTGTTGATCTTCGTGGACATTTCCAATCCACTGGCATGTGGGGGCGTCCACGGCTGTGCTGATCGGTCGATCTCGTTTTGATGATTCCTTCGGCCATATTCATACTAAATCCAACCAACCAATCAGAGGGCAGAAAACTATTTTTAGATTGACGAGCATAGTCAAAAAAATGTTCCACATTGAGTAAGTATGGGTGTACGAGTGCTATCGAAGTAGGAAAGAAGGCTTGGCCCATAAAGTATGTCTCGTTAGAATCATGGCTAACGTACACTTACATAATCACCAGTACAATACAGTACTACCCAGTACCGCAATAGCTCTAATCGTACGTGCCCCGACGAATACGAGGGGTCATTGGTTATGTTGACGTTATGAAGTTTCAGCATTTATCACCAAAAGGAAAAGTAGTCACCTGGTTCCACCTCACCAATTATTGCGTACTTGGAAAACGTATCAATGTACGAGTTCACAGTGTGGTGAGGGATTGTGCTCTTGTCACAGGGATGGTAAATTTAGCATGTTTTCACATCCTCTCCACAGCACAACACTGGATCTTGGTTCTTTCTGCCATTGTTGCGTTGTAGAGATAAAGCGCACGGGCAGCGACATTCGGATGACCTCCGCGCAGCCTCCAAGCGCCAAGTCCTGGCAATATGCATCGACGTGCTACAGTTGTCGACGGCCGTTTAGCTTGCTCTTCAGTCGACATCACTGCCGCAACTGCGGATACTCAGTGTGCGGCGCACACTCCAAATACAAAGCGGAGCTGGTGCACTTGCAAGGTCCCCAGCGCGTGTGCAATTCCTGCCACAGGGTCTTGTTGGCTTCCAAGCCATCGCCGCAGCAGAAGTCGTTTGTTAAGCGAAAGGTGCCTTCCCGTCGACTACTAACGCGGTCAATGCGATTGCACCCTTGGGAAGTCGCTCGGGAACCCAAGAAGAGGTTTCAATGGGATCGCGACCTCTCATTGGACCCTGCCGCGTCGCTAAAGCAGCGCCGACGGGCGCCAACCGAGATCACGACGATAAATTCGTCCTTCCCACGGAGCTCCACCGATTCCATGGCATGGGGCCAGTCCATGCATTTCCACAGCACACCTAAGGCAAAACACCATAAAGTTCCTCCAAGCTCAGTTGATGACACCGAAGATGATGCTTTCGTCTGGCGTCTCCCAAGTCCCCCACACCATAGGAACAACTTGTCCAAATCCCAACTCAACGGTCCAGTACCTGTCGAACATATCACACTGATGATCAAGACCCAGGAGTCTCCACGACGCCATCATAACTCCTATCTATCGTCGGATTCCACTGCACAATCGAGCCAGTATCCCATGGACCCCCCTACATGCGTCCCCGTGTCTGAGGGGCGACCGTCACTCTCTGTACAAAAGGCCAGCTCTGGCGATATGGACTTGGCTGGCCTCACATCCGTCATGGCCTTGTCGAAGCAAAAGCAAACGCTGCAGGAAGATATCCAACACCTGCATGCCCAGCTAGCCCAATGCAAAGCAGATACCAAGCGCATGTATCGGCGGAAGGTTCGCACTCGCCGCCATATCGTATCGGCCATGGCCTATGTGACCGAAGGCGAGTACTTTCTGGCTCAACTGGACTTGAAAAGGGCATTGGCGCTCAACGATCAGTGCATCATGACGTGGCACGTTCTAGCAGAGTGTTTACTCCGGTGTCACTGGCCGGACGAAGCGGCGTTGGCATGCAGTGTCGGCCTCGAGCTCGTGCGCGCCCCCGGAACAGTGGCATTGCTAGGACGCATTCGATTGGCCCAACGACGGCTTGACGACGCGATCGCTTGTTTCCACGAAGCCCTCAAGTAATGGGATGGCGGCGCAAATGACATTATTATTATTATTATAACAGCACACAGCCGACGCGTGTTATTCGCGCTGGTTGTCCACGTTATTCATCCACTGCATCGTTCGTTCGTACACCAAAAACGTCACCGCGCTCACAGGAAATGCTCGCGCGACTGTCGCGCCAAAGCCTTTGAGCAGGAAGCGCGGCCCTTCCATCTTGAGCTGGGCCCGAACAAGGTCGGAAGTGGACCCACGGGGACGACTCTGCACCAACGACTTGACCACGTCGATGGGATGGGTGGTCATCCAAGAGAGGGAGCCAGCGATGCCTCCAGCCAGGAGGAGGTTGAACGTGGTTTCGTTGGCTTCGTCTCCGCCTGTCAACGCTTGCTTCATGACGTCGTACGCAAAGAAATACGACCCAAATGCGGGAACGTCGCGCAGCATAGTGAGTTGCCATCCGCGATACAGGCCTCTGTAGATGCCATGCTGTCGTGCCAGATGTCGAGCACATGCTAGCGCACTCTGTTTCGATGCTGTCGTGTTCACTTGCATGGTGATCTTGACCAACTCGGCAGGAGCAGCAAAAATGACTTGGAACAGGCCAGCAAAGGACCCTGCGACGCACTGCTGCGCCGGTGTCAATGGCTCGTTCGTGGAGGTTGCAATCACGCGAGACACTTGCCCATATACGGCAAACACCACTGCATTGATAGGAGCGTTGGATAAGATGGGTGAGAGGATGCCTTTGTAGAGACCTGTCACACCTTCCGACTGAACGATCGACCTGAACGTGTTCACGATGCTGCTGCTCTGCGCTTGTGTTTGTAGCCGAACCTTTATCGTGTCGAGGGGGTGTCCTGCAATGATGCCAGAGACACCGCCTATCGTGCCAGCATTCAAGTCTTTGACCACGTCCACCCACTCCATTGCAAATGGTGAATGTGGCCAACCGTGACGGTTTCATGCAAAACGGCAAAAATGGCAAAATGGGTTCTACAGTAGTATTTTGTTTCGGATATTGTATCCGGTATTTGTCGTGGACATCGTCGATTACTGTATTCATCCGCATCAACATGGAAAAGTCGGTCCGCACAGCATACAAGAAGCTCATCAAGCTGGCGCAGAGCCTTCCCGCCGACCAAAAACCAACAGCGCTGGACAAGATTCGCCACGACTTTCGATCCCGTGGAGTCATCTCAACCGCAGAGGAGTAAGTGACATATGGAATCCATCCCACGCGAGGTACACGAATCCTGTAGGCTGGACAAGCTTGTGATGAAGGCACAGTCAAAGATTAGCTACTTGAAGATTGTGACGCCCAAGCGCACGCCACGTACGTGGTTCTTGCCTTGTGCATCCATGGTGTTCACGTGGATCTATAGAATCTGGTCCCCAGCGCTTCATTTACAAGGACGGCAAACGCCTGGACTCGCAAAGCCTCGACGACGGTGGAAACCGCACGATCAAGACGACCGATGTCAACGCAATGATGGAGCGACACGTCAAGTTGATTCGCCGACAGCACTTTATGGACCGAAAGTAGTATAAGCAAGTTCCAATTACGTCATTTCCGCTTTGAGCACCGCCTGCACCAGCTTGGCCTCCTTCTTCACGCGATCGTCGACACTAGTGACTTTTTGGTCAATGCGGTCCACTTGCTCGGTCGTGCGCGCCGTGATGTCGCTGATGGTGTCGGCCGTCTGACCTAGCTTGGCGAGGATCTTGGACAGTTGGTCCAGCTGATCGTCCTCTGGCTGGGCCGCGGCATGCTGTTGCTGCGGCGGTTGCAACTTGACCTGGTTTCCCGTGTTAGCATTAAGTGACACAGTTACAACTTACTCTGGACACGCGACTGCTGCGAGAGGCCTTGGCTCCCCCTTTTCTTGTCTTGGAGCCTCGCCCGCCCTTCTTGTAGGACTTTTTGCGGGTGAATAAGTGCGTGAGCTTGTACAAGATCGGGTGCTTCAAGCTCCTGCCCAAGTCCTCGGCATGGTCCATCTGCCGACCCATGGTGTCCACCGTGCCTTCCGCGTCGTTCAACACATCTGCCGGACGCCCCATCATGTGAACGCTAGTACATTCCATCCCCATATTCACATGATATAGTCTACCTTCTTGATACACCATTTCGTTGACCGTGGCATCGCCAATGCGGTCCGCTTCCTTCGCATCGTTGATCGCTTGTTGGAGAAGTTCCTGGGACGTTTTCTTGACGTTTTTCATTTGCGCTTCCAGCGACTGCATGAGTCCGGCCGACTCTTTGTGGCCTAATGTCGTGATATGTATCATATCTCGTCGTGGACAGTTGAGTTGTACAGATGCACAGGGAAGAAGTGGACCTGTGATTTCTTCTATTCGCTGACTCATCGACTTCTGGGGCGACGAATTTTTGCCCAAGGCATTGTGTGCCACGTTGAGCCACTTGGTTTGGTCGATTTGAGACTCGACATACACACTGTACTCCTTGTATCCCTGTCCAGGGCAATGTCCGATGAACTTGAACCCGAACGGCTTGACACTCGCCCCCTCGTCGCTAAGGTCTTGTTTCTCGCATTCTGACAGGACAAACGACCCCTTTGGATGGCCTTTCGACGTGTAGATTTCCTTGCTGTCGTAGTACGACACCAACAAGGTGTCGCCGTTCAGGACCATATACCTCCGCTTCCACGATTTCATCAAATGCCCTAGAGTCGTCGTCGCCTTATTAGCCCACACGCTGCTTTCAACGGCATGTACGAGCATACCTCTCTTTGTCACATAGCCCTCACAAGAGGTTTGATGGATCTTGGACAAGTTGACGTGCATTGTGGAATGCTGTTTGTAGCGTGCAATGTTGGGCCTCCAACCCCCAAAACTGCCACCGCAACGTTGGCAGTGTCTATTTTTAGACTTTTTATTCGGATCCGGATAATACGCTGGATGTTGTGGTGACCTTCAATACACTCGAAATATTGGCCTCTCCAGCACGCGTTGATGATTCCACCCCCGTCAAGTGGACGTGGAACTGTCTGTAGAGCCAAACGATATGCAAGTGACATGCAGCGATAACATGGCGAGAAGAGAAGCCCAGTCATCTGTATGTCTTCATCCATGCGGCGTCCAATTCCCACACGACCGACGAACGGAATCTCTGCAACGTTGCAGCGGTCATCAACAATGTCAAGCGCTTTTCGAAGGGAAGATGCCCAAGAACGGATCTGTTAGTGTTTGGAATCGTCCTACTGATAGGCTTTCCATGGCAAAGTCGACGTATTTTTGGGATTCCCGTGGGGACCACAAGCAGGCTAGTTCCCGACGTCAGACGTCCATCGTCCCATGAATTGAGAGCGCGCTGATTGGCCAGTGCACCCTGAGCAGCGACAGATACTGGAGAAGGTGGACCAAATGCCTTGGCATTTTCAAAATTGACACCAAGGGAACACACAAGCAACTGGACCATGAGCTCCAAACGAACGACCACGGCGGCCTTTATCCGTGCCCTGTACAACCTGACAAGGAAAGGCACGCCGTTTGTCGACTGGTCAGCCGACGGCACGACGTTCCGTATCCTCGATATCAAGCGGTTTGCCTCGGAAGTCCTCCCCCATTTTTTCAAGCACAGCAACATGGCCAGCTTTCAGCGTCAACTCAACTACTTTTCATTCAAGAAATGGACCAAGAACAACCGCACGCTGGAAGCGATATCAAAGAAGGGAAGTATCGCCGAGTTTCATCACCCGTACTTCACACGCGATATGGACGAAAGTTTGCTGTCCTGTTTCCGAAGGAAGGTGGCCTCACGATCGTTCGAGCCATTGATGGACGTCTACTCCCAAGACTACGACACATTTGGAGACGCGTCATATGAGCATCGCATCGTACAATCCGCGGGGCGAGAAAAGTCATCCACAGTCAAGGTGAAGAAGGAACCACTTCGTGCCCCCTGCCGACTACCGAAGCCCCACGTGGTCAACGATGCTTCGCCAAGAAAAACTCAACAGTTTCCAAGTGAGCTCTTGACCCCACCACCAGTGCTTCAGTTCGAACCAATCCGCTTTGCTCCCGGTCCCCATCACCCGCACTTTTCCGCCACGGGACCCTCCACGCTTCGACAAGGCACCTGCATCGACCATACAATCGATATATCATGGGGACACTGCGATTCCTGGCAATCGGACGCTCCCCACTCTGGAAGTGACTGTGACTGGTTGACGAACTTCGATTGGGAAACCCATGGCGACCTCATCCCAACTGCTGGTATTGTGTACCAAACCATCGATGGCGCAGGAGCCGACACCAGCGACTTCGTCGTCGCGCTTTGAGCACCATTCGATGTCTGTTTCTCCATCAGTAGTGTGTATGTTGTCGCGTAATAATGTACTCGATGAGTGTTCTGCATGTTCATTGAAGGACGCAATGTCATCGTCATTTCACGAGTTATCCGTATGGTCGATATTAACCGGACATTTACTTAACACATGGGCAATAACTAGCCAATAAAATGGCAGTAGGGAACTGCATAAGTAGATGTTCCATCTTCACATTTCGCGGCACTAGCCTGGCTGCGTCGTCATGTGCATCGCATTCTTCCACCTGTCGACGTACGCAGACCCAAGCGGATGCGCTCATGTCAAGTTCATTGTTGTGGACAACCGAGATGAGTTCTACGCTCGCGCCACGAGTCCCATGCACTGGTGGAGCAAGTCCCATCCCGACATCTTTGCGCGTACGTCCTTGATATTCTACAGTGATGCCATGTTGTCTGACGCACCTTTACGTTGCAGCCAGAGATCTCGAGCGCGGTGGAACTTGGCTCGGTCTTCGACGTTCACAGGGCGGTGGTGGCGTGGTGCGCGTGGCCTTCCTCACCAACATCCGCGTCGCAGTCCAGCCTGTGGACAAGGAGAGCCGAGGAGTATGTGGCATGAGTTGCCGCTGTGATCTTGGAAACCTTATGCCTTTGCTTGTATAGAATGTCGTGACCGACTTTCTCCAAAGCGACCTGAACGTGTCCGACTTTGTGAAGCAGCTGCAACCCACGGGATGCAACTACGCCGGCTTCAACCTCGTGATGTTTGACGGAGAGTCGTTGGGATACTATTGCAACTTGAACCCCATGGGGCCAACCCCCGATTTCACGCTCCTTGAGCGGGATGTGCTGTACGGAATCTCGAATAGCGTGCTCGGCACGCCATGGATCAAGGTCGAGCGCGGCAAAGCGGCCCTGGCGGACGTGCTGGCCATGCACAAAGATCAAGACGATCTGGCTTTGTGTCGCAAGTTAATTCTTCCCATGGTGGATACCACACGAATTGAAGCTCCAGAACTCCTGCCTCAAACAGGTACGACCAAAGTCGAGACCAATGGAGTGTCGTGATAAGATGGTGGGGTTACATGTAGGATGCCCCGAAGCAATGGAATACCAGCTCTCGAGCATCTTCGTCGAGCCTGTAGGCAACCCCAAGTACCCCAAGTATGGCACCCGCACAACAATCGCCATGGTTGTCGATGGCGGTCATGCCACGATCCTTGAGAAAGACCTAGATCCCACCACGCTGCAGTGGAACGAGCATACTCATTCCTTTTAACTTTGAACGCAAGCCTACGTTTCATGCCATTGATACCATCGACGGGTCTCACAGCGTCCACCAGCATGAAGCAGAAGCAGCATGAAATACAGCAGTACAGTCCCATGGAATGATGTGCCTGGCATACGGATAAACCTCCGATATTATCCGTACATCAGGGCCACGATTCCTCACCACAGAACAATGGTAGGATTTTACCTTTGGATGCTGAATATTAATTTATACAGGTTTGGATCATTGCTTTGTCAGAAATCGAACAACGTCCCCTACGACAACGGACATGAGCTACGCTGCCCCGCCGCTACCTGCCCCCACTTCCACCAACGTGCACGGCGATGACGACGACTGGAAGCGCTCCCTGAAAGCACCCGAGAAGGACACCCGCTTCCAAACCGAAGACGTCACCAATGTAAAAGGTACGAACGCCCGCCCGCGTGCCATAAACGCACGGCGAGGACCTGACCGTTTGTTTGGTCGCAGGCAACGATTTTGAAGACTACTTTTTAAAGCGAGAGCTGTTGATGGGCATATTCGAGAAAGGCTTTGAACGCCCGTCGCCCATCCAAGAAGAGGCGGTGCCCATCATTTTAGCTGGTCGAAACGTCATGGCCCGGGCAAAGAACGGCACTGGGAAGACCGCCGCGTTCATCATTCCGTGCCTGGAAAAGACCGACACCACGAAAAACCACATACAAGTGATGATCCTTGTCCCTACCCGCGAATTGGCGCTCCAAACTTCGGCCATCGTGAAGGAAATCGGCAAGCACATGGGCGTCGAATGCATGGTGAGCACGGGCGGCACGAGCTTAAAGGACGACATCATGCGTTTGTACAACACGGTTCACATCCTCGTGGGCACCCCTGGCCGCATCATGGACTTGGCCAACAAGGGCGTCGCAGACCTGAGCCAATGCTCGACCGTGATCATGGACGAAGCGGACAAGCTGCTGTCCCCCGAGTTCCAGCCGCTGCTCGAGCAACTGGTCAACCACACGGCGCCAGGGCGGCAGATCTGCCTCTTCAGCGCCACGTTCCCCGTCACGGTCAAGTCGTTCAAGGACAAGTACATTGACAACCCGTACGAGATCAACCTCATGGACGAGCTCACGCTCAAAGGCGTGTCGCAGTTCTACGCGTTTGTGGAGGAGCGTCAAAAGGTGCACTGCCTCAACACGCTCTTCTCCAAGCTCGACATCAACCAGAGCATCATCTTTTGCAACTCGGTGAACCGCGTGGAGCTGCTGGCGAAGAAGGTGACGGAGCTCGGGTTCTCATGCTTTTACATTCACGCCAAGATGAACCAGGCGCACCGCAACCGCGTGTTCCACGAGTTCCGCAACGGCGCCACGCGGCACTTGGTGTGCTCGGACCTGTTTACGCGGGGCATCGACATCCAGACCGTGAACGTTGTGATCAACTTTGACTTTCCGAAAAACTCGGAAACGTACCTCCATCGCATCGGTCGGTCGGGGCGGTTTGGCCACCTCGGGCTTGCAATCAACATGATCACGTACGAAGACCGGTTCAACCTGTACAGAATCGAACAAGAGCTCGGCACGGAGATTCGACCTATCCCGCCCGTGATTGACCGCAACCTGTACTGCAAGTAGAGACCGAGTGCGAGTGGAGTGTTACCCTTAGAGATAGGAACGTAGTTAGGTGCAGGCATGATCGTCGTTTTGGTTCGACAACAACGAGCGAGGAAGAGAAAATCACAGTAAAACACACAAAAAAACAAGGCTACTATGGCCGAAACCCCCCTGTTGGTTGGTCTCAAACAGTTACGTCATCATGATGTACTGTAACGGACATCACGACGTGAGTTGGTGATGCCGACGAGCCAGACCGTGCCGCGCCCGCCGCACTTGCGGAGCGGCAGCCATGTGAACCTCAGCCCCCTCCCGAGCAACCACAACAGCAACAACCTCCGGGAAGCGTTTGTCGTCGATTCAACCGCCGCGGCATCTCCAAAACAGCGCAGTACGGGGCAGCCATCACCCAAGACTAACCATCGTGGCCATACGATGCCGCTGTCCATCCAAGGAGGCGACCATCCTTTTGGTCCACCGAGGGACAGTATGACCAACAACCATATTCACCCAGAGACCAACGCAGACGACACGGAAGAAGACACGGACGCGTTCAAGCGCGCCATGTGGGCCGGCCAGGCCAACATTCTCGTGGCAGTGCGCCTGCGCCCCCAGCTTAAGCACGACCGCGACCGAGGGGAGATTGTCAAAGTCCTCGGGAACAAGGTAGTCGTGGTGTTGGACCCTGGCAACCACAAGGACGTCGTGGGCAAACTGCGACATCGGTCGCGGGAGAAGCGATATGCGTTCGACTATGTGTTTTCTCCGTCGGATGGCCAAGCGACAGTGTACAACAACACGACCAAGTTCCTCATCCACGGCATCCTCCAAGGCTTCAACGCCACAGTGTTTGCGTACGGATGCACGGGCGCGGGCAAAGTACGGCCACCAACCTTGTTGATGTGTCTATATGTGACAGGCGAAAGGAGAAATATGCGATGATGATGGCGATGGAGGTTCAGCATGCAATGGCGATCTTGATTTTGTGGTGGTGTGTAGACGTACACGATGCTCGGGACACCAGACGAGCCGGGGATCATGGCGCTGACCTTGGATGATTTGTTTGGTCACATTGAAGCCAGTCAGTGCAAAGTGCCCAATCTGGTACAGTCAGTTGGATGGTCGATGGACATTTCGTGGTGGTGATAATGATGCCGATGTGGTCAGGTGCAGTACCGGGTGACAGTGTCGTTTTTGGAAGTGTACAACGAAAACATCCGCGACTTGCTCCGGAGCGACCACGACCAAGACACGTACTTGGACCTGCGAGAAGACCCGGTCAAAGGACCTGTCGTGGCCGACTTGTCCGAGATCGTCGCGTCCAACGCGGAAGAAGTGATGCGGCTGCTCCGGCGAGGCAACAAGAACCGGTCGCAGGAGGCCACGGCCGCCAACGCCGTCTCATCTCGAAGCCACGCCGTGCTCCAAGTGTCTGTCGAGCAAACCGAGGCCACACCCGACACGGTGACCGTGCTCAAGGTAGGCCCATGCTGTTCGAACTCGTCAAGATCGTCAGGCATGTGTTTACGTCGGGACTGCAAACGTTAGACGGGAAAGCTGTCGATGATCGACCTGGCGGGCAGCGAACGCGCCGCCGTGACCCAAAATCGGTAGGCAAGAAATCAAGACGTGTGGGGATAATAATGGGTTTACTACGCAGGGGGCTGCGGTTACTCGAAGGGGCCAACATCAACCGGTCGCTGCTGGCACTGGGGAATTGCATCAATGCGCTGGGGGAAAAGGCGAATCGGGGGGCGTTTGTTCCGTACCGAGACAGCAAACTCACGCGGTTGCTCAAGGATTCCCTCGGAGGCAACTGCCGCACCGTCATGATTGCCAACATCAGCATGTCTGTGCTCTCGTTCGAAGAGACGGTCAACACCCTCAAGTATCATGGCATCCTTCCTTCCTCGTCCGTCCATAATGCTGGATCTCATCACGAGGCGCAACGTAGATATGCCAACCGGGCTAAGAACATCAAGACCACCGTGACCAGAAACGTGCTAAACGTGAACCACCACATCTCAGAATACGTGTCTCTTATCGCAAACTTGCGCCAAGAGATCACCAACCTCAAGGCGCAGATGACCCAGCAAGGCATCCCGTCTCCGTCAAGCCATGATCTCAAGGGAAAAGGGTTCAAGAAAGACCTGGACGAGTCCAACAATTCGGCGGGCGAAGGGGGCGGCACCGCGACGATGCGCGAGGTACGTACTTTGATGCTGTCCAGCTTAATTGAGCTCATGGGGGCATGTACTACCAGGCGCGAGTGCAAATCATGAAGTACTTTCACGAACGGATGCTGCTGAGGCGGCAACTGTTGGAGTTGGAAAACAAGGTTTAGAAGTGCATCTATTCAAGTGCCAATCTCATGTAGAGGCGATTTGCGGTAGAACGTGGCCAAGAGCATTGAGATTGGACAGCACCAGCTCGTCGTGGCCGAGCACGAGCGACAGCGCGAAGAAAAAGACGAGGACAAAGCCGCCGCCGTGGACGCCCGCGTCGAGTTTGAAGAGTTTGACGACGAGGCCGACATGGTGGTGGCGAAAATGGAGATCGGACGGCTGCAAGACGACATCAAGGACCTGTCTACAGAGAAGGGCGAGCTCACGCGGAAACTGCGCCTCACGGAGCGCGTGGCGGAGGAGTTCCGGTACCTAGTTGAACATCCCATGTGGATAGATCATCATCATGCAGAATGCGTCGGTAGGGCTGCGCTGGAACACACAATCACAAACGACGAGAAGCGCGAGCTGTTGCTGATGGAATACCGCATCGGCAAGCTCGAGCTGGAGAACATGGAGCTCGAACAGACCCGAACGGTGCAAGAAACCATTTCCCGCGGCAAAGACTTGACCGTGGAAAAGCTCAAACTGCAACTTCGGGTGAGCATTTGAATTGTTTTGCATTTACTTACTTGGGATTGGGTATTGTTTCGATGCTTTAATTCGGATTGGGTAATGGATTTGAGCATTCAATTACCATTGGGTGATGATTTTCACAGTACAAACAATCACCCAATGGGAATTGAATGCTCAAATCCAATACCCAATCCGAATCTTCGAAGTTTGTTTGAAGCATCATTTGGATATTGGATTTGCTTTTGTATTTATTTTGATGAAGTTGTAACAAAATCAGGTATATAATTCGTAGTTTTGTTTTAAATTATATATTTTAAGGAAAAAAAGGAGTTTTTAAATTTATATTTATTTTGATGCTTGAATTCTGATTGGGTCCTTTGTTTGGAGTAGCTGCGGGACAAGATCATTCAAAAGCAACAAGCCATCTTGGACAAGCACGACATTGGCCACGAAGTGCGCTTTGGGATCTTGGACACTTTGGAAGATGCGACCCTCACAGACGGCTTCGACACGCTGCGCTTGTCCATGGAACGCATCAGCTCTCCCGTCGCACTGGCACGACCGGCGGAAGCCGACCGCGGAGGCGTGGTGCTCCCAGACATCTTTAAACAGCCGTCGTTTGTCATGGAGGAGGATCCTGTCAAGTCACCTGTGGGTCGCATGAGCTTGCTGCAATGGCAGAACCAACTGGACAAGGCCGTGCCTCTGAAGGACTCGACGATGAAGGGACCCGCCGTGGACACATCGCTGCTTCCGTCCATCATCTCACGACACAAGAAGAAGAGCGCGCCAGGCCTCTCGGCGCCGTACCTCAAGGTGCTCAAGCATCGACGGAAGCGAAAGTCGTCTGTGAAACCCATCGCGAGTAGTCAGCCCTCACCCCACCCACAACCACCGTGTCAACCTAATTTCTAACATCGCTCCAGGATGACAATGCTCCTGTTCCCATGGAGTGCTGGTACTTACGAAAGAGAACTTGTGGTTCTGATATTGAAGGTACTATTGTGCTTTCGAGTGAAATTTCGTGTTGTGGCGTAGTTGGAATTTAAATCGATTTGATTGGCTACTTCAGACGAGCTCAAAATTATTAGCCAATCAAAACCTTCTCAATGAAATTGAACCAATCAGATCGATTGTGGATCGGTTTGGTCGCGCGATTCCCTCCCCCAAATTTGTATCAAATCGACAATACTTGGATTTTGACGATACCGTATGCCGAGTTCCTATGTAAAACAATTCGACCCGGAGCACCTTAAAGCCACGCCGCGAGTGCGTCGACACCGGAGCTTTCGATCTTGGAGGCAGCGTCGATGTCAACGACATCGCCACTGCTGTTGACAATCACGACGGTGGGAATGCCGCCCACGCGGTCGGTCACGCCGACAGTTTCCATCTCTTTCTTGGCGCAGACTTGGTACTGGAGCAGTATCATAGTATCATACATTGGAACATGTTGTTGGTTGCCGTACCTTTCGCTTCAACTCATCGCGAAGGGTGTCGTGGAATGGGATTGCAAGCCACGGCCCTTGCTTGTCGCGAAAGTGAGCGAGTTGGTCGTCCTCCGTCGCGTCCGAGCTCACGAATACGATGTCCAGTTGGTGGGTTTGGGCGTTCACTTTGCTGTAAAAGTCGTTCAACTTTGGCTGGAAGTCGCGGCAGTCAGGGCACCAGTCCGCCTGCACTCGAAGCCATCCATCAAGTCATGTGAGCTTCCATGAACCCCGAAGCATGCATGGTGAATGGTCTTCCTACCGCAAAGTACAAAGCCAGCGTCTTGGCCACGGGCTCTTGGATGGCGCCGGCGGCATTGACCAGCTTGGTTTGCTTCATGAAGTGCGTCATGTGTCGTCCAAAAACCGAGAATAGTGCATTATTTTCACCGTACATAATCCTCGATATGGATTGGTCCACTATATCTGTAAATCGGTAAAATTCGAGCATTTGATTGGCTTTAAAAAATCGTATCGTCTGTGGAGATCAGATGGAAGCGAGCTATTTCAACCAATCAGATCGATGTGATTGGATAAGGACAAAACGAGCTAACCCGATGGCGAAACCGACAACCCACCCCCAAAACGTGCGATGTACGAAATCCTAATTCCCTTAATGAGTACTCCGCATCTGTAACTGACACGCCATGTTTGCGCCAAGAATAGATCGTCGGGCCATTCGAGGGTTCGTTTCCTCAGTGTGGGTTGGTTCAACAGACCGTCTGTTGCGCAGCCGCAGCGCCGACACATTCCTGAAGCGAGTATGAGCGACCACCGTCGTCGGAAGCTCCTTCTGGCGCAGAAAGTCGACCGCTACGACGGCCAGTCGATCTTCGTCAACGGCGAACTGCGCTACGAGCTCGGCGGGTACCTCGGTGGTGGCACCGCTGGCGTGTACGTCCACGCGATCCCGCTCTACTCGTCACGTCACCATGGCATTCATTCGTAGGGTCTACGAAGCGTTCTGTCCTTCCACAAAACAGGTATATCATTCTTTCCACATCGCATCGACATGGCGGCCTCACGGTGCCTTGATACTTAGCATGTAGCTCTCAAGATCCTCAACCCCATCGGGTACAAACTCATGCCGACGTCACTCCTGGCGCGCTGTCTTGTGGCCATCAAAGGTCGTCAAATGGAACCAGAAGTCGCCACCGGACTTCAGCCCATGCGCACCGAGTACATCCTCCTTTCCATCATAATATGCTTGTTCTGATCTAAGTCGACATGACTGCAGGCACGTGTGGTGGCTGGTGCACCAATCGTCCAAGCAAGCGATAGCGGCCTACGAAGATCCGCGGTCGGGGGCCGTGAAAGAGCTCACGCTGCCGCGCTGCATCGAAGTATGGGGCACGTCCTTTGACGCGGGTGATGACGACGACGCGTCACCTACCGTTCGAGACGTGGCCGTCAAGGGCCAAGTGTTCAAGATCCCCGTTGTGCCCAAGAAATTTGTCAAGTTTGCACGCAACCGGTGCTCGATCTATCGGTAAAACTCCCAGTTTTTCCCATGAAGTCATCTCTTATCTACTCGTATGTCTTGGGCACCGCAGGGAAATTTCCAACATGTCTGAGCTGGACGCGCATGTCAACGTGCTGCGGCTGGACGACACGTTGGAACTGCAGCAGGACAGCAAATGCACCATCTTCCTCGTGCTCGAGCTTGCGGCGGGCGGCGAGCTCTTCGACCGGATCAAGCTCGACTGCGGCACGGACGAGGCGACCGCGCGGGGCTACTTCAAGCAGCTCGTGTCCGGCGTGGCGTTCTGCCACGACTCGGGCGTGTGCCACCGCGACCTAAAGCCGGAGAACCTGCTCTTGGCCGACAACGAGGAGCTGTCGACGTTGAAAATCGCCGACTTTGGTTTGTCCGCCATCTTTTCCATCACAGAATACACCAACGGAGATGCGGCCACGGCCATCCGCCGCCTCCGGTCCGTCGTCGGATCGCCCCATTACGTGGCCCCCGAAGTGCTACAAGACGCGTCCGGCCAGGGCTACGACGGCGCCAAGGCGGACGCGTGGTCCATCGGCGTGATTCTGTACGCCATGCTGGCCGGCAAGCTGCCTTTCGGGAAGGATCTACTCAAGTGTATCCGGTTCGACCGGTTCAAAAAGTGGTCACTGCAGACCAAGTACGACGACGATGTGGAAGACCCGGCGCAAGATGTCGCCGCCACCGCCGTGGACTTTCCCGAGTGGTTCTTCCCCGCGCACTTCTCGTACGATGTCAAGGCGTTGCTGGCGCAGCTCATGTACCCTGATCCGTGTCTCCGGCTGTCTGTGGACGAGGCCAGCAAGCATCGGTGGGTGCTGGATCGGCCAAGACGGGGGGGGGTGGAGCGGCCTGGCGGGGAGGGCTTGCAGCATGGAACAAGTTCGTTTGTCGGCGAAGGAAACGAGAAAGGGGTGGTGAAAGCACCCACGGGGGACTTGAACAATCCATTTCAGGACAAGGCGGAGGACGCGATGCATCGATGGCCCCATCAAGCGCAGCACCACCATGGCACCGGACACATTGTACGCAACATGCACAACTTGCACGTGTCCTTGACGTCACCGCCGCCACCCGTGGCGACGTCGGGGGTTCGGAAAACCACCTCGTCGTTGTTCCAACAGGTCGTGTCGCCGCCATCGTTGACCTGCTCCAACTCGAATTCGTCCCATCGGGGCCTTGGGCTGCATCGTCCTGGGTACATGCCGTCGGTGGATGAATCCAGCCCCCTCCACACTCCCAAGCACCAACAAGATCGACAGGATCAAGCGGCAGAGTGCAAGACCTGCAAGCGCACCAACTGCAGCTGCGATGAAGCCGAGGTTGCCGCGGTGGTCAAGAGCGATCCATTCTTGTCGCCACCGATGGCGCCTCTTGAAGACCCCGTCTCAGGCAGCAACCTGTCCCCGACATCCTTTTCGTTGTCTACGTGGTAATTTAATACACGCGTCCATTCGCATAGACAGACCATCGAGTTGCTTGCTGGCTGTGGTTTCCGCCGACATGTGCAAGGTGAAAATATAGGATCACTTGGTTATCCGGGAAAAAAGGACATTCTTTATCCGGATGACGTTGGGCGAATTGATTGGAGCGCAAAACCAGAGTTCAACTTGACAGCAACTGACGATGGGACGCGGAAAGAAGAATGGCACGAGCTTGGGGAAGACCCTCATGAAGACGGGTGCGAAGCCTGTGAAGAAGGAGATCCAGTCCAGGTAGATCTGTCAATGACGATGCTAGCAGAAGTTCATGCTCATGATGTAGTGCGGGTAAACACGTGGCAGTTGCCGACGGAGGTGACGCGACGGCGCAGTTGGCGTCCTACTTGGAAGGCTCGTCTCTCGTACGCGATAGAGTTGCCACATGCAGTTCGGATACTTATGTCGTGGATAGGACGATTTCTTGGCCAACGCAACGTTGGCAAACCGCGAATTTGTAGCGGAAAAGGAGCGCATTGTCGTGCTGGAATCCCACGGCGGCCCCACGCTCGCGACCGCGTACGTCCGCCTTGCCATCCACAGCAATGAAGGAGCTCATGGATATGGTGATAGGGATCTGGCCACGCTGCCGTCGATGGATTTCGCGGAAATGAAGGTGCCGCGTCGGCCCAAGTGGGACGCGACCACCACGGCCGCCGAGCTCAACTTGCACGAACGCGAAAGTTTCCTCAGCTGGCGCCGCGACATTGCACTGTACGTCACGTGTCGATGGGGGGTATTCCATGTGCATTGTGTGACCATGATGATGCAGCTTGGAAGCAGCCGCCGAGGCGCGCGAAGTCACCCCGTTCGAAAAGAACTTGGAAGTGTGGCGTCAGTTGTGGCGCGTGATCGAGCGCAGTGATATTGTCGTGCAAATTGTGGATGCCCGCAACCCCCTCTTTTACCGGTGCGTCCAGTTTGCAATATTGTCCCTGAAATCTCAAAACGAATCATGGCAGGTCCATGGACTTGGAACGGTATGTCAAGGAAGTGGACGAGAACAAGCAAGTGATGCTAATCGTCAACAAGTCGGACTTTCTGACCCCCGCCCAACGGTATGCCCCCCCCTTCACCCCCCCTTTCTCCCCATGGCTGGCTCATATAGAGCAACGTACTTAGCGTGGCGTGGGCCGACTACTTTAAGGACCAAGCCGTCGACTTTGTGTTTTTCTCGGCGAAAGAAGCGCAAGAGTTGCTGGACGCAGAGTATAAACAGGCGAACGTTGCGCTAGGATCATCGTCCGACGACGAAGAAGACGAAGAAGACAGTGAAGAAGAAGTGGAGGGGGGCGAAGTGGAGGAGGTCGTGGCTGTGCCAAACGCGCCCGTGGCTGCGCTCGAGCGAGAAGACTGCAAGGTGCTGACCCGCGAAGACCTGCTAGAGTACATGGAGACCCGCGCCAAGGCCGTGTTTGCCAAGGTGGGGCTGCGATCTGAAGACCGGGGACTGGTCAAGTTTGGGATGGTGGGCTTCCCCAACGTCGGCAAGAGCTCGGCCATTAACGCCCTTCTGGGCGCATCTAACTTTGCACACCACGCGCAGCGCGTGGCCGTGGGGGCCACTCCAGGCAAAACCAAGCACTTTCAGGTACTACTACCTCATGAACACAACAATATTTGTATATTGCTAGTGGGGATGCTGATTCAACTGAGTAGACGCTTGCGTTGTCGGATACGATCATGCTGTGTGATTGCCCTGGGCTGGTCTTTCCGAGCTTTGTCAACTCTAAGGCGGAGATGCTTTGCTGCGGCGTCCTGCCCATCGCCCAACTCCGCGACCACGTTCGTACGTGTTTGCTATCCTCTATGATTTTATATCGTGCACGAATTAATATGTGATGGGTACTAGCGCCGTGTGAACTCGTGGCCCGCCGCATCCCCCGCGTGGTGTTTGAAAAAACGTATGGCATCAAAGTACCCGTGCCCAACACGGGCAAATACAACGACCCTGTCAACGTATACTCGGTGTTGGAAGTGTATGCCCGCGCCCGCGGGTTCACCACTACCGGCAAGGTAATAACCTGTGATACTTTATATACCCACCAGCCTGACCATGTTTGTGGAATAGAGTGGACCTGACACGTCGCGGGCGGCGCGCGTGCTCCTTCGCGACTACGTGATGGGCAAGCTGCTGTACTGCCACCCGCCGCCGACGGTTGACGTGGCGGACGCGGCGTTCAACCCGCTGGAACTGGCCAAAGATTTCATCGGCGGCGCCGCCGAGGTGCTGTTGGCGCACGAAGATGAAGAAGGCAAGCCGACGGGGTTCGACCTGGCCGGGGCCGAAAGCAAGCGCGTGCTGAGTAAAAGGTGCGGACTAAATAGAGGATAGTAGTTGACCAGTGGCGGGTAGATTGAAGCGGCACGGGAAGAAGGGCCGCAAAGGTCGGGATAAAAACCCATACGAAGACATGGACAACGCCGCCAACGCCGTGACGGCCCACGTGTCTCGGGGCAAGAAGATCGACAGGAGGGAGAAGGCGTTCACGCGGGTCACGCTGCCCCACCATGTCACGTACAATCCCACCACGGCGCAATGAGTAATAAGTATCATACCACTTCCGATTGTGTTATTGGACTAATAATTAATAACCAAGTAACGCTATCATAACTGGAGTAAGTTACTACACAATCGTCGACATATCATGTCCAGTGTTGGGCAGGACTTGATGTTGTACTCGTATAATGGTGTGTTTCCTTTATAGTTTTCTATGATTATAACTATTCCTGTAGTATTATTATGAATAGTATACTATTAATAGCACTACTGTAGTAATATATAACTAGTACTACTAGAATACTAATATCAATAGGATAAGAATTGCCACCCAAAGACTATCATCACAACATCCCCAACTTGAGTATTACTGTATGTTATGGTTTGAACGCATTCAGCAGTCGACACCACGCTTGGGCTCCATGGACGGTATCTGTGATGCGGAACGACCCCGACGTCTATGTCAACCACGACCCTTGAAAACACATATACTCTATATATCGATCGTACGTATCGAATGTCAAAGGTCGACGTGTTCTTGGGTACGATGTGGATGGCGTTGGTGCCCCACTGGAACACTTGGGGCGGCTGGTTCTTGGCGTCCGACACGATGAGGCGGCCGTGGGTTGTGAACATGAGTCCCCGCGCCTTCTTGGTGAAGAGCGACCCGTGCAGCTTGACGTCGGCCTGCAGCAGAATGCCCTCGTTGTTCTCTAAAATCGAACTAGACGATGTAGTGGTCGAGTGTCTCCTCGCAGACGTTGGAGGACTAGGGTCTCTCTGCGGCTGATCGTGGTGACTATATATATATAGTTAGCACGACAACGTACGACCAACCATAGTTTGGCTAAATAAATATATATATATATATATATATACATACATGGGATGGTGGCGGGGGTCGTCGGCGAGCAACGGCGTCGCTCCAAACACGTCGTTGAGGACGTTCGCAAGACTCCAGTTGGGGGACGCGCCATCCTACGACAAAATAGAATCAAATATATATATATATATATATCATGGGGGACTAATAATCATGATACTATGTTCGATCATCATAATATTCAGCATCATACTACCATGGTGGGTGTCGGAAGGTGAGTCTTGTCGGGCACGACGGGGGGGGTGGCGGTGGAAATGCCGGTCCAGTCGACGCCTTCAAAGAACGGATGCGCCTGGATGGTGTCGTAATCGGTGAGGCGGGCATCGAGGTCCAGCACCAGCAGCCGCCGGATGAGGTCCCGCGCCGCCTCGGGGACGTGCGCCGGGAACTCCATGGCGTCGCTGTCGTGCGAGAGGATTTGCTGGAACGTCAAAAAGTCGTTTTCGCCTCGAAATGGCGGACGACCGGTCAGCATCTATTGGTTGTCAGCATCTATTGGTTGCATTTCGCCACTTGGACACGACCAAAGTATAACTATACCTGGAAAAGGATGCACCCCACGGCCCACAGGTCGCTGCCCTCGCACGCAGGCAAGTCGTTGAGCACTTCGGGGGACAAGTACTCGGCCGTGCCGCAAAAGTTGGTCGCGTGCTCGTTCGAGTCGGCAATCTGCAGCAACGTCAACTTGAATATATCACGTATCACGGAATAATATATATATTTATATATATTGTTGGGTTTATTCCAAACGTGCCATTTGAATCATCACACAACCAAATGTGCAGAATATTTAGCCAATCAGATGATACTATTGTACGAAAACGTACGTCGTTTCCACCCATCAACATCGAAATAGTGTGTGGGACTAAAACTAGTGGAATCAACGACATCACTGGAAAATCGTTTTCATACAAAATTAAAATCCTGATTTTTGGCTGAAAGGGCAATATATATATATTGCCCTATGAGCCAAAATTTATATTAAATGTGCAGAAGTCATACTATTATTTCCCATGCATTTCAACCAACCAGTCATGTGTCGACACTTACCGTGGCCGTGCCAAAATCGGTCACTTTCAAGTGCCCATGTTCCCTGCGACGTTGTCGACGTGAAATAGTGTGATACGGCAATAACAATGGGGGGTACGTACGTGAAGAGAATGTTGTCGGGCTTGAGGTCTCGGTGGATGATGTGCTAATATCGTGCCGTTGGGCGGGAGAATAGAAACGAAGGCAGACACGTACGTTGCTGTGGATGTACCGCAGGGCCACAATCAATTGCGCCATGTAAAACTGAACCACAGCAACGCTGCATGCCGTATCCACTGCGCCTTGGGCCTTGGCGGCATCGCGCTCCTTGCTACAAACTATGTCGTCAAGCCATCGGAGGATGGAAACGTGCTCGCGGTGGTACCAAATATGCGACAGCAACTCTCCACCGCGACACAGCTCCATGACCATGTACAAGCTCTCGTCGTCCTGATGGCAATGTGTGATGAGAGACACGAGAACGACATCGCGTACCTTGAAGCTGCAGTAAAACTTGACAATGTTTGGATGGGACAGCTTGGACATGACCTGCCGCTCCATCACGACAAACGGCACCTTCTTGTGCTTCTTGATAAACTCCTGGTCCATCACTTTCACGGCAAAGTTGGCCTTGGTCTTCTTGAATTGCGCGTGGTACACCTTCGCAAACGAACCTTGGCCGAGCACGGACCCAAACACAAAGTCGCCGGGTGTCATGGCAGCCCGCGCTTGCGACGATGAAGATGACGAGTTTGGTGCCGACGATGAAGACGACGAGTTGGGTGTCGACGAGGACGCGGTGCGGGAAGGAGTCGTCGCGGACACCATAGGCAGGCAGGTCGAAAGAAGGTTACTGAGCGGCGATCGGTGCGGCAGAGGTGGCAATAATGTACCCATCTTATTACACACAACTCCATACAAACTCCCAGATAGCCGAAAAACTGCAATATTAAATACCACAGTGTATCCAATGTCAAAGGACGTACAAGGTAAGTTGAAGTGAGACACGTCCAACCGCAGCGACACACATCCGCAATGGTCGTCTGGTGACGAGGATGCAAGTGCTCTAGACGAACGAATGGGGCGAGAGCGCGATGTTGCCCCATGTGCGAGAGAGTTCCACGTGAGTTAGTACATGGACAGCCGACGGGCACATGGCTGGGACGTCCGGAAAACCGTATTATAGGCACAGACATCCGGATAAACTGCACTTTGCATCAGGGTGAGGGAGCATGGATCAGTTTGTCGCGGCGGTGTTTGCAGACAGGGACGTGGTCTCGTACATTGGTCACAGCACTGCGTTGGAATGGATGGTCTGGTTCCGACCGTCGGCTTCGCTTGATTCGATGCACTTGAGTGTGTACGTGCGTCGAAAGGTTGACCAGGTGGACTACCAAGCGTTGGAACTCACCGTCACGCTCGACACCCTGCAAGCTCATGTATGTGCGTGAGGTTCCCTGACGACAGCATGACCATGTATAGATGAATGACCTTGGTGTAACAAGCGACTTGTCGTCGTTTGCGCTTCCGTTCAAGGTATTGAACGACCCACGCTTGCCTGCCGCCTTGACTTTTCCAGTAGACCGCTGCGTTGTCGTCTGCTCGCAACCTTGACGTCGACATTGACGACAACGGCACAGTCCTCGTTGAAATTACATATGTGTTTGGTCATTCGCTGACTCGAAAGGGTTCGTTTGCGCTACCTACGATCTCCCTTCCCAGCACTCCCTCGCCATTTGCCTATGTAGGGGTGTTCTCGATGCCGCCATCCACACCAAGCGCTACTGTTCCGAGCCACGTCGTGGATCTCTTGAGGTCCTTACGCTCCATCCTCGTTGAAACCACCGAGGTATGATGCACTTGATGCATTCCAACTCATACTGAACGCTATACGTATACATGCAGGAGCAAACATCCCGCCGAGCGCGACGTTCGACGTTATTGCTATCCACAGCTGCAATGCCGATCCAGCTCGCAACGACTAGCTCCCCACCTCCCACTGTGGTCAAGCGCAAGCCAGCTCTTCCTCTCGGAGCCAGGTTCTGGACACTAACGACCAAGTTGTTCCTGGCTTGGTATGCTCACGAGTGTACACGTCATAGGCGCAAAGTGGCCCGGGGCGCCAAGTTTGCAGACGACGACGAATAACGACATACAAGTAGTACTACTGTAGTATATGACCCGTTGCAGTTTCTACACTTGCACTTCGGTCGAGAGAGGTCGGCGGCTGGTTCGAGGAGACTCGAGTGGTTCGTCTTGAGGCGCCAGACCTTCGAGCACCGCCATGACACGGTCATTGTTACGCAGGACCGCGGACGCATACGCATTCCGATTCGACTAGAAACGAAGTCATCAACGTGAAGGGAAACACAGCAAGACCCGTACGTCGTCCTTGGCGGCAGGGTCCGCCCCCGCGTTGAGAAGCAGGGAACAAGCGCCTACTTGGTTCTTCTTGGCAGCTACAATCAATGGCGTCGAGTGGTTCTACCCAACAAACTGTTAATCCATGGTGTCAGACATACCTACTAAAGCAGTTAGAAGTTAGTTACCTTGTCCTGGACATTCACGTTGGCGTTGGCTCGGACGAGGGCCGCCACGACGTCTGTGTTGTCGTGCGTGCAGTAGCAAGCGTGATGCAGCGGAGTCGACAGTTGCTACAGAGAGAGCTCACATTCAGAGCGAAACGACGCACATATGTGACAGAGTACATTGTTGAGCTCGTCGACGGAAGCGCCAGCATCGAGCAGCACCTGCACGGTGGCTGCGCAGCCTGCCATGGCCGCGGCATGAAGCGGAGTGTTTCCAAATTGATTCTTGGCGTTGATCATTGACCAAGTGGACTGCCCGCCTTTTCGCTGGGGGTCTTTGGACTTTTCGTTCATGTCCTCTTCCATGTGCTGGTCTTTGAATCGCAGCAAGACGCGCACAATGTCAGGGTTTTTGCGGAAGCTGGCTTCATGCAGAGGACTGTTGGCGTCCTACGAAAGGTCTTGATGTTATGAGGAACCTGTGTACTCCGAGTAGAGGAACCACCATACAGGGGTGCGCAAGGCTGAAATATCCGCCCCGCCTTCCAACAGAGCCTCCACAGTATCAATATGGCCGCCCACGATCGCAGCAATCAAAGGCGTAGACCCATACTAGGTCATCAAGAATATTTGTTGTTACATTAGGGATCTGCCAGAAGGACAATCGCACGCACCTGCGCACGTTGGTGGAAGTTGACATCCGCATCCTTTTCCTGCAGCAGCTTCTTCACTCGTTCCGTCGCGCCTTCCGCCGCCGCCTCGTACAGCCACTCGGTCTGCTTGGTCACGATTCGGTTGGCGCTCATGGGGTGAGAACAAAAATGTGAAACGGCTGAAACGCTTTACAAGTATTCTATCCATTTTGCTTGTATATTAATTTAGCGAGTGTATATTATTTAACAAGTGGGTCAATTTCCAAAAGTTGTCTACATAAAATTGGAGGGGAAAATTCCCATAGGATGTGTTATCGTTGGTGTATCCGTAGAGTTCCGGATAACTAGTTGAAGCGGTTACAGTTGTGACGTCCCAAGAAGGGGCAGCCGAAAAGCCGACAGACGGCATGGATAAGCTGTGCCAGCAATACCACGCAGAAGATGTGGGTCGCATCCTACTTCAAGCTCAAGACGAACTGCGAAGCATGCGCGAGAAGGTTAACGAGAAGAACAACGTCGATGTGAACGAGATCAACGCGATTCTGGAACGGGCTGAAGCTGACTTGCGCGCCAAAGCTGAAGTAACGTCGACATGACCAAACAAGGACCGCCCTGATCTATGTCACGCGTTTAGATTGTACTGAATGGCGTCGTGAACAACTCGATGAAGATGTTACCGGCCATCGAAGCCCCAGGCGGAAAGACGTCGTTGTCCAAATTCTCGTCGAAATTGGCACAAAAGCGGGAGTTGGCAGCGACGATGACCCGAGATGTACAGGTGAAAGTACATTTTCATCATAACGTTCGCTTACATGCCACTGCTAGAGCTCATACGAACCAGCTTCCCCTACGTATCGACAAGAGGATAGAGAGGTATTTCGCCTCACCAATCGAAGCCAACATCTCTCATCCTGCTCTTATTGCGTCGACAGCAGCCTCGCTTTGGTGGCCCAATCGAGCCCATGGAACGAGACCGAGCTCCAGGACGACGCCCAGTCGGTCGTATCATCAAAGCAGGCTCCCTCGTCAAGAAGAAAACGACCAAGCCCCATCGCCTTTTGCCCAAAGTACACATCTCAACCATACATGATTGAATACCCTGTCTTCTCCCCGTAATACTTTCTTGGTAGATGAATCGCACTGACCCGACGGCTCCATCCCCCGACCTCGTAGAAGAAGATGCACGAGGCGGGGTGCACAACCTGGTCACGAGGGGGTTCTTGCCTCCGTCGGTGGACGTCACGCCTGCCTTTACGCACGGCACGAGCGTGATCCAGAACAGCCGCGTCAAAATATACGATCGGGCGTCCCAGCCAGTCAAATCCATGCCGTACACCAACCCGTCGGGCTTCAACATGGCGTCGCTCAAGTTTGACATGTCGACGACCCCCGCCACTTCAACCCCCTCCCCCGTGGCAGCAGTCGTTTCAGGGGGAGATGTGTCCAAGATGGTAGTCACACCGATTGACATTTCATTCGACGCCCCGTCGTCTTCTCATCCCCCGGTGGAGCAACCCAAGGGGGGTGCCACTGGAGGCGACGACACGAATGGAGGCGACTCGAGTACTATTCACGTACGTGTTTGAATTGGTCAGAACGGATTGAAGACTCGTCACATGTTGTTGGGGGCTGTAGAACTTGCGCCGAAACGTCGAGAAAATACGTGGCTACAACGAACTGCTTGACACGTACAGGTAGGTACGAATTGATGTCGTTTGGGAGCATGAGAGTTGACATGATGAACCTATATGACTCGGACTTGGTTGTTTATTCGCTTTCGTTAGTTTGCATCAGTTTATCATCCGCAAAGGCAAGACACTGTCCGACACGCCCGAGTTTATTTCGTTTCAGCGGACGACAGAAGACTTGTGGGGCAGCGTGTCGACGTCCATACAAGAGTTGGAGACCATGCTCACGAGCTATTCCGTGCCGCTGGCGTACGTTGACGGCCAGAAGCTGATGAAGATCGCCGCGATGGACGCGACAACGCGCGGCACGACCGAGCTCTTGTCGTGCATCCTCAACATGGACGAAGTGAGTTCGCTCATGCGACGGCCTGGACAGCGCTACAAGGGTAGCCAGGGGCCCGACCTCGCGGTGGTGCTGATCCAAAGCGTGTGGCGCATGTTCCTCACGAAGAAGCGGCTGAAGAACCATCACGGAAACGAGGACGCCGCGGTCATTCAACGCATTTACAGGTCGTACCGGTGTTTTAGTCAACTCCAGCAGCGACTCAAACTCGTGCGGGAGGCCGACTTGCGCATCTGGGATGCGCAAATGCAGCGCTTTCGGGCGAACTGGGACACGGTACACACATAGTTTTCCAAAACTGCACTTTGCCGTTTGGTTGATTCAACTCTACAAATCGATGCGTAGATGAAAATGCAACGGCGGGTGGTCGTACATGTGCCGTCGTTTGCATCAGACGACCGCACGCGGTTGAAGATGGACAACTTTTCCATCCGTCAAAACCTCCAAATGGCGCGCATGTGTGCGATCGCCGACCCAAACGTGGACATTATCTACATCTCACCGTTCGAGTTGTCCCCAGACATCCAAAGGTACCAAGTACGGTTGCTCCAGCTCGGGGGGATCACGGACCCCCAGACCCGCATCCGCATGTTGCACCCCGAAAATGTCGACCGGTTTCCAGAGCACTTTTCACTCACGACGTTGCTACTGTATTCGCCGCACTGTCTCAAGAAGATCAAGCGGTTTGTGCGAGGAAAGAACGCGTACATTGTCACAGGAAACGTCGGGCCCGAAGACAAGCGGCTGGCCATCGCGCTGCAGATTCCGCTGCTGGGTATGGACCCAGACAAGGCGCTGCTGTACGGCACACGTGTAGGTCATACATTGTACTGTTATTGTGTGTGGGTAGAGATGTTTGTGGCGTACGTAGTCGGGGGGCAAACGCATCTTCATGGCGGCAGACGTCAACATTCCCATGGGAGCGCACGATATTTACGACGAAGACGAGCTCATTCAAAGCTTGAGCAAGTTGATTGCCGCGGACGTTGACCAGAACGAGTGGCTTGTCAAGGTACGATATCTTGTACGAAATGTATGGGGAAATGTGGCAACTGAGGGGTTCTTCTTTAGATCGACGCCGACCAGTCCGACACGGGCATCGCCAGCATCAACGTCCAGCAGATGCAGAGCGTGGCCAAAGTTCGCGCCGAGAAGCGAGACATGAAGCACATGGCGGCCGAATATTTCCAGCAGCCCGATGTCCGAGACGCTGTGCTGCGAAGCATCTTCAACGAACTGACCGAATCGTATTTTGCTGCAAACATCACGCCTTGCTTTCCAGATGTAAGAGAAGCACGTCTTGGAACAAGTGTTATGCTATCCTCTTTATGCACTCGATAGGTTTATGCGTCGTGGGCAGAGTTGCGGCCGGTGGCGTTGCGCGTGGGTGTCGTCATTGAGGTACGCATGTCGTGATGGTCACGAATACCGTTGCATCTCACGGCGACGATTTCGTCTTAGGCGTACCCGAGTAAAGTATTGAGCCAGGTCCGGGCCAACGTCTTTATTGAGCCTTCAGGCGGAGTGCACATCACGTCTGCACACGACTTATTCATGAGTCCAGCCAACAAACACCTGCCTCAGTGCGCTCTCTTCCCGCAGACGTCAGTGCCATATCAAGCCATCCGCGTACGTGTCGACGCATTAGTCATAACCAGTATATTCAACACTGGTACGTTGTTGTGAATATCTAGGGCGCGTCGTTGGCGATTGCAAGTTCCATGTTCATCAAAGGCATCATTGGCTATGCCAGCATCGACTACATGAGCTTCGCCGACCCCAAGACGTTGGTGGGGGGCGGGCGGCCTCGCCAGCGTCTGTGGGCCATGCAAGTCGTCCCTGGACTCACCAATACGGCCGTGTCGTTTGTCATGTTTGCGTTCCTGTCCTGCTCGCAGTTCAACCCAATCACGGGCAAATGTCATCTCCAGGTGGCCGCCCCGCCCCCCATCGCCGCCTCGGCGACCGTCGCCCCCATCACCCAAGCGCAGAAGGCGGTCGAGACCATTCTGAGCGCCCGACCGCCCAATGGCGCGGTTGTCTGCGGACCAGAGCGAACTTACATGGTGCTGGACTACATTTACCACCCCAACATGGCAACCCTGCACTTTTCCACGTTCTTCAACACGTGCCGACTCAACGGCGTGAGCTTTGACCTGCAGGTACAGTCCCATCCCAAGAACATACAATAACGTGGTTGCTAACGACTTGTGCGACAGAGGGCCATTGGCGCGGCGTTCATTCTAGCGGACAGCCTCACGGCGGGCGTGATGGGGTTGATGTGCATTGGCGAAAACGACAAGGAGGCGTTTCGAATAGCACGGCAGGCGGTGGAACTGATTGGGGACCAAGTGGGCGTGCAGGCGCTGCCGGACTCCCTCTCGGGCGAACGACTGGGCAACTTTCCCCACTTGCTCGCGATTGTGCGCAATAAGAGCGACGACCCTGCCGACAGGCGCAAACGACGGGGGGCACTTAAATAGTGATTACATCGACGTCCTTCAGTAGTGTCCTATACCACCAATCTGTGGGTCCGCTTCTTTCGTGCCATTCATTCGATGCCTGAACTCGAGGCACTCTGGGCTTAACGTTGGATTGGGTTGCTTGCTCATCGTACTATTGACAGTAACGTTACTATTGAACTTCAACTTTGGACATGACAAGCATCCGGAAAACATGACGATGCCGGTAAAATGGCAAGGAGTGCTGATTGTACAGTACATCCAAGCGATGGGGATAATCGGCGCGGCCTTATCGGCGGGACTGCTCTTGTGGAGTCTTCAAGCAGACGCAGTCGTGGTGAACACGGCGGTACGTATACACCTTATACTCGCTTAGGTGGATGGAGCTCTCATGTAATGGATGCTTGTAGGTCAAACGAACATTTGACCTCACGAGGCACATCGTGCGACAGGTGGACGACATCTCGTTTCGAGACGACGATGCGTCCGTGGCGACGTACACGGTGGCTATTCCTTTCGACTTCCATGAGCGTCTGTCCCACATGAGCGCCAAAACAGACAAAAACGCCGTCTGCGAGGTCGTCCAGGGCGAAAAAACTTCCCACACGCAGCTCTTCCACGTGCAGTTGCCGTCTCCTGTGTTGAAAGGGGCCGACGGGTCCATCAAAGTGACCGCCTATTTCACGCGCATACTCACGCCACTCCCTGCATCGATCAAGCAGAGCGAGGACCAACTCGTCGTGTTCCACGCCCCACATGTGCTGCCATCGCCATACGCCACAGTCACGCAAACCACGCGTATCAAGCTCCCTTCGACCCACGTAAGAAAGACCCACTCATCACCACTCGTTCTTTCTATCGTCTTCGTCGTCGCCGTCCTCTAGATCGAACGCCATTCCACCGTCGACCCCGTGTCCGTGAAAGGATCTGTTGTAACGTATGGCCCGTACACGGCCGTCCCTGGCGGCGCGCCTCCATCTTCTGCCAACGAGCTAATCACCGTTCACTTTCAGCACAACGAGCCCTTCCTCACCATGACGTCCCTTGTGAAGGAGGTCGATGTGTCCATGTGGGGCCGCGTGTCCACGGAGGAGGTCGTGGACGTCGAGCACACGGGCGCCGCCCTCGTTGGCGGGTTTTCCCGCTTCGAGTACTCTGAGCACGACGCCGTGTCTGCTTCGTTCCGGTCGTTCGTGGCCGTGCTACCCAAGCATGCGGTGAACGTCTACTACCGCGACCAGATTGGCAACATCACCACCTCCGCCTTGAGTGTCCTATCGAATGGCCACACGGAGCTCGTCCTCGAGGCGCGGTACCCGCTGTTTGGCGGGTGGAAGACTCAGTACTACCTCGGGTACTCGGAGCCCACGGCGTCCGTGCTCGTCCACGCCAACGACCGCTTCCGCCTCGAAGGACACCTGTCGACATGTGTCGAGCACGCGGCCGTGGACGACCTCACGCTCAAGGTCATCCTGCCCCAAGGCGCGACCAATGTCCAAGTGACCGCGCCGTGGCTCCATGTGGAGATCACGCACACGACGCGGCGTCAATCCTTCTTGGACGCTGGCCGCCCGGTGGTGATTCTGAAGAAGACCAACGTCGTGCCTGCCCACAACGACGTGCCGTTGACCGTCTCGTTCGACTATCCTGGTCATTATTACGTGTACCGCGAGCCGGCGCTGGTCGTGGGCGCGTGCTTTGGCTTGTTCGTCGTGTACATGGCACTCACGCGGCTTTTGAACCAAGCGCGACAGTCGCAAACCAAGCAAGACTAATAAGCGTGGTGACTCGTACTGTAGTAGTAGTACGTTAGTTTCCCAGTGAATATTGATATTACTTGGTCCAATGCCAACTTGGGTAGCACTGTAAACTATGAAGCGGATGATCACTTTCGCTTTGGCTATGCTTGTGGAGCAGTGGCATGCACAGAAACCAACCATGGCCTTGAGCTAACGTTAAGCTAACGTTAGGTTTCGACCTCATGGTACTAGTATTCGCGATAGTCTCACGAGGAGGTCATCAACCGACGATGGATGTTTCTTGTGAGGGTGTCGACACATGGAGTGGTTTTGCATGTAAAGTTATAAGACTATAGTTACTGGGATAATATATATAGTATTCATAAAGGCAGAAAGGTCGAGTTTCGACGACGACGAGGTAAGCTATAGCTGGTTGACGTCGCCGAATTCCGAGTAAAACGTGGCGATGGCCGTGGACGACTTGGTGGCGTCGGTGGGGTTGAACCACAATCGACATTTGTCGTACGGGGGCGCGTACAGGTGCAATGTGATCGCGTCCGTCGAGTCGCTGGGGTTGCCGATCTTGTGCAGGCCAAGCGAGTCGTCCATGTACGTCACCCCTTCCGAGATGGTCAGCTCCGACGTCTGTTCCAACGACGTGCCGTTGTTCCAGTACCGGACTTCGTGCACCGTGCCCTGGATGTGCCGGACCCAACATCCGTCCGACGGGTGGTCGTGGATGGGGCTGTACTTGCCCTTGTTCCAGCACAGCAACATCAGCGCATACGTTGCGTTGTCGGTTGCGATGAGGTTGCGAGTGTAGTTGCGGGACGGGTCAAAGTGCGCGTATCGCTTGAGCTCGTTCGAGTCGACGTTGAAAGCAGCCAGGGCGTTCTTAATGTCGTCCTTCTTGTTGAGGGGAAGCCGCTCTTGTCGCTCGAACTCGCTTTCGATCACATCCACGAGTTCACGCAGGGTCAAACCCTTTGGTGCGACCGAGGCGGGGGTGGCGACGCTGCTCGAGTTCAGTACCGAGCTCATTTGAGGTGTGGGAGAATATTGGATTGTGGATGCGAGCCAAGGATTTTAGCTGTAGAACGGAATATTACTATTTCGTACGGACTACACTTAACTTGTGTATGCGTGACAATTAAATTACTTCGTAAGAATGCCAAAGCTTCGTTTCGTGCATTTCATGACTGGTGCTAGGGGTGGGGGACGAAGTTCAAGGTAGAAATCAGTGGTTCATGGGTAATTGATGGGCCAAACCTTGTTCTTCTGGCTTCGCACGAGACAAATCTAGTGACGTGGCAGGTTCGAATCTGAACGAACGCTCAACAGTCCTTGTACAAGCAGCAGTGTCAATGGCGATTGTGATATTGTCCTTTTACCACTGCGCTCATTTGATTGAGTACCCACCCACCCCACTCCAATTTCGAATCGACTTTACAATAGCATTAGGTACAGATATCTGTATTACTGTATATTCAACCATCCCCAGTTTCCAAAAGCCAAGATCAAGTCAACTTCGGAAAAAAAATGCGAAAACAAATAGTAGAAAAGCCTAGTAGATACTAGTTAATCGCTCTAGTAGGTTGTTGGCATAGGAACTCAACCCCATTAAGTTTAATGTACACTTCTCACCCAGTTTCCAAAAGCCACATCCCAAGGGCTAAGTACAGTACAGTTTTGACCAGGTTTTGATTCGACCGGAGAGTAGCTAGCTGCACGCTCGCTCCCATGAGAAAATCCAAAAATAGAGCCTGACGATTCCAAGGTTCGTCGAGGGACGAAAACCTTGATTTGAGGCTAAACAGGTGCCATGGCCACCTCGCTACCGGTATGACAAGTGACTTTGCGCTTGCAGTACAGATTGTGCTCCTCCGTTCGTCGCGAACGTGAAATAATTACATTGCCGTTGAACACGTTATCCCTGTACATGTCTTTCATTTCAGAGGACCCAGTGACCGCTGGCTGGCACTACACACTTAGTCAAGACTTGTGTATTAGAAATCGTAACGACATGTCAAACTAACTACGCGTGGGCACGTCTGCACTGTCCAGTTCCGCTCGTCGCTGGCGAATCAGCTTGCACGCAGCTTTGTGGTGGGGCCAGTCTGCTGTCTGGTGCTCTTTGGAACAGTACAAGGCGGCGTCGCACGGGCACTTCAACAGGGCCTTTTCGGTCGGTTGGGTGCTGGCTCCGCATGTGCGGCAGCCCATCTTGGCTTCCGCCGGACCTTGTCGCTCGAAGAACACTTGTTCAAACGTGCGAGCAATGTTGGCCAAGAACGTCAGGATTATTTGCTGCCGCATCTGCAGCGTGAGCCACACATCCGCTTCGATGAGTACATTTCGCTGGATTTTGGCCTTCATTTCGTCAAGAACATGAGCAGACACGGACGGAAGGAGCGACTGAATCTGCTGCTCGGGGTCCTTCGGGTCGATAAAGGCCAGGGCCACAGTGTCGAACGTGGTGCCTGAAAACGTGGGCATGCGGTTCTTGGCCCGAAGCGCCTTCAAGTACGCCAAGTCCTCGGCCGCACAGTCAAAGCGAGCGCGATTGCAGAGAAGACGAACCAGAGGTTTCCCTTCGTCCGCAAGCAAGGCCGATAGCGTGAGTTCTGGCGCCAAGAAGTCGGACGCCTTGAGTTCGCTCGTGGGAGGAGACAGTGGCAGATCTGGAGAAGCATTTCGAAGCATGGATAGCTGACCGGCATACGGAAGTCCCAAGAACCACTTCATGAAGGTAGACCCATGGGCATCCCAGAAGCGCAGGAGAAACTCGCCTTCCGTCACGGGAGTAGGGGCGGACGCCGTGGAGGATGATGCCATTGGTGTTGCTGGACTGGTTGTTAACGGAAGAGTTATCCGGATGAAATTACGTATACTGTATTTATTTTAACGTGGCCAACCATTGATGGGCTGAGTTTTGCTTGACTGTGAGTTCACTTTCGAACATTTCAGTAATTTTAATGCTCGTTCGAATTGAATGGTCATATTATATTTGTGGACACGACGAAATTAGCTAACCAAGGCCCAAGATTTGGTGATTATTGTGTGCGACAAATAATCCAACTTTTGTCAAAACGGAGTCAGCGAGAAGGGACTTATAGGGGTTGTAGTCGTTATCAATACCAAACGAGAGCTTCTTCATGAAACTCGTTGAAATTGCTTGGAATTGAAAGTAGGTATTGAAAGTACGTACTAACTTAGTACCGGTACGCGTTATTGCATGTGTGGTGCAGGAAGTTAGTAATTCATTGACGGAATTCCGTGAACTTACAGTAACGTTAAGCCGAACATTAGAATAATGAAAACACTCATAGTTGTCTTTACCACCCACGGCGGTAGGATCTCAAAGTCAACGCGAGAGGTCACATGAGACATCACGCCATACAAAACTGCATTCAAGAATCCTCCATTGCAGAAAGTCATAGCTTGACTCATGTTGTTTGCGCTTGTGTCCAGCACTAGTAAGAGTATTGTCTCAGGGACATAAGTGTTGGTCCTCAGCCAAACTCACTCTGAAAGTACTACTGTAGTACGCTGGTAGTATGCTGGCCATCACGACACCACGGAATTCATTCACCATTCAGCTCAAGTTGCCATTACATGTACCCTCAAAAGGCGGCACACAAAATCGAATTCCATTGTAAATGACGCTGCTAGTAACGTTAGCATTGCCAATATTTGTCTTGTACTACGTAGTATATACTAGTAATACTGTATTCTACGTAGTAGTAGTACTAGTACAGTCCTTGTATACCAGTAGCCATCGTTTTACCACAATTGATCGATAATTCAATATATACATACGTACATTGCTTGAAGAAACTAAGATACATATCCATATATTACTTACTACGTAGTAGTACAGTAGTACTACATACCATAGTACTAGTAGTATACAATCTATTTTGACCAAATTGATCCTGCTTCTGCAACGCCAAAGCGCCGGGAATGTCGCATACTTCGAACTTCGCATAGCCTTACGTTTCTCAGTGAAACGGCTTCGAACTTCGAGTCTATTCCTGGACTCAGGCGCCCATTGTTGCTTTCGCTGCTTGCAACTCCAGGCGCCGTGCCGTAAGGACACATGCCGATAAGTTACGATCGCTGTTTGACGCGCACTGGAAGTATACGCATCATGGACACAGAATGCATAATGAACAAACCTACCGCGAAACTCTCCAAGTATCCAACGTACAAGTCAGCACCCGACGTGATCGCGGCGTTTAGGCAGCACAATCGATCCGAAATCACGGTCCGACCAGTGCAGCTGACGTCGCCACACATCAACGTCCAGCGGTTGACCAACGACAATCGGGTGACGACGACTCCATCTCCATGCTCCACTCACGTGGAAGAAATGTCCGGCGAGCATGTTGCCGTTCAAGACGACTGGCACGACGTGGTCGATGTCCACGTAGAAGCCTCGACGACGACCGCGCCAGGCTTGCTCACCCGCGAAATGCTGCAGACCAGTCTGACGTTGCTCTTTCCAGCGTTGGACGCAGAAGTCGTTGCATCGATCCATGCGCTGCTGCTGCACCCAGACCATGGCTTTGGCACGTATGACTTCGACGTGCTGGCGTTGCGCGCCTTCCTGCCGTCGTCGTCGCTGGTACTTGTCAGTCACGCGATCTTTTCCGTGATGTCGTTCGATGGCGTCGATATGCCCGTGTTGCTGTCGTGGGTCGGCGCCGTCGAGGCCGTGTACGACCCCGCGATTCCGTACCACAACGCCGACCACGCGGCAGACGTGGTCCATTCTCTCTTTTGCGCGCTCATGCACACCCCGTTGCGTTCGATCTTGTCGGTCCCGATGCAAATCGCGGGACTCCTCGCCGCGATCACCCACGACGCTGCCCATTTCGGCCGCACGAACCTCTTTCTCAAGAAATCCCACCACGCGCTGGCGACGACGTACCCCGTGTGCTGCCCTTTAGAAGAAATGCACGCGGCGGTGGGTCTCAACTTGCTCTCAGAGCACAACGTCCTGGCCCACTTGCCCACGTCGACGCAGACGGAACTCCGGCACGTCATGCACAGCGCCATCTTCACGACGTCGCTGTGCGAGCAGAAGAATCTGCTGGCGTCACTACGGGCCGTCAACACGAGCTCGTCGAATTTCGACCTCGTGGTGCTCCAGGCCGCCCTGCACGCCGCGGACTTGGGCCAAACGACCAAACCGTTTGCCGTGCATCGAGTGTGGGTGGATCGGCTAGGCGAGGAACTGTTTCGGCAGGGGGACGCGGAAAAGGTGCTCGGGTGGCCGGAGCCGTCGGCCATGTGCGACCGATTGGCGGGGTTTTCCGTGGGCGGGCAGCTGTTTTTTATGCAAAACCTCGTCTTGCCAGTGTATACGGCGCTCAACCAGAGGTTGGACGGGGGTTTGGAGCAAGTGTTGCGCCAGATTGCCGCCAACATTGACCAGTGGACGCAGCAGCTGCTGGCCTCACCTTCATAACTTATTGATACAATCTTTTCACACATCAAGGACTACCAGTAGATTCTGCCAACTGTCTGTGCGACACACCTGAAGTGTGATCACTCATTTGATCACTCATTTTTCAGGACCGCCAATATCTCACCTTCGACATACAGTGTACTACTACTATACAGTATTACTGTACTTCGAAGGAGTTAGTAGTACTTACTGAAGTACTAGTATAGTACAGTGAATGGTACAGTACTATTAATATTATGCTACACGCCAAAAAGCATGCGTTTTCTCAATCTGATTGGCTCAAAAGAATGGTTTTGACGCGCTCTTTCATTGCCTGACTCCGCCATTGGCTAATCTTAAATTAAACGACTTTAATTGGCTAGTTGACTGCAGTATATTTTGACTGATGTCTGGTATACAGTATTTATTTCACTTGTTCTACTAGAAGTCGAACAGGTGAAATACCTCAAGTACAGTAATATATTACACATATTCTAGTACCGTCTGTAGTAGGGAATGAAAGCTGTACGTGGCGATATGGTTTGAGTGAGTCTCTTCAAGGTGCTCCCCCGCCTCACTTCCTACTTGCTATTCACGGGTAGATACCCTGCTCTATGAGCACCTTTATGGTCTCTACATGCTCTTTGAGCCACACTACTTTTACTTTCGTTGCCTTAACGTAATGCACTTTGTGGTATTTACCTTTGCATGCAAAACAAAAAGTAACGGACTGGCTGTAGCTATCCGGATGTCTGAACCTGGCGAAGAAGGCGAGAGCTGACAAGCCAAAGTGCCCCTCTTGACAGTCACCCCACTCGGCAAAGACTGCGCGGGGCCTTCGAGACGAAGGTTCTCACAGAGAAAGAGGAGTTCTTAAGGCAAAAAAGGGCTTGGCGAATAAATCGCTTTTTATTTAAATTTTATACCAAGTTCTTTTTGGTGAGGCAAAAAGTGCCAAAGGGCAACCCGATACACAAGCCACCCTGAGAACTGAGGCGGAGAAGGTAGTGTACAGCAAACAAGAAGTTGTAGAGGCACAGAAGTGCCAGCGAGGCAAAAGCCGAAGGATGCGTAACCACGCAAGTGTTCCTCAAAGCCACACTGAAGTTTGTCTGAGTATTGCTGAAATTAACCAATCAAAGTCATGGCTTTCAAAACGGTTGGTTGATTTGTCAAGTATTCTATTTTGACCAATCGCGAAATCCGGTTTCTCCTGTCAAATGAAAAGTTGGACAAGCTTAATTTAAAATGGATATAAAATGTTTTCGAAATGTAAACAGCCCAGTTTACATTTTGTAAACTGAAAATTCAATACTTTGACCATAAAAAACCTACCTATAACTGTAAACTTTGTCCAAATCCTTCCAATTTTTTTGTCCATAGACCTCTCACCAAGGTTTCAATGAATTTGTAATCAGATTCATGAACTTCGTCCTTGAATTTCATATCGCTTTGGCTCATATAATGAGCGCTGCGTTGAGATTATGCTCCTAGATTGTGGAATGAAAATACGTACCTGTGACTACTGTAGCTGTAAAGATATACTACCTAGTATATCTTTACAGCTACAGTATACACTACTATTATTAATAATAGTACTGGTACTACTAATAAATACGTACTATTACTATTAATAGTAGTATTACACGAGCATGAAAAAATGGATGCCCGTAAAGACACGCGTGCCACGTCAAAGACACGCGGAAATGAGCACTACATATGCGTGCAGCGCCATCCATTTCTGCTTTCCAGCCACCTTTCGCACGACTTTGAATGGCATGAGTGCTGTACATGAAGACGCTTCCGTCGTCGAGGAAGTCCCCGACTCCACCCCCACGGCTGCCCGTTGCCAGGTGCTTTCAAAAGGTGCGTCGACACCCCACTCAAACCTCGTCACGTATATCTCACCACTCGTAGGACTCGCGTGGAACTTTTGCTCGATCGCCCTCAATCCATTCTTGCAATGTTACGCAAGAAGCGCGAAGGCCAGCAATCCGTTCAGCGTTTGCTTCAAGGAATTCAAAGGCTTGGGTCGAGCGATTTGCAACTTCACGCTGCAGCACAGCGTGTTGGAGAAGGCGCCGCCCACGTACATATTCAACATCGTCTTGCCAGCGTGTCGTCGCTCCAGTTAACCGTCCCGTGGTTGTCTTGGTTTTATTATGTGCCCAATAATGCCAGCGTTATTTGTTTTTCTAAATATTAATACTACTACAGTAGTAATACAGGAGTTGTTCTATTTTAATAGAACAATGATACTATTTTAATAGTATCATAGCATAATAATACTATTAAAATAGTATTATTATGCTACGTAAGTAGTATTATTCGTATACTACAGTAGTAAGATGGTACGATTAATAGTACTATAATAGTGGTACTATTCATAGCACTGTAATATTGTCGATTTGATACAAATTTACCAAACCGATCCACAATCGATCTGATTGGTTGAGTTTGATGGAGAAGGTTTTGATTGGCTAGTAATTTTGAGCTCATCTGAAGTGGCCAATCAATTCGATTTAAATTCCAACGAGAAACCACGCCACAACACGAAATTTCACTCGAAAGCACAATAGGTATTATTAATATTAATACGAACGTTGCAGATTTTGGGCGGAACGAATGCAAGATTTGTATAACTTTTGCCCTAGGACGTGTACCTCGGAAGTACTTGACTGTGAGTAGCACCAAAACGCCCATATAAACGGCGCATGAATAGATAAATATATACTGTATACACGGACAGTTTACTTGGCGCGTTGTTGTTTCGTGGGGTCGTAGTCGCGCAATTCGCGTCCAACCAAGTACAGCTCGTCGCGGATGGCATCTCGTAGGTCCTGGAACCATCGGCCAGCAGCTTCCGACTGCAGGCCAACCACCAGCAACCCCACGACTTGGGTCAAAAACGCCGCGCGGAACACGTGGACATGCGTGAGGTGCAGCACTCCTTGAAACCAGAGCTGATAGACGACGCTGCACGCCAACGGCAGCGCCAGCCCCGCGACGAGCACGCGGGCGAGCGGCCACACCACGTTGGCTTCGAACGCGGCGAAGTCGAGACACTTGTGTGCGACATCGTCCCCTTCCACGACAACGCCTTCGTCACTCGCAATCACGTGAAACTGGATCTGGTTCATGGCCACACAGAGCGAGTCCAACACGCTGCCTTGGTCCCACGGAATCAAACAGCACGCCCAGTACAGGCCATATTGCAGCACCACAAAGCCAAAGCACGTCAGCTACACAAGGCGTCACAGTCTTAGTTGCACAGTATGTGTATATATATGTATTCGTACCTCAACAAAGCTGGGCCAGGTCGAGGTTGGCAGCAGCAGCGACACGATCGCCCCGATCAAGTAGGGCAGTCCCACCAAATACACGGCCGCTACCTTGATCAAGCCCAAAATTGTCAGCCCGTGCACGCCATAGCCAGCTTGCCGCAACGCTGGATGGACATGCTGCTGGGGAAGCATCAGCACCCGACACACTTCGGCTGCGTACATCCACATGAAGAGGACCACCACGCCCATGGCAAGACTGATTGGGTCGTGGCCGCCCCCCAAGAACCGATCTACCAAGGCCGTGGCGCGACGACCCACGACCAACGGCCCCAGTGTCACAGCAACGAGCGCAGCAACCATGCATCCCCACCACAGAAGGCAGAGGAGGACGAGTCGCGCCAGCACAAAGCTCGGCGACGTGCGCGGCAGAAGCGCGTACTCCATCCTGGCCGTGTCCAGGGCCCCAGCCTTGGGCCATTCCCGGCGCCGGAACCCGTACGGAGCTGGCTGCTCCCCCCGTTGTTGGGGGTGGTGGGGGTCGTCCAACGGATCAAACACGAGGTCCGGCAGGGTGAGGATCACATCGCGGTCCCCGGGGACGAGGGCGGGCACGCGCGGGAGGAGAAACTCGACCAACCCCAGCCACCGACACACGACAGCCATCCATTTCGTCTGGAGGTGTCCAATGGTGGGGGCGAAGTGGTCGAGTGAATCTTGGACGTTGATGTGCGCGATCGCAAGCTCCAGTGGAACTTGGCCGATCGCAAACAGGTAGCTCAAGTGCACGTCCAACGGAAAGACCCATGCCGGCAACCACCACGTCGCGAGATACACTGGAGCGGACACTAAAATTGGTACAAACATTGCGTACTTGAACGTGGCCACGGCCATCGACAGGTATTGCGTCGGCGCGTTGCCGGCCAAAATGGCCTTGAATTTGTACTGATGAGGGTCGTGGGGATACAACACCCCAGTGAGGATGTCTGGATGCAGCACTTCTCGCAGCTGGAGCACCGCCACCGAAATGAAATGGATGAATGACATGCCGAGCACCCAGTGCGCCGCGTACGCCGCGAGCATGTGGTGCACGGCAAACGATAGGCGATGCATGACAGTGGCGTGGAAGAGCGGGAGGGTGGCCACGTCGACGGCGATGCCGATCACCACGGGCAGTACAAACACCTTGAGCACGAGATGCGTCGTGAGTTTGGCGGCGGCGCAAAGACATGAGAGGGCCCACATCAGCGGGCCAAACACGCTGCCAATGTGAGGGTCCCGTCGCTTGGGGATCCATGCGCGAAGGTAGCGCCACAGAAACAAGCCAAACCCCCACACTACGTACGAAGTCCAGCACTGGATGAAGTCGACCAACTGGAGGCAGTCGCCGCGGGTCCTGGCGGCTTCCTTGGCCGCGTCCATGATCGTCCGAATCGCATGGGGGAGGACGGAAGACGGGAAGATACCGCCGCCGAGGGTGGTGGCGGCGGTCGCGCTAAGATACAACGACCCGAACGTATGCGGCACATTCACAAACAGGACAAGAAACGCACTGCTCGTGACGAGGAAGAAGAGGACGTTGCGCAGGGCCACCGTCGAGTGCGCTTGGAACCCCATGACGTCCCATAGCCAGTCGGCGTCGTCGGCGGCATGGTCGTGAGGGTGATGGTGGTGATGATGAAGGACAGGAGGTTCGGCCGGGGGGTTGCGCGCGGGCGGGACGGCGTCGGCCGGCATGTGGTCCGCTTCTCGAAGGGGAATGCGACGCAGGGGTGGCCCCGGCGGTGCCGCGAGCCCGATGTGGTCGTCATGGTCGTCGCCTTCGTCGTCGGATTCGCCTTCCGGTTCGTGTTCGTCAATGTGCCACCCGGATGCAATCAAGTCGTCGCGGTGGAAGCGGTTGGATTCGAGTTGGATGTCTTCGGCGATGCACACAAGATAAAATCCCGACAAGACCACCGTCACCATTAACACAAGGCCGTGGAAGATGTCGTCGACGACAGTGTCCATGTGTTGGATGCGGTCCATGAAGCGAACGACCGCCAGGGACGGCGAGCGTAGGCGATAGAACCAATTGAGGCAGTAGGGGGTCACGACGACCCACAACATGAGGATGGCAACCAGCCGCAGGTACTCGGAGGTGCGGCGACTGACGAGCCAGATGGAAGACAAGGCAACCTCATGGAAAGGTATGACGTCGGGGCACCCGTGGGCATAGACTTGTCGAAACAGGAATGTATGACTGCACAGGTCACACGCATCGCGCTTCGAGAATGTAAGCCAGTGGATCAAGCAGTCCGAGTGCACATGCCGAATGGACCCATTGCACTTGCATGGCGCGAAAAGGGGACGTCGCGGTTCCTAAGAGAAATGAGGCATTGATTGGCGTGGCACAGGACTTACAGCTTCTTCACGACAGACACGGCATTCAGCTGCGTCGTAATGATCGTCCATGAAGCTTCTCAAAGCAGCGATGGGATGTCCTGCACGGAAGAGCGCAACAACTGCGGCGGGAGAGCCTCGAGATAATGTAGTTAATATTGGCCAATCAATGCTCGAAACCATAAAATCACCAATCAAATCCCATCACGTGTTATTTAATACTATTAATACGTAGTACTATTGATAGTAATAATATTATTAATAGTATAACTTCGATTTGCACTTTACAAATGTGCAAAAGCGAGGGAGTTGCATAAATGACCTCCCTATAATTACATTCTGTAACGAATGGTGATCCTAAATCAAACTGTACGAATTATCTAAAACACTGGGGTCGATGTAACAAACACCCTGGTTTATGGTGTGAATAGCCAAAACGAGTGAAAAGCACAATATGTACTATTGATAGTAATAATATTATTAATACGTATTACAAGTAATAGTATAAGACCGGGTCTGGATGCCACAAAAAATGGCATAAAATGGCCGTTTTCGAAGACAAGTTGGCAAAATCGAAATATTCCATTTTCGAGATTTTGTGCGTCTGGATGCCACCAAAGCTTTTATGTTTTTATGCCACAATTTTCTTGAGAATCGGGTGTTTGATGGTATAAATCAAATGGACCGATTTGGTCCAACTTCTTTATGGAGGTTTGCGTTACGTTGGAAATCGAATAATTTTTCCATATTTCAATGGCATGCAGACAACTTTACTTTTTTTCTCCTTTCTTTCGTGGGATATGAGACTTTGGAAAAATTTTGCAGACTTGCCAAAGCAGTTTATGGCATAATTTTAGGGGGTGGCATCCATACCAGGCCTAGTATTAATAGTATACGAATTAGGTAGAATTCCAAATCGTTCATTGCCATCGCCAACCATATACTACGTATGTGTGCAATTACGTGACAACTTTCTTGGTTCCGTGCCACGTTTTACATTATCATTTCGTACCATTCAAATCAATGCCGAAATTGCCTCAATGGACAATTCAATACAAATAGATATATATATGGAATTATACAAAAGCTAACTAGGGCCCAACGACGACTACAATTTTGCCTTGGACGTGGCCTTGTTCAAACAGGCGAAACGCGTCGGCGGCGTGGCCCAAGTCGAATTGGGCGGTGACGCGGGGACGGACGTGGCCTGCTTCGGCCAGCTCCTTGAGCGACTCGAGCAGGGCCTGCGACGGCTTGAGCATCCCCA